TACACTCTTTCAGTGGTCTGCATTATGCCCTTCTATTATTCCCCGGTTTAAAACTTTTCAATCTGAAAATTCATAACCCCGTCGAAATGTGCACCTCTCAAAAATTATGTGCATCTATGTTTAACAAAAAAAACAAATCCACAGAATATACAAAAAGGTGTTAGAGGTAAATAAGATCAATGGTTACTTTTTTTGACAGAAAAGAGCTATCTCTTGATTTAGCTGTCTTAAGTGAATAATTGAAACTGAAAAAATATTATAAATAGAATGAGACGTTTTTATTTATTTATTTAAAAAAAGCCAAACTCAGGAGAGAATTTTTCAATATCAAAAACTCATTTTAACAACTCTTTTCTTCAAAAACAATTATTACTTTTTAGTTAAAACTAATTGGAAGTAACCGTTGTATTTATGTGAGGTTAAACTAGTTTTTTTTTTATATATATTTTCATTTGAATATAAAAATTCAATTTCATTCAAAATTTATTCTTCCCCATAAATTGCCAACCTAGTCTAGTAAATACCTGGTAACCCTTGTATAAATCCACCACTGATCAAACCACAATAAAGTTAATCTATCAATAGACCAACAATATTTTGAGTTGGATAATTTTAAATGTTAGACAAAATTGGTTTCGCCACAAAAAAAAAGCACTTATTTTAAAGATTTTCTGATATATAACAAATTTTTTATTGCTTTCAGAGTTTATTTTTTTAAATATTTTCTTGACATGTTTTTTAAATTTAGTAGTTGAAGTACCTGATTGTAATTTAAAAGGAGAACATATTGTGATTGTTTAAGTATTAAGCTCAGACCACTAATAGAAACAAATATGGAGAAATGAAAAAAAATACTATTTGTTTTTGGGAGGGGGAGGGGGAGAAGAGAGCTTTATTAGTTCAAGAGTCCCTTCGCTTCTTGTATCCACTAGTAGTATAAACATCTACTAGCTGGGTCTTAGCCCTTGGGACTTAGTGGAAATCATTTTTGGGCTTGGGAATTTGTCGAGGAGTCAGCATGGCACTTATTAAAAGGTTTGGAGACCCCTGATCTAAGTTACCTTGATTTTGTTAAAATTCATCATTGGCTTTGTAGCACCAAAAATAATGGAACAAGTGTAATTTATCTCTGTATATTTCTTGATAACATTACCTTTTTCTCGTTAAGTATTCCATTATTCTCTGAATTCAGTTCTGCAGATGTATAATCTGATATAAGAAATTATAATACAAATAACTATAATAGCAAGGAATTTTATTCAATTCAGAAATCATCCGATATAATATATAAGAATAATTAAATAGCAAACTTGATATACCATACATTTTAAAAGATGTAGGGTATAAAATGGCAACACTCCAACTTGCAGAATGACTAAATAAAGTGCTCTAGTTGATACTACCTGCAAAATATGAATGATATTTCACATAGATTTTTAATTTCTCATTAAAATACGCTATATTTTTGTGTTCTTAAATAACTTTACTATTATGATAAGAGGTATTTAATTTGTATCTATGGTAAACAAATATTTTTAATATTGAAGCATACAAATTTTAATGTTAGTTAGAATTAACTCAATAAACATATTTTAGGGTCTATTTGAGTTTAAGTTATATATTACAATCAAACAAATTGAAATATATTAGTTCATGACTTATAAATTGAATAGAAGAAAGAATTCGGATTCTGCTCTTAAGTTGAATGTTTATGATACACATATATATATTTTTTATTGATAATAAATTTTTATGATAAATTTTAAGCAAATGTTCATTTTCTGGTAATTATAACATTCATAATGCAAATTTCGCATAACTTGAATCATACCTTAATTTTCTTAAATCCTTAATTATCATATGGTAGATCAAAAAAGTATTGGACACTACAATTATTATGCATATATCAAGGATTAAGGTATTTTTCAGAAATAATATTTATATAAAAATTTGGTCTTTGAGTATTATATTTTAGAAGCAATGCATGTTCAGAATTCAAAAGCCATGTTGAAAGTAAAAATAAAGAGTAAATTTTGAGGGTCAAAAATTTATTGGCACAATTTTAAATATTTACTATTAGCTCAAGTCAAAATAAATTGCTCCTTTTTCTTTCGAGAAATTAGAAACGAGAATTGATGACAGTAAACTGACAACAATAAAAATCTGTCTTTGCTCTAGATTTTCGATAACAACATGGAGCAATTATACTAGTCAATATTGTGTCAGTTTAAAAAAAAAAAAACATTATTAAATTATATTCTAATGGACTTAGTTACCGAATAAATAAGAAATTGGTTTTAGCAGTGTTCAGAATATTGCATAAAAGTTTAGAAAGTTTTAAATAAACTCCATTCAGAATGGCCATCAAAATCAAATGGTAGGGCACAAAGAAATACTACACAAAGGAATCCATCAAATTTTTGAGCAAAATCGCACTTTATCAGCTACCGAGATAGCAGAAGAGATCGCATATACTTCTATTATCACCTTCTGTAAGAAATATAATTCATATACACAATTATTATAACAGGTAAAGGAAAAAACCTTTTATTACAGAGGTGATCCGCTAAAGAAGACCTGAGTTGGCCTAAACTTAAGTTAATAAAGACTTTGAATCCTGAAAAAATGTTATTTCTTCAGATGAAAGTAACTTTAACATATTTCATTCTGATGATGACAAGTACATTTGGTAGAAACTTGACACTGAGTTTCAAGATCGACATTCGAGGCTCACTGTAAGACATCGAGGTGGAAGTATCCAAGTTTGAGGGGGCATGCCATGGAATGGTGTTGGGAACTTAACTTTTATTAAAAATGTTATGAATGCCAACCAATATGTCGACATTTTGTGACATAATTTAACTAGTAGAGCAGAAAACATGAGGATTAAAGATGCAGGATAATGACGCCAGGCACACAGCAAATAAAACAAACGATATAGAATGGAAAATGGATACCAGTACATTGGTCCCAGCCATCTATGTATCTATTGGATTGGATTTTTTTAATGAAGTAAATTAATTTTTTTTCCCAAATATGTATATTTTAAAAATCTTTTATTAAATAAAAATGTTTGACTAATGAATTTTGGATTTTTTTTCATAATGGAACATAAAAAAAATTGGGTGTATCAATACTTTTTTGATCCACTGCATATAATTTGGCAAAGCTATGATCAAAAGACCAAAAAATTAGTAGTGCACTATAGAATATATTACAAAAATCTATGTTAAATGTTAATACTTTAACAATGCTTATTCTTTAAAAAAAATAAAATATACCTAAACATGTATATTTTTAAACTGTGGAGTCAATAATTAAAAATACTAGTGTCGATAAATTAAAAACAAACTATTTTTTATGGTATACAACTTACATATCTAAAGTCAACTAATAAATAATTATTTATAGTTTTTTTTTAACTAATATGAAAAATATATCTAATTAAAAAATTGTATATATTTATTTTTACATGCTTTATTTTTATTTTTTTTTATTTATTTTTTTTTTGTAGAATAAAAGATAGAGAATTGGTTTTCTTATTTAGATCACTTCCTAATATTTAATGAACATATTCAAATCCTGGCCTATAACAATTATAGTAACCCAGTCAATGGCATGACTGATCTGCAATTACCTGTTAATAAGCTGCCTGATGGTTAACATACAGTTCTTTCAAAATTTATTTGCATTCAGAATGAATATCTGAAGGTGGTTTAAGTCTTTGTCTCCTACAACAGCTCTGAAATCTGAATATTATTTAAAAACACAACAATAAAGATATTGGATCATAATAAAGACTCAATAAGCTTGTATTATTCAATGCTGAAACCAACAATATTTATATATTTACCAATTACTCCAGAAAACCATGGTTTAACTCCACACAATGCAACACAGTTCTATCATGCAGCCTTGTTTAAACCCCTCAGACATTAACTTGTTGATTTAGTAATGATTACCTTTTTATTAATTAATTCTTTATCCACCTATTCAATCAAGCTAACTGTAATGACAGGAATTAAATTTCCTTTTATTGTTTTCACCCAAATAAATCATGTATGTATTCAAAAACCATGAACAAACCTTCTTGAAAAATGAGAAACAAAAAATACATTTTTATATAAAGAATTGTATCATTAAAAGAGTTCATTGTGATTTTTTACTATAAAAATTTTCCATATTATTAATATAAAAAAAGTGTTAATACCAATATACTTAAGCATGGGGGTCCTTAAATTTCAAAGAAAGAGTTATAGTAATGTTGGGTAAATGTAGTTGAATTACTCATTTGCCATTTTTCATACTTTTGCCAATTTGTCTCTATTAAACATTGAGGACTGACGTCGGTTGTTTCTACAAGAAAGAAAATTGAGATAAAGGTATATTCTTGAATTTACCTAATGATTCAGTGTTCCTTCCAATCTGCTGCAACAATGTATGCCTAGATCTAACTAATATTTTCTATACAAAACCCTCATTAAAAAGATCTTTTGATGTGTAGTTGAAGTTGGTAAAAAAAAATCTCTTGATGATCCATGTCATATTAATATGGTTGGGTATCATGCGAAAATATCTATTAGTGCTAATTATAGTACCTTCTTTGATTCTATGAATTTCTTGAGTATTGAGCAATATTAGATCTTATTTTCTTTTTATCCTAACCAAAACTTGATGGTCGCTAACTGCTATTATATGTTCTTCTACGATTATCTTCCATTTCGTTCTACAAACACTTTTCTTTCTCTAAACTGCCAGATATCCCCATGCATGTCCTCTAAGTTATATATTTATTCATCATAGTTTGAGATACCTATTTCCTTAAATAATTTCACATTTTTCTATCTCCTTCATAAATTCTGGTCAGAAGTTGCTCAACTAATAAGCCTAGAAGCTTTTCTTTTAACTCTCTTGATCTTGAGGCTGTTTTTCAGACATTTTAAGGCAATTTACTTCCTAAGCTTAAGATAAAAAAGTGAAAACAAGAACATTATTTTCAGGAAACAATGTCACCAAGGATGGAGCAACAATTGGGAGTGGCGAAGATGAGCCTCGCGGAGGGGACAAGCTGGAGGGGGCCGGCTCAGCTCAGGGTGACGCTCTTCACCTCCAGAGACGGGTGGGACTCCTCAGTGGGGTGGCTCTAATTGTTGGAACTATGATTGGTAAGTATAAATTTGTATATTACCAAATTTTAAATGAAATATTCCAGTAAAAGTACATGATTAGTTGAAATTTTAACTTAAAAATGTATCTGTGCTCCATATGAATAAGTGTTCATACCTATTACTACTGGTTCTTCTACAGGAAGAACAGGTAGTAAAAGTTAAATTTTAATAATATTGTAGTTAAATTTTAATATTATAGTTGTCAGAAATACTAGTAATGGGGGATATATTGCATTATTCAGCTAAAAAATTGTTATTCATACTTGCCAATTTTGTAATCAAAATTTAAAATAGCCCCCTGAAAAATTGGAATTTTTTACTTGTCACCATAGCTATGAATACATGTAGTAAATTTTTAAGATCTTACTTTGTAGTTGACCAATGATCATAAATGATATGTTTAATTTTATATTGAATTTTAGGATCTGGCATATTCGTTTCACCGACTGGCTTACTGGTTAGAACAGGATCAGTTGGAATGAGTTTGATTATTTGGATAGCTTGTGGTCTCCTATCGTTGTTAGGTATGTTGTCATAGTTTACATAAAATTAACAGTATCAGGATTTTTTCCTATATCTTACTTAAGTATTAAATAAAACAAATTTTCTGATATAGGAGCACTTGCATACGCGGAACTTGGAACAATGAACACAAGTAGTGGAGCAGAATATGCCTATTTTATGGATGCATATGGACCACTTCCAGCATTCCTATTTTCATGGGTATCCACACTTGTATTGAAACCTTCACAAATGGCCATTATCTGTTTGAGTTTTGCAAAGTACGCTGTAGAGGCATTTGTCACGGAATGTGATCCTCCAGTCACAGTTGTGAAACTCGTAGCAGTTATGGCAATATGTAAGTTTTTGAATTCTCCTTGCTATGTTAAAGATGTGTGTTCTTGATTTTTCTTTAAAAAAGTAAATATTTAAGTTGTATTTGCATTTTTAAAGTATTATTAGCATCTAATCCAATTAAACAAGATGTATTTTGGTAAGTAAATTTTACATAAGTTGAAACCCATTTCATTTCTTTACTAAGCACTTATTCATTTATTATTGACTTTATGGTATATAACTTCAGAAAAACAAATAACCATGAAAAAAAGAAAAGCTTTATTTATTGCAAGAACTTCTATTCATTTGCTTCTTTGAGAAAATTAATTTTAATATATTGGATATTTGATAAACGTTTATTTTCACTTGGTGAGGACAATAATAGTTACTGCCTGTTTGAATTAATTAAAGAATTGTAAAAATTCGTCTTAACTTTATTATAATTAAATATTCCTTTATTAAATCTTTCAACTTAATATTTGTTTAATTACAAAAAATAGTTAATATGAGATTATTACACCTGTCGCCCAGACAAAGGTCTAAAACTTAAAACAAACATAATAATATTTTATTACTTATATGTTATATTTTATAACTCAAAACACTCTAAAAAAATTATATAAATAGTCTATGGTCAGTAGTATCTCCACTGTTACTGTACAATGAAGTCTCAACATTTTTTTTTCACCACTACTTTGAAAAATCATTAGTCTTTTCTTTTTTAAAATTTGTTTCTTTGTTTTTTTCAGTGATCATCTTATTTATAAATTGCTACAGTGTTAACTTGGCAACAAGTGTTATGAACGTATTCACCGCAGCCAAATTAATAGCAGTTATGGTAGTAGTGGTTGGCGGAATGTACAAATTAGTGCAAGGTAATTTTACTTCATCCATCCAAGCTAATATATAAATATATATATATATATATATATATATATATATATATATATATATATATATATATATATATATATATATATATATATATATATGTACATATGTTTTATTTTCTAAAATGCTCTTGTCATAGGAAATACACAAAACATGGAGAATATGTTTGAAGGAACTACATATTCTATTGGGAATATAGCTACAGCATTTTACACTGGTTTATGGGCCTATGACGGATGGAATAATTTAAATTATGTGACAGAAGAGATTAAAAATCCTTCAAAGTGAGTAATTTTAGTTCTATTTTGTGGGAATAATAATCGCTAATTTTAAATTTTCCTCATTTCCTTTTTTAAAAATACATATAGCTTAGGTGTTTTGTACAATGTATATCTTGTACAACAATTTGTTTCAGGTGATCATCATTATTGTTGTTGAATTATACCTCCATACTGTAGTGAATTTACTTTGTATGAACCACTAAACAATAACTATAACATTTACAGACCTACTTCTGACTTACAGATGAAGTATTAGGTATCAATTTCAAAAACTCTAGTGCTTGATCTACTCACCACATTTCACTATTTCAAAATATATCAGAAAATCATACTTACTTTTTAAACAAACAGCACAAAAATTATGATTTATTGACCATTTTAAACATCAAATCTACTGACACGTGATGGAAAAAAGGTAAATTATTTTTACAACACGTTTTAGGAGAGTTATTATTCTCTCCCACAATGCTCACAATACCACATTCTACATGGTGCATTTAAGTACTGTGTTATAGTGGGCTGGGCACTGTGGATGAGAAGTCTATTGAAACCACTGATTCCCTTGAGAGCGATCCAGGCTTTTCCGGTAAGTCATAAAAACTACTTTTTGAGTGTTTCATCTCTTCTCATTAATTTTAAACTATAAGTAATTTCCAATGTTAACCACAATCACCTTTCTTGATATTATAATTCCACTCCATACTTTCAATATAGATTACTGTATCAATGATCAATTGTCAAAAATAGTTTCTTTTTATGTTGCAGGAATTTACCAAGATCTATAGTTATTGCTATCCCATTGGTTACCGTATGCTATGTCCTAATGAATATTTCTTATCTGGCAGTAATGTCTCCAGTAGAAATGACTGAATCAGAAGCTGTTGCTGTGGTAAGGTTTATCATTCTACTTACACAACAAAATATAGTCAATATGTTGGAAAGCTTTTTATTTTTATTTAAATTAAAAGTTATTATCATTTATATTTTTAACAGTTAAAATTACATGTTTTTCATTATTTAGTTTCATTAGGTTTGTATACTAAATAAACAATTTAAAAAAATAAATAATAATAATCTGTACAGCAACCCATGCATGATCTAGGATTCAGTACCAGTTCTTTGTAACGAACTACTATTCCAATGCCCACAGAGTAGCGAGGTGATGGAGCCTAAATCATGCTTCAACTGTCAGGTTTCCTTCCTCAACTAATTATTTAATCAAGAGTACTGCTTGTCTCATGATCCCAGGGTCAGTCCATGACTGATATAACAGAATAAATAATTAACTGCCACAGACAGACTCTAATCTGGAATCTTGAGCATATAAACAAAATGTCTTACTCACTCAGCTGCTCTGCTCCTATTATTTGTGTAATGTCCATGAATATTAGATAATCTTGTTTTCATTCAATAATTATCTACATATATTCCAACATACAAATGAAAGAATTTTAAAGTTCTTATTTAAAGTTAACAATTACTGGATAGGCAGGACTGTCTTCTATATTTGAGATCCCTTTTGTCATATGAATATATATATATGTGCTTTTGGGCCTTTATTCATTGACTCACTCTGTTTGGAAACATTACTTCTGAACTCCTCGTTGGCTGTCATTAGACTGAACTATTAGCTTCTTCTTACTTTACTTCTTTTCTAATATAACTTCTGCTAACAAGAGTCCAATGATGACTGAATGGTGACTGTGCGAAATTGCAACAATTCAGTAGATCCTTGCAAAGATCTAGATGCGGCAAGATAATAATAATTTTATATGGCAAACATCCGTTTTTAAATCTCATCTTCTGATATGTTCTTTTAATTAACTGTTAATTGTTTCAATGCAGGAAACAAAGTTTTTGCCTAACTTAATTTTTTAATATTATTAAAAATTTTTACATAGAAAAATAGGTTAAATTTAGGGTTAATGTTACAATTATAATTTTCATTTCTATTTTTTTAGACTTTTGGTAATCGTATACTTGGTTTTATGGCTTGGTTAATGCCACTATCTGTGACTATCTCAACATTTGGCTCTGCCCATGGCACTCTTTTTGCAGCAGGAAGGTAAAACAGTTCAGTTGTTAAAAATTTTGTTTAATAAGTAATTGCAAATTTTGTTCAATTTAAATTAATTTTCATTAATAATTAATAAAAATGTTATCTGTGCTGAAATATAACTCTCTGAATAATTTCTCAAATTATGACTAAATGATTTATATTTTCTATAGATTATGTTTTGCTGCAAGTCGAGAAGGTCATCTTTTGAATATACTTTCATATGTGCATATAAGACGAATGACACCTGCACCGGGACTCATATTTCATGTAAATATTTATTATTAATTTTAAATTATTAGCAATAGATTGTATTTATAATACATTTATAGTTTGAGATAGTAAAAATAGAATTATTTATTTGTATATTCTTGAATATGAAATTCCTTATCAAATTAAATTTATAATGACTAGACCATGTTTAGTTACTAATACCCTCAAGAATCCCAAACTGTAATTAATAAATAATATGTTTAAATATTTATTATTCTTTTCAGTCATTGATTGCCATTGCTATGGTCTTATCAGGAACCATTGACTCATTGATCGATTTCTTCAGTTTTACAGCCTGGATATTTTATGGTGGAGCAATGTTAGCTTTGATTGTGATGAGATTTACTCGGCCAAATTTCCCTAGGCCGTACAAGGTTAGTTTCTAACTTATTGGTTGGAGAATTTCAAAAAATAATAACAGGGAATAGAATGATAGAAAGAAAATTATTTTTATTATTAATATTCGTAATATTGAATAGGAAGATGTATTTTATTAACAAATAAGTAAGATATCCATATTATTTTATGTCAATGATAATAAATATCAGCAATCAACAATGAACAGCATTATATATTTATTAGTAAGAAAAGATAGAGTGGTAGTCGAATAAAGTACTCAAATAGTGAAAACTATTTATGAAAGACAAATAGTTTCTATATAAATACTTAGGACTTTCAATAAATAGCTTTTACAATTTGGGATTATTTTCTTGAGTACCCGCTCCCCTACCCCAGCCAAATTTTCCTAATAAAAGACAAACTTCTTTAATCACATTTTCATTGTTAATAAATTGTGAGATATTATTAATGTTGTACAGTATAATAATGATTAATATATGAGTATAAAATATGTTGCTGCTGTTAGTGCAAAAGATCGTGTGTAAAAATTGAATTTTTTTTAACAATAGAGCATAAAAACTGAGTATTTCTTTATTAGTATAATTTCATATTTTATTTCCCTATACTATTTTCCATAGTAGCAGTTTATTTATTACAATTACAGACAGAGATGGGCAAATGCTGAGTACTGAATATCACTCAAATTGAATCACTATTGGGTATTCAATTACTACTTCAGTTAATCATATGACATCAAATGAAGTAGTAATTGAATTCTTTGGTACTCAATAAAGATCAGTATTTGAGTAAAATACTTGGTACTCAGTATTCAAAGTAACATTTGCCCATCTCTCGTTACAGATTACAGAATGTCCAATGTACAAAATATCACCTTTATCTAAGATTGATTAGCTTTGGAGATGGATTTTATAAAAATCTGTCACATATCAAGGCTATAGCATATATCTAATAGTACTATTAGAGAAAATAAGGGCAAGATATAAATGAGAATCCTCTCCACAAATTTAATTAATTCTTTCTTCTTAAAAATGTTACAAGTGAAAGTAGAATAATAAAAATTGTAGGTACTTTTCAATTGTAGTTAGTTGGGAGTTGCAGTAAGTGAGAAAACACAAATCAAAATAAAATTATTTAAATTTTGAGCTGTTTCGGCTTAAGTTTCAGGTCTTCATCATGCCTCCTACATTTCTTAAATGTTTTAATAAGGACAACGTCATCATGATCTATGTTTTTACCTTTCTGGTTTGAAAGTTTTCTAAAATCAAAACCTCAAAAAAAAAATATGGTGTCCTCCAAAAATTCATAATCCCATAAAAATGCGCCTTCTTCAATAATTTTGATGACAATGCCATAACATCCTCTTCTGATCAATCTATATTAGAGAATGCCATAATATAGATGCAATATTGTTATCACAAAAATTTTTATCAAATATTTAGTGTAAGGTGGTTTTTCAGATTTATAACATTTATTGAACTGACCTGTATATTTTTCCTCTTTTTCTTTTCTTCCTATTTAAGTCAAGGCAGAAAGCTTAAATGACATTTTGAAAGCTAAAAATGAAATATATTTTGAAAAAATTATTGCTTTAAAAAAAACATTGACTAAATAACTGATTGTTTTAAACCTATATTAAAGCCATCAAATTGAAAGTAATATTCACTGGATTTATACCCTTTAAAATTTAATGCAAATCTTAAGTATTGAATGAAATTTAATTAGCACCATGCATCTAAATATATTATAGATATGTATAAATTAATAATAACATTCAGTTTAAGCTCATTGAGATTTGTCATTAAAATTTCAAAGAAAATTAAGATTACATTTTTTTATTTCTAATTTCCTACATTAACATTTTTTGTTGTTTTCAGGTACCTATTATCATTCCATTTATAGTCTTGGGGATTTCATTGTACCTGATTGTAGCTCCAATTATAGATACTCCTCAAATTGAGTATTTATATGCTACATTTTTTATACTAGCAGGATTCATATTTTATATTCCATTTGTCTACTATGGATTTACAACTATTGCCATGGGTAATTCATTTTGTTTATTCCTGAATTTTAGACTGTAACATAAGTTAACTTTACATTTTATGTGTTTTATTTATTTTTTTCTGGGACAAGATCCAATTATAGTAGTTTTTTGTTGTGTATTTGTTGGTATTAAAAAGGAATCCTTTACTATTAACTTAAACACTCAAACCGTGGGTTATGTATGACCATATGGATGTCTTACCAAAACGACATCTAACACTTCATAGCTTAAAAAAAAAATTAAAATCACAGCTTAATGATTTTGCCTTTGAGTTATGTTAATTTAACATGAAAAGAAATAAAATTTTCAGTGGTTAATATAATACATAATAAAACTATTAAAATTTAAATATCCTGAAAATTTAAAGAAAAAATGATTAACTTTCCATAAAAATCTTGTTTCAATAAAACTTAAAACAGGTTTTTAAGATTAATTTATCTTTTATCTTATTTTAATAGATAAACTGAAATTCATTATCATTTAGTAATTCAAAAGGCATAATATCACTCATCCACGGGGAACAACGCAACTTGAAATAACATTATTTATTTGGAATAACGTTTTGTCATGTTAAATTGTCAGAAATAAATGTTTAATCGAATCGACATCATAGTATAATATAAGAAAAATTTGGATGGAAAGAAGTATTTTATACTTCTTCTTCCATGGTACTACAACTTTTGTAGAATCAGGGCCTCCTGCAGCTTCAATCTCCAGTTATCTGTGAGAAGTTCAGCCGCTTTTCAATTGTGGACTCCATTGGGCATTGGGCATCTGCTTCCTCTGTAACAGCCCATCTAAGTTTTGGTCTGCCTACCTGCCTAGTTGTGTAAATTAGCTCTTCTAATAATTTTCTCAATGTGTGATCTGAAGGCATCTGGCGAACTTGTCCAGGCCACCTTAATCTACCAATCCTTATTACTCTCACAATATTGGCATCTCGATATAGCTCCTGCAATTCATCGTTCATATTTCACACTGGTACAACCAATTTAAAAATTATGCTAGTTAAATAATAATAATTATTATTAGTTAAATCACTGTTTCACTGGATGAGCTATATGTTGAAGTAGATTATACTTCCTTTTTTTATTTCAAATAACTTTATCAACTTATTTAATAATATTTTTTATTTTTTTCAGAAAAATTTACAGTATTTTGTCAACTCTTATTTGAAGTTGCTCCGACTCAATCTATCTATGAGTGATCAGATATTATATTAGTGAATACTTTTTTATGAGAAGAAATGTTTATTTTATGACTAGTTTGTTATATATATTTTATAAAAATATATTGTTTGTTTAACTTGAGCTGTGAAACAGCAAAGACTTTTGTAGAAGTTACTTTAAAAGGTTAATTTTTGTTATGGTGGGCGTTATTGATTCTGAGTATTTCTTGAATGAAAAAAGAAAAACATTATTCCAATGCCATTAACATATCAAAATGACTATATGTTGTGAAAAAGATTAATTTATAGTTGTCTGTTAACAAGAATTTTGTACTGGTATAGAATTATTTAAATGACAAATATCTGTAGCTTTGGTGTTACAGGACACCATGTCACATTCCTTAACTTTATGGGAGAGCAGTTTGAACAGATGTTCCCTCCAAATCAAATTGGACTTAGTTTTCTTTTAGAAGCAAGTAATTTATATTACAGTTTGTCTGGAATACGGGTATCTGTTCCACTGGATAAAGTAAAACAAGTGTAGTAATGCTAAAATGATAAAAAAAAATGGGCATAGTGTCCTATACCTCCAAGATACTGGTATATTATTTTTTATTTAAAGTACTGCTATGTAGGTAGCATAATAGCTACTTCAGAAGAACAGAGGTCATTTAGTCTTTATAAATGAATCAAATTTAGTAGAATCAATGAAGAAGTGATCATTACATTTTTAGCCCATAGCGACATGCTAGTACATAAATATTATTCCAAAATAAGTTAATATAGAATTAACCCTTTTGGTAACAAGTACACAAGGCTGGCTGTTAAAGAAGATATTGTTTATGGAAAAATTAATGTTAAATAGCTTTAATATGCTGTATATCTTTGTTTATGTTTTATTTATTATAATAAAACCTGCATAGGATTTGGTGTGCCTCATTATTTAAAACCACAACCTCTTTCCACAAATTAGAGTAGTGTAATATTAGTCTTAAATTTCATTGTTTTAATAAATGTTACTGTTTATCAGAAGTATTGTTAGCTGAATGTAGTTACTAAATTTATCGCTCCATTTATCAGTTGATATGCCATAGCATATGCCTAATTGTGGTCAATAAATCATTCAAAGTAAAACTATGTCTACCTATTCCAGTGATAAATATTGTTACAAGGAAATACATACAGATTTCAACAGAAAAATTAATATTTTCAAAAACTTTATCAGAAAATAAAATGTACATATCGTTGTGTTCCTTGTAACAATTTATTAAAAAAAAGCCAATGTTCCCACAAAAAAAAGTGAACGCACTGCCCCAAAATGGCGTCCAAAGATGGCGGATTGACGACTTTGACTTTAGTTAGTTTTTTGGTCACTGAGAATCAGCATTAAGCTTAATTTCCTCATAGTTGGTCTTTTATTAAAGCTGAATAGTTATAGAATAATAAAACATGAAGAAATATTAAAAAATAATTGGCTAAGGCTATGAAAAACACCAGTAAAGTCAATTTTTTTAACAAAAAAATTTTCAAGTTACAAATCAAGCGTCGTTTGTAATTAAACGGCCTACAATAACGCAAAACGTGCTGAAATAAACCATCTGGAGAATATATTTCTCTTTCTGAAACGCTGATTATTTTTTACAAATGTTTGAGTAGTTCCGTAAAAAATGCACTTATGCGGCAGAAAAGCGGTACTGGCGTGGGTGCCTACAGGCCTCTACCACACCATTCAGTGCCCATAAATGGCTTAGTTATAGTGATATAATAACATTTTTGGTACATTATATTGGTTTTATTAACGAACAAATATTAATGCAATAATTTAATAGTAAAAAAAAAAATTTAAATTAAAAAAAAAATTTATTATTATTTTTTTAAATTTTAACCTCCTTTATTCTATACGTAGGTCGTTTAAGAATACCTCAATTGTAAAAATGGTATAATTATAATAATAAAACTTAATTAAAAAATATTTTGCTAAATATCTTGATTTTTTTTTATTTAACGTTTGCAATTTAACACTGTGTTTTGAATATTTACTGATTCTTAGAAGTAATTAAAATTTTTATATACTTCCCAGGAAATGAGTCATATTCATACCTTTTTTATAAACTAAAATAATATATACCTAATCTGAACTATATATAATGAATAGCTACCGGGTTGTTTAGTAAAACTCATATATCACTAATTAAAAAATTAATTTTTATTTCCTCTATTTTGTGCAGAAGTTGGACTATATCATAAATAAATAGGAAATTTTAATATTGAATGAATTATTCTCTATGCACAAAGAAAGATATAAAGGGTGACCCTATAAGTTCTTCTATAAACCAAAACTGATTGTTTGGATTTGATCTCAAAATGAGGAAAAACGTGAACTTAAACGAGAAAATTGGAAAAATACATTAAGCGAACGAGAAAGGAAGTGCCAAAACCTCGGAATAGATAAAAAGGACCAGTTATATCCATTATATAGCTAAATGAATGTATAGTAGATAGATGAACAGAATATTTCAAGATGCTGCTAAAACGGGATCAATTGCAGTATGGATGATATTAAGTTGACGATGTAGGTTTATTATGGTGAAAACCACTTTATTTTCGATTGCTGAAGGTGCACATCGGGACTATATTAACTTTGAAGATGAATATAGAGATGTATATCGAGAAAGTTATAGCTCATAGCTTTCCTTCTGTTTAGTGGATTTTCAAAAGATTTTTTAAGGTATCTTATATTAGTTGTAGCTCGTTATTCTTCTCGTTATTCTTGAATTGTTCGGAATTTGTACCATATCATAAAAAAATAGGAAATTTTAATATTGAATGTATTATTCTCTCTGCACAAAGAAAGATGGAAAGGGCGAAACCGAACTGCTTTGACAGTTTTGCGCGTACATAGGCAACAAGCATATTAGAAAATAATATGAAAGGACTGTGGTTTTTACCTTTACAAGAAAGGAGGTACTAGGAAATGTAATACCCATCAAGACCCATTCCTGTTTAGTGTACCAAACAAATTATACACAAGAATCGTAGAAGCTGGAATAAGAAATATTGTCGATTGCCAGAGTGATATGGATTGAGAAACTCAAGTTGCACATTGGAAGAGAAGTTGAAAATTGGGACTGTCTTCACTTTAAGGCAGGTTATAGAGAAGTCCACATAAAAAGAAAAATAGCTCTCTATCTGCTCAGTGCCTCACACTTTGGATTATGCTAATATCTAACTGTCTTTCAGAAAAACTCGTTTTCCTTTTAGATCCCTTAAAAAATCTTTTGAAAATCCACTAAACAGAAGGAAAGCTATGAGCTATAACTTTCTCGATATACCTCTCTATATCCTGCTTCAAAGTTAATATAGTCCCGATGTGCACCTTCAGCAATCGAAAATAAAGTGGTTTTCACCATAATAAACCTACATCGTCCACTTAATATCATCCATACTGCAATTGATCCCGTTTTAGCAGCATCCTAAAATATTCTGTTCATCTATCTACTATACATTCATTTAGCTATATAATGGATACAGGTCCTTTTTATCTATTCCGAGGTTTTGGCACTTCCTTTCTCGTTCGTTTAATGTATTTTTCCAATTTTCTCGTTTAAGTTCACGTTTTTCCTCATTTTGAGATCAAATCCAAACAATCAGTTTTGGTTTATAGAAGAACTTATAGGGTTACCCTTTATATATTTCTTTGTGCATAGAGAATAATTCATTCAATATTAAAATTTCCTATTTATTTATGATATAGTCCAACTTCTGCACAAAATAAAGGAAATAAAAATTAATTTTTTAATTAGTGATATATGAGTTTTACTAAACAACCCGGTAGCTATTCATTATATATAGTTCAGATTAGGTATATATTATTTTAGTTTATAAAAAAGGTATGAATATGACTCATTTCCTGGGAAGTATATAAAAATTTTAATTACTTCTAAGAATCAGTAAATATTCAAAACACAGTGTTAAATTGCAAACGTTAAATAAAAAAAAATCAAGATATTTAGCAAAATATTTTTTAATTAAGTTTTATTATTATAATTATACCATTTTTACAATTGAGGTATTCTTAAACGACCTACGTATAGAATAAAGGAGGTTAAAATTTAAAAAAATAATAATAAATTTTTTTTTTTAATTTAATTTTTTTTTTTACTATTAAATTATTGCATTAATATTTGTTCGTTAATAAAACCAATATAATGTACCAAAAATGTTATTATATCACTATAACTAAGCCATTTATGGGCACTGAATGGTGTGGTAGAGGCCTGTAGGCACCCACGCCAGTACCGCTTTTCTGCCGCATAAGTGCATTTTTTACGGAACTACTTAAACATTTGTAAAAAATAATCAGCGTTTCAGAAAGAGAAATATATTCTCCAGATGGTTTATTTCAGCACGTTTTGCGTTATTGTAGGCCGTTTAATTACAAACGACGCTTGATTTGTAACTTGAAAATTTTTTTGTTAAAAAAATTGACTTTACTGGTGTTTTTCATAGCCTTAGCCAATTATTTTTTAATATTTCTTCATGTTTTATTATTCTATAACTATTCAGCTTTAATAAAAGACCAACTATGAGGAAATTAAGCTTAATGCTGATTCTCAGTGACCAAAAAACTAACTAAAGTCAAAGTCGTCAATCCGCCATCTTTGGACGCCATTTTGGGGCAGTGCGTTCACTTTTTTTTGTGGGAACATTGGCTTTTTTTTAATAAATTGTTACAAGGAACACAACGATATGCAATTTATAGGGATGTGGGGGGGGGTGCACGGTAAGGGGGTCTGGCCCACAGACTATATATCTATAGAGAGTAAAACAAAAAAGAAATTACTCAAAATGTCCCTCTTTTGCCTTGACACGGGCATTTAATCTCCTTGGCCAGTCATCAATAGCAGCACATAGCACTTCTTAAGGAAAGCGCTCAACTGCTTGGACCAGAGATTGTTTGGGGCTTTCCAAGTTAGGGTGTGCTCTGTGGCATGCCATTCTCTCCAGTTCGGACCAAACCCGTTAATCTAGTGGGTTGAGATCAGGGCTTCCTGAGGGCCAATCCGAGGCAGAGATGAACCCTGGAATGTTCTTTTGCACCCACTGCTGAGTTGACCTGGCCTTGTGAGATGGAGGGGAATTCTACTGGAAAACCCAATGACTTCCAGCAAACAGAGTATCATTTAGAGGCTTGACAACAGGTTCCAAAATATCATCCTGATAGTTTTCAGCAATTGTTTTAACTCCTTTTTCACAAAAATGGAGCTTTGTGGTGTCATCAAAGCAAACTACCCACCAAACCATCACTGAGGAAGGTTGATGACCTCTTTCCACTCTTCCAAAGACTTTCTGGCTTCTTTAAAGCTGTGTGTGTACACACGATCATTTTGGCGATTAAAGGTTTTTTCAATTGTAAAAATGTTTTCATCGCTAAACAAAATCTTTCAATGAAGACCACTGGTGTAACCGTCAAGGAGCACTTTGCATCTATGTACTCTAATTTTGTTTAGGAAAGTGGTTAGCCTTTGTCCTATCATTCTTCGAAATGCACCCTTCCTAAGGTCACTTTTTATTATGCGAGACATTGATCTGGCAGAGATTCCCATTTCCCGAGACATGATTTGTTGTTTTCGAATGGGATATCTTCTGATTCGAGCAGCCACTGCTCTCACTGCATTTGCCATTCACACAGTTAGGGGACATTCCGTCGAGATCTATCACATACAGATAGGGTCTCATTATATCTATTTATAGTGCGGTACATGAACATACGGCTGATACCCAAAGTGTTGAAAATCTCTGACCTACATTTTCCAACTTTGTGTTATAAAATCACAGCTATTCTGTTTTCTTTATTACCCCACTCCATGTTAACTGAGCGAAAGAAAAGTACAAACTAATTGGGATTATTATCCTGACATGTAAAGAAAATAACCTGATAGAGGTAAGGATTATCTAAATAATACCCAAGGATGTAAACATAGTTCAACTTTTGTAACAGTATTTATGGCAGAACAAGGTATACCCATGATTCTCCAACACTAGTGTAATGAAAAATACAACTAAATTGAATTAAAGTAAAACCAAATTCACCAATAGTTTTTAATAAACAAATTGAACTTTGTTAAAAATATTTCATTTCTATTTTCCGTAAAAGAATAGTACCTAAGAAGAATTTTCAAGAATTACAATTCATTTAAAAAAGCTTGTTTACCGGGGAAAAAAAACCTTTCAACTTACCATCATTTCAGTTTTGAAGCCTATTAAAATGTTTATATAGCCTTTACATTTGTTTTTTAAATAAAACAAAAACTGAGAGTACGATTGAATGAATGAAAAATAATTTTATTCTGGGACTAAAGTCCTCTAAGAATAATGACAAAGTTCAAGAAATATGTGCATAAGTCTAGTAAGTATAAATAAAACCAATATACAAAAAATAAATTAATTAAGTGGTACTTGTCATTTAACTATTAATAAGCAGTTATAATTACAAAATATAAAAATTTTTATATGGTTAAGGAAGATTAAATATGAAGTAGGTGGTGGAATAGGAGTTGTTTGAAGGAATTCGTGGACAATTATTGATATATCGTGATAGATAAGGAGTTCCAAAAGGAGGTAGACTGAATACCAAAGGATTTGCTGAAGGAAGTTGTTTTATGGTAGAGGATATATAGATCTATGGGTTGAGATCTGGTATTGGATGAGTGGATGGAGAAAATTGAGTAAGGAGTTCTAGTATATAGAGAATATTTTTCATTCTGAGAGCTTGGAAAAGGAAAAGAACAAGAAAAAATTGTCATCGAGATGGATAGAGCCACTTCAACTCGATGTACCTGCAAGAAACACGATTAAATCTGGAGATTCTTATGATCTTATGAAACAATTCATTAGTCTCATCTCCAGCATTGCACCTAGCCCTTCATAGACCAAGCAACCTTAGTCGAAGTGGGGGGAAACTAGGAAGGTTCCAAGGAGAGGTCTGTTTTTTTAGGAATAGAATCATGGAATCTTCTGAGTTGTTGAAGGATAGTTATGGATTTTCAGGTAATCTGGGAAATATGGTTATTTCTGGAAAAGTTATAGATCAAAGGTTACTCCTAGATTTTTAACTATGAGGAGGAAATTGATGGGGTAGTTAATGCAAGTTGAGTAGAGGAAAAAAAGGAAGGAAGCTAACGAGATGTTTGGAAACAATAAGGATAGCTTTAGTTTTGTGTGCATTCAGCTTCAATTCATTTCTTTCTGCCCATCTTTGGATACAGTTGACAACCGCTTGTAGCTTTCGAGTAGCATCAGGCAAGTGTGAGTTGGAAAGATTGGTAAAATTGGAAATCATCAGCATATAAGGGATAATGGGAGTGATGAATGTAGTCAGGAAGATTGCTAATATAAATAAAGAAAAGGGTCAGAGAGATTGAGGACATCTAAGGAACACCTCATGTTAACTGAAGGGATGGAAAAAGAGATTTGTTAGGTATGACATATTTTTGTAATAACCCCGTCAAAATTTGCCCCTCCCCCTCAAAAATTTTAAAATCCGTCAAAATATGCCCCCTCAAAAAATTGTATGCCCCTATAAAACCTCCTTCTGGGCACTCCTTCTACCCAAGGTCAGTAAAACTACCGGTAGTTTTATTGACCTTGCCTTATACCAAGTAAAAACAAATATCTAATAAACTGCGACACTAGCGCTAAGCCCAACTTCCTTTCATGATTTCTCTTGTTACCTTAGAAGCGGAAAGCATAAAAATTCTCTTTTTACTAGAACATAGAGACTGGAGTCATGTGCTTCAGATAGAATTAAAGTTATGAGGTTTTTATTGCCTACTGTCGAGATAACAAATAGGATTTGTGTTATTTTGAAGTTCTCAATGACCAAACAATTCCAGTATTGATAAATATGAACGAAATTCATAAATGTATTCGTTAAAGTTTAGCTCCATTAAAAATGCACTCCTACATTTTTTTGTAACAGCCCAATTTTGCTAGACAAGAAATTCTGTTCAATATTAAACCAATGTTAAAAGTTAAATGACAACTATATAAAGTAATGAAGTTAAAATTTATACATTTTATGGACAGCGAAAAGAGTTGAAGCAAATCACATTTTCAAACTGTTTTGTATTAAAATTAAGGTTCACCAATTACAACTTGTGGAACGAAGTCAGCGATTTAAAGGAGTTAGGTTACTAAATGCAGATTTGATGAATCCTCGTCACCGTAGCAACTACCAATTACAAAACCTATGTTCTAGCCCTCATCCTTTGTTTACATCTGTCAGTTCAAATGGCTGGCTTTTTGATATCAGTCATCGGTGAAATAGAGTCGGCAGATTTTCCTGGATATGATAACATATACTGTAAATATTGTTTTACTTGCGGGACTGACTGGGATATAACGTCGGTTGGTAACAGAATGTTTGATAGGTTTATTTCCGGAAAACCTTCAGTGAAGTATATAATTTTAAAATTTTAGGGGCTTGAAGAGGGTATATCACAAGTTGCAAAAAGAAGTGACAATGGAGATGAGCTTTTTATTTGGAATTTTCCAATCGAAATTTCATTTAAAGGAACTAATCCTCATGGATGTAAGTATCACTTATTCAACCAGAAAGTTTATCAGTATGCTTTTTTTAGTCAGAATTGCTCTTATTAAAATTATTATAATTTAATTAAGGGCCCCAGTTGATACTGAGCGTATTTGGACTTGACGTTTTTGGAAACGATGTTGTACGCGGTTATGGGGTTTGCCATGTACCTATGACAGCTGGAAAATGGAAGAAAAGGTTAGTTATATTTGATTGAAGATATTTTTTTTTTATAATTTACATGTACTTATTTTTTTTTTTTAGTATTCCCATGTTTGTACCAGAATCCAGTTCATTTCTTCAGAAGATAACTTCTTGGCTAACTGGAAGAAGACCTGAGTTCATTGATCTTCGAGTATTAGCTCAAGGAGAAGGAAGAGAAGGTTTAGATTATTTTAAGATTAATTTAAATAATTAAACTAATACATTGTTGTTGGTTGTAATACAATTAATGTTTCAGTGACACAAGTAAGAAGCCAGGGGAAAGTTTATATCAATTTTAATGTAATGACTAAAGATTTCGTTTCTCAAGGCCTTGATAATTCACAGCATTCCAATCAAATGATTCAAGACTTAAGTCAACTGTATAATTCTTTAACTTTATATTGAGATGTTTATACACTAATAACACTACTGTAAATAAATTTTAAAAATAATAAATTACAATTAGTTGTTTGTTTATTTATCTTCCTTATGATTGATAAGCCAATTGACATTGTAAGCCAATTGTGCAGTACCGACGGACAGTGATTGGTGCTATGGACAGTGATTAGAAACGATCTGCTGGATTCCAGCAGAAAGTTAACCCTTATGAAAAGTTTCTAGGAGAAATATTCTCTCCATGAAATCTGAATGAATATTGGGCATATATTGTAACTATTCTTGATAAATAAAAGGGCGAAGGTCATTTTGATGTACTTATCGTGTTTTTGTACCCACAAATAAGGTTGAAATTCACCAAAGTGTTTGTATTAAGGAACATCGTGGATTCCATTCATGGATCCATCAATGATTTTATGAACGGCTTGATGGATTTTTGATACACATCAATTAGTTCAGTGTTGAGTTTAGGGACTTGTCCAAATACGTGGATTTCGTAATTGGTCGGTAGGTTGCATTATTGTTATAATAGTTTGTTTAAATCGTATCACTTCAATAAAATATATTAATAAAATGAATGTAATATAGACAAGAAATGTCTCATATGATGGATTCTATTGAAAACGGACTGAGGACTTTGCTGAAAGGTTCCTCAATCGATGACAGTGCTGAACTTTGTGATTTTACCTTATCAGGACAAAATGAAGCCACAGGTTAGTTGCCATAATTATTTTTATTAAATTATTACTATTATTTGTATGAAGATGAAAAATTACTATTAAGAAATTGTATATTTTCATTTCAAAGGTCCTGGGGACAAACTAACTGTTTTATATCAATATTAAGATGACAACATTTAAGCGTTTCTTTTTCACTTATTTTTGAAAAGCAGCAATAATGTCTTTAATCAATGCTCATATGAGACAAATATCCATAGTGTTTTATTAGAAATTTTAGGAGTCTTAACTTGAAAACATTATTCCGAATATATTTATCCAATTATTTACCGAAACTGAGCTATACCTATCATTAATCCATTTTAAAATTTCTTTGACATATTTTATTTTAGTCCTGCTTTAGGTTGATTCACATCCGTGATAACTAGCTGCAGCATTCATTATTATATTATCCTAGTCAATGAAGCTATTTTGTTAGAGCTTGTTAATTAGAGCCGTTAACATTAAGTTAGTAATCAACATGAATACATCGTTGTATTTCAACCTGCACATTGCAGATTGTTTGGAGATGTGTCTTTGAGAGTTGGACAATGTTTAAAGGGATGTAGTGCAACTACAAAATTAAAGTGGGTTAGGATGAAGAAAGACTAATATCAAAAAAGAAAAAAAAAAGAGCTTTGGTCGACTAACTAGTTGCGTTTGAAAGACAAAAAATGTATCACATTACTAAGGCTTCTATTAGCATATTTGATAGAGAAAAATATTAAATATGTACCAAAATAGACAATTTGATTTTTAGAATTTTTTTTATTATGATTCCAAAATAACCAGTTTTTAATCTAATAGAAACTTAAAAATTCAGAAAAAAATAAATTAAAATTTTTCTTGCCAGTAAACAATATAATTTGGAGGTGTTTTTGTGATGGTCTAGGTCTTCTCAGCAGTGAGGATTGGAAAAATGTAGTTAATCAATTAAATTGCAAATGATAAAGTATACTTGAATATTTCAATAGAAAATTCTTGTAATGATGAATTCCTTTCTTTAAGAGCATACCATGTTTCTAAAGGTTTTATTTCTGGGCATTTGGAATGAGAAAAGGCTACCTTTGGAATGGAAGACCATTATATCTCCTATTCAAAAGAAGGGTGATGCCCTAGAATTCAGGAACTATAGGGGAATGTCTCCTCTCATGTGCCTAAAAAGTGCTCTTATTTAAGAGGCTGCTTCCCTAGACAGAATGTGAAGTAGGAAAATACCAGAGCTGTTTCAGATCCGGTATACCGATGACAGACCAAATCTTCACTCACCCTCTGGTTCTTTAGAAAACCATAGAGTATGGAATTAGCACATGCCATGTATTTGCAACCAGTAAGTTTATATTTCTGTAAACAGGAACAGAGTCTAAGCTATGATCAATATGCAGGTATCTCCAAAACTGGTAAGACTCACACTCTTGACAATGGAGGATAACTTGTGTTGTGTGTGAATGTTCGAGGATCTCTTTAGAACCTTTGATTTAACCTGTTTTAATGCATGGCTCTGAAACCTGGACACTTACAAGGACTAAGGAACTGGAACCATCCAAGTTTAAAAGAAAGATCCTGAGGAAAATTAATGAGGCTGCATATGTTAATGAAAATTGGAGAAGAAGAATAAACCTGGAGCTGAGAATTCTATACAAGGACTTGGACTTGGTCGATGTAGTTCAATTCTCTTGATTGCAATGAGCGGGCCACATCACTTCTATGAATCGAGAGAAAATCCCATTTTAAGTCCTATCGGAGAAACTAAAAGCGCATTGGGTTAGATGCCGTAGACATCAATGGGAAAACTGTGTTATTACTGATGTATTATTGATACTTAGCATTTGCACTGAATGGCTGCAATAGAAAACAGAAATCACTGGAGGTCAATGCTAGAGCAGGCCAAGACTCAGTTTGTGGGTTGTAGAGCCATGTAATAATAATAATCATAAGTATTGAAGAGGCATAAGTTGAAAACAAGAAATAGCCCTCAGAGATTACTTTAAACAAAGCGAGATACCGTTTCATTAGATAGTGTGCAATATTGACTTTGGACACTCAGCATTACAGTTAGCTACTCAAGAATATATTGAGTTGGCAAATAAGTCCTTTCGTTTTTTCAAGGTGAAATAAAACTTAATGTATTATAGACATAAAATTTATTTTAATGTACAATATATTGACCATTATTTAATATGACTTATATGACCAACATGACTTTTTCCCATCTTTCCTTTAACTGCATAATGCCATGTTCATGGAATGTCTGAAGTTTATTGTTAAAAAAAAAAACTGATCCAAGTGGTTTTTGATGTCCTCTTCCTTTTGAAATTTCTATCCATTCATGGAGTTCCGCAGAGACCAGAATAAGTGGTAGTCATTTGGAGCTAGATCTGAATAGGGAGGGTGGCAAAGGGCAAAAGGTCCCATCCAAGGCTCAATAATTTATTGTAAGTGACCAATGAGGTGTGGGGCCTAGCATTGTCTTGGTGGAACACAACAAACACCCTAACGATCATTCCTAACTCTTCAGGATGTTCTCCGAATTTGATGTTATAATATTCGTTAGAAAGCTGAATTATTGCTCTTCAAAGCCGTAGGAATGGTTTTTTGATTTAATGCCTACATAAGGAATAAATAAACAAAAGCTCCTTATAGGTTTTTATCTCCATTTATAGTTTGTTTACGAAGGTTCTGTTGTTGTCATTTTGTGTAGTTTATGTGGCCCTAAATTCCTGCTCAATTTCTTGTAAATAGCTGAAATCATATTTTCGAAAAAAATCATGTGAGTGACCCAAACATTAAGCCTAGAAATATAGCCGAGTTTGTGCAAATGGTTTTCTACACTTCTGTGCGACTGATTTAGGGCCATAGCAATCTCTTGCACTGATTGGGTTGGATTTTGATCAACAATGGCCTTAACATTGATCGTTTCAATTCCATGTGGGCGACCACACTGTTAAGCATCATTGATGTCTAAATTTCTTGAATGAAATTTGGCAAACCAATTTTGACAGGTGTGTTCGGTTAAGGCATCATCCCTATAGACATTGTCAATTTTTCTATAAGCTTCTGCAGCTTCTTTTTTTAAAACAATACAACAATAATGAATGATATTTTCTTCCATATTCACAGTGCTTTGGCAAAAACAATACTAAGCAAGTTTCAACAAGAGTTAACTGATATAGTTGTTGATATGTTACTAACTGGATAAACAATCCACCTCAGGGATTAATTCATCAGATAAGAAGTGTATCATAGTGGCATAAAAATAAACAGAAAAACCGAAAGGACTTATTTGCCAACCCAATACTTCCATAATTATCTCAGACAATGGCCGACTGGATGAATGGAAGTCAAATGCATTGCACGGAAGATTTTTTTACCATCTCCAGCAAACTGTAATAAATAAAACATAAACAATGTCTACTAGTTGACTGGTTAAAGGAAATCTGTTTCCTGAGACAGGAGGATTTCTGACAGCAATCCAGGATCAGGTAATAGCAATTAGGTCATACTTGCGACATGTCCTGAAGCAGCAGACAGTATCGGACAAATGTATGCTCTGTGCTAGTGCATTCGAGTTTATTCAGCACATAACTAGAGGGTGCAGGGCACTGGCTGGAACAGAATATCTCAAGAGACTTGACGATGTTACAAAAATCTATCATCAGGCGATTGATTTGAAAAGAAAACTATTAAATGACTTGATGCCTTATTATAAATACAACCTTAAAGATCTTACCCATAAGGAAGGAATAAAACTGTATTGGAATCCGTCATTTTATAACTGACCATACCGTAATCCTCAACAGACCTGATATACTGTTGATGGATATCAATATGAATTAAGCTGAAATAATAGGTATCACTGTGCCAAACTAAAATAAATAAAAACACTAATTCAGCCTGTGCAGAAAAATTTTGGAAATATCAAACTCTAGCAGATGAGTTGAAAGGTCTATACAGACAGAATAAAGTAACTGTGAGGGCTTTGGTGATCTCCAATAATTTTCTCATAGTAGTATCCACTGTGGTAGGTAGCTACTAGAAGTTGGGTCTCTCCACAGCCATTATAAATAAAGTCCAGAAAGCTGTGCTGCTGAACATTGCGAGGATTGTAAGAAGTTACCTTAATGTACAGTAGTTCTAGAAACACGATCTACCTTGAAATGGTTGGAGTTTACTCTTCCCTACTCCAGGAAAATATTTATTAAAAGTGTTAAAAGTAAAGAATAATAATTGAGTTTTTGGAAACACTGGATTTCTTATGGATGTTATCAAAGGTAATTGATGTAATCTGTAGACATTTTTTTTCTTTTAAGAGTTATGTTTGCGTTAAGTTATAATAAGTGACTGCTGGTTGAAGTTACAGCATTGCATTTAATAAATATTTTAACATTGTAGAAGTTTTATGTTACCATGTTTTACGACCATTTAGAGTGTCAAATGTCCTTCAATTGAAGTCCAAGGAATAAAATGTAAATATTGAGTTATTTTCATTTTAAGTATTTTTACTCCGAAATAAAAAAAACCTACTGCCGAGAAATTTTATATTTCAAGGTACGATATTCTTTTTTTATGTAAAATGCATAAAATTGTGTGTATTGAGAATTATGTGTAAAGATTGGTGAATCATGTTATAAAGGGTTACATATTAATTTATAACAAAACAGTCAAGCATATCTTTTATAATGCATGAAATTTCAATATTCTGAATGATTCAATAATAAGAAATAAGAAACTTGAATGATTGAATTTCTCAAAATTTTAAATAAAATTTACTATGACAACAGTCATATTAATCATGACCAGTGTTTCAAATTATTCTAGAGTTGAATAACCAAAAATAAATATATTGCCTCACAACTTCTTTTAATATTATTTTTTTAAGCTGCAAAAGGAGTAACGCCAATAACACCCTCAGATTTTGTTCCTGTTGTGAAAGATACAGTGACGTATATTGCACTAGCAGTGTTGTTTAATAATGAAGGTGATGTGTTGCTCATGCAGGAAGCTAAAAGATCATGTGCCGGACAGTGGTATCTTCCAGCTGGCAGAATGGAACCTGGTGAAAGTATAGAGGTAAAACAAAATACATATATCACTGATTATTGATAGCTTACAGCCAAAAAAGTACTGTCAGGGTGGCGCCCGACCTGGAAAAATGAGAAAAGTCAGGGAATTTTCAAAACAGGGAAAAATTGTTAAAGTCTGGGAATTTTTTTAGTATGTAAATATTTTTTCAAATGGGAAATAAATATACAATGTATATCGTTTATAATGACCTTGTAAGAATGAACTTTGTCTTTATAAATGACCACAGTCGCTATATTTATCCACCTTGTCAATAACGGCACTGACCTTTATGGTGAACTCAAACAAGAGTAATGAATAAAATTTAAGCAAAATGGACTTTAAAAAAGTGCTTTTTTGAAAAGAATAATATACCAATATTATTTACTATTTGTAATATATACATCTATGGACATATTTATTATTTTTTAAATAAAGTAATGAACTTCTTAACAGTAATACTGTATTTAGATAAACGTCCATTAGAAAATTTTTCAATCTTAAAATGTAGAGTCCAATCGACCATTAACTTTTTAAGAAACTTTGTTTCACGCATTGAATATGTCAGTGTCATGATAGTTCTGATGAATTGTCAGCTAAACCTTTGAATTCCATTCGTTGATTAACTAAAAACTAAAACACGTCTAGGTAATTTTTTTAAAAACAGTATTGTGTATGGAGCAGAATCTATGTTTCCTTCCTCACAAAATATTAGTTTGAGGGTCATATGATCGCGAATTGATTATAAATGTTTATTATTCTTTTCAAGTAAAATCTGCCTGAACCCTGAAAGCAGAATATTCAGAACAGCCAATTTCGTCGTTATTCATTATAAATGTCTTTCATGTATAATAAATACATTTATTTGTAAATTATACATTTTTAATAATTGTGTCTCCAGGAAAATGGGTGAGGAAAACAAAAATTAAATAGGGAATTTTACTTCAACCATCTGGCAGCCACCCTGACTGTATTTGATAGAATATTGTAATTGACAATTAATAATAATTGTTTTACCCAAAACTGTTTTAATGCGAGTAAAAGCATTGATGCTTAATAATTTTATTTAATTATCTGTGTTTGTAATAATTGTGATCGTTTAATAAAACAGATAACTGTTAGGTTGCAGATCAGCCTTGGTGAAAATACAATAAAAGCAGTAATTGATTGGGTTTTGGGAGGATGATGATAGAGGTTTCCAAGGTCTGTAAGCTAACAGAAAAAAAATTTGTGTGTGTGTATATATATGGATATATATACATTAGATACATGTAAAAATATGTGTATCGGGAGTATGTATAAAGGATATATTTGTATATCGGGAAGATGAGGTGTGGACTGAGTCCACTGTAGCGAGATGTCTATGGCTGCCAAACTCAGTAGTATCAAAACTCTATACTCTACTTTATAAACATATATTTACAACAGTTAATATAGTATATTTTAAATTAGATGTGGAAATTTTGAGGATGGGAACATTATTCTAAGTTAGAAAGTATAAGATACTCAATGGTATGAGCTAAGTGCTGGTAGGCAATGCATCTCCACTTCTACTAAAATCTATATAAAATCACTAATACTTTCAGTCCAAATTTCAACAAACATTAACCATTACAATATATATATATTTATTTATTTTATTTTTTCCAGTATTAGATTAGTTACTGTGAGATAATTTTATCTTATAACCCACAGCAACTCTAATAAAACTAAAAAAGTCATTACTACTTTATATTAAGCTACATTTCATTGTAGACATAAAAAAAGATTTCGGATAGATGAATTTATAGTGCAATGTTGGTGCTAATTTAAATTATTGATCTTTGATTATTCTTTGGTACTTCTATGTATTTAAATGAATATAGAAACTTATTGTTCTCAGATTTATTTTATTTAGTCTAAATTTCGACCAATATCACCAAAAACACATTTAAAAAAAAAAAATAGTTCTGTTTTTTAACTGACCTTATATGCGACTCAAATTAATGTATATATGTATTTGTAATGTATTTATTCAAATTTCTTGTTATTTTTAATTAAAAATTTAATCATATCAAATTTATAAGAACATTGTTTATTGGTTTTAATATAGGAAGCTGTGAAGCGTGAAGTTTTAGAAGAAACAGGTCTGTACATGAAGCCTACAACTCTGATTATGGTTGAATGTGCAAGCAAAGCCTGGTTTCGATTCGTATTAACAGGAGAAGTGACTGGTGGTGAGTTGAAAACTCCCGCTCAGGCCGATTCTGAATCTCTTCAAGCAAAATGGGTTAAAGATATACGAGAGATGAGTCTGAGATCAAATGATATACTTCCTCTGATAGAAAGAGCAAGAGCCTATTATAACACCGATGAACCTCAGCATTCACACATTTTACCAGCACTTCGATCACACGAAAAACTTATTTTAAGGCTCGTTGTTTGTATTAAACAGAGAAGCAGGTATGGATTCAACGATTTTTTAAAAATAAATTAGTGGTATACATAAGGAGATGGATCCCTCTTGAAATGTGCCAAAAGATTATTGATATTATTAGTTAGTACTTAAAAACTTGAAGGGTTCTCTTTAATAACATTATATTTTTTATTTACAGAAGATTATAATATAAGTTGGCACCTATTACTTTTTTTTTACTTGAAACTAACATACATTATTCTGTCAGTCTCTGATGGTATGGTATTATTATGACTACTTTAAAGTTGTGTTTAGACATGCAACAACCCCTATCATAGGTATTTGAAAATCTAAAAACAGTTTAACTCACAAAAATCTCTTTTTTTGGGTGAATGGTTGACTGTCGTGAATAATGAAGAGAAGAATAGTTTGGGTGATCAGTCAAATAAGAAGGCAAAAATAAATGATAATATTTATTTTGACATTTGCCGACGTTTCGATCTGAATTTCAGGGCTAAGAAAAGAACCAGATAACAAGGTATAAGAAACATAAGTAGTGTAGGTAAAAAAAAAAATTAAAGTAAAATGAAGTTTCAGGTCGAAACGTTGGCAAATGTCAAAATAAATATTATCGTTTATTTTTGCCTTCTTATTGGACTGATCACCCCAACTATTCTCTTCAAAAATCTCTTTTATTTTTTCGTATGCGACGTTTCGGGATCCTCTTTAATATCCTATCTTTAGACCATTTGTCATCGAATATATCACAAGATTTGTCAATTTTTTTGTTTTATTAAGTATCCCTTAAATTTAAAGTGGACTCATTTCTAAGGAGAGACTTATCAAACACTTGTTTCAAACTTCAATTTTTGCTTAAGGAACATAAACTTTTGCACTTCAATTATTTTGGAAATCATAATAAACTTTTAAAATTAACTTTAAATTATTAAAAGAATAATCTGTGTTTATTTATACTTAGAAAGTCTTATAATCCATCCCCCATAAAAAGAATGTACACCAAAGCGCCAATTCGCTGGATTGATAATTATCAAAACTAGTTCTTGAATGAATTTTTTTGAAAATACATTAATACAAATCTGTTAGAAGTCATGTTAAGTGCTTTATATTTGTCCAAGAGCCGTTATTGTTGTGTGCTAAGACTTTTTCAATTGCCTTGATATCATAATCAGGTACTTGTCGGTTAGTCGGACAGGACCGACTGTTATCTGCCAATGTTTATAACCTGAACACTGATAATTCTGATAAAGCTTCTCATAATTCCTGTCTTCGTATTCATATTATTGAAATTAAAAACAAAAACAAAAGGGTATATTATATATAATATTATCAACAATGAACAATGAATATTATCAACAATTGGATAAAATTCATATTATTGAAATTGTAAACATAAACGAAAACAAATGTAATAATAACAAAACAGTTTGGTTTGAAATTGAAATAGACAAAAAGAAATGTAATAATTCCCACAACAATAAGAAAACACAGTCCTCCTAACCGACAAATAATACCCATAATCGTAAAAAAAAATCTAATATAAAGTGATTGACTTTCACTAATTAAATTAAGGTTCCAAAAATAACTGAAGGATGGAATCTAAGGGGGTCAATATCCTGTTACACGTTAAATTATATGTTACACAACACTATTCAGTCATGATGTTGCATACCACATTAGTGTTACAGTAAAAATCTCCGTTGCATGTCTTACACACCCACCATAAGAATTTACAGTGAAAGATACATAGAACGTAATTTATTCAAAAACTCAATTTGCAAAAATGTGTAATAGACAGCTATTCAGCCAAACTCTTCGATTAAAGGTGCCTTTGCCCCAACCTTTATCTTGTATTTGTAAATAACACCGTGTACCTTATTTATTAATACAAAAACGAACAAAATGTCACCAACTCCCTTATGTATCAAATATAAGTAATACATTAAGTGGACAATGTTTTGATTTCACAGAAGGAAAAATCATCAAATTACTTGGGGATTTAATTTTATGGAATGTTACTAAATGACTTTTTTTTTTTTTAGCAATAGGGTGCATATACTTCTCTCTGAAAAAACTGAAGTCCATTTTCCTCTTTGTGAAATTAATCAACAAAAAAATTTACATTCTACTCTGAGGAAGTTTATGGTGGTAAGTTAAATATGATAATTTATAATTGTTATTTGATATACAAGGTGTCGTAGTTCTTAATCGTCAAACTCTGTGAAGTGATTCTAGAAATAATTTCCAACAAAAAGTTTCATTCGATGTATGGCCAAATTTCGAACAAAAAAGGAGTTAAGTCCAGTTTTATCTTATCTTAAAATGGTCACGTTTTCTTTTTCATATGAAGCGATAACACAAAAATTATTTAATTCAGTTAATTAGGAATTGCTTTATTGCAAACTAGAAAAATTTTTTTTTCAAATACAAGTTGAAGTTGTCTTTGACAAAACTATTTAAAGGGGACTTTCCAGTGGCCAAACTATGCTAAGTTGTGTTTTTCATTAAATCATAGCTTATGCGTGACCTTTCTTTATCATCTTACTACTACACCGCTGATACCCCACTTTTATAAAAGCTTTCAAATGTTTTTGTAAATTAATAATTTCTAAATATAAGATATTAAAAATAAAACCATACAATTGCTAGATTTTTTTTTCTCACATAAATGTAAATATTAAGATTAAAAACATTTAATTAGTGAAAGGATCAATTTCCACAATAGATATTTTCCCCAAAAGTGGGTTGTCTGAAGTATAGTTGTTGGATGATAAGAAAACATTATTCCCTTAGATAATAAATTTTCAAAAAAATGGTATTTTTTTAATGAATAAACATTTTTTTTCATAATTAATTTACTAAAATAGATGTCAGGTCGAAAGAAAAAGGAGGAATTAAAACAGTAATAATTTCTGTGTTATTTTTTGCTGAAAATACAGATACTCTGGAGTGATAGAATATCAAATCACATAATTGTTAACACAAATAGAGGTGAATCTCAAATCTATTCTAAAGCAAACCTCAAATAAATTGATATGCAATTAAAGCTTAATTAACAAGGAAGTTTTATTTTAGTTTATAAAAGTGGGTTATCTAAAGTGTAGTTGTAGGATGATAAGAAAACACCACAAATAATCCATGATTTAATGAAAAATACATCTTATTGCCTAATTTACTATGAAACGATTTTCATGTTATCGCTTCCTATGAAAGAGAAAACATGACCACCATAAGAAAAGACAAAATTGGACTTACTCCTTTTCTGTTCGAAATTTGGCCATACATCGTATGAAATTTTTTGCTGGAAATTATTTCTAGAATCACCTCCCTGAGTTTGACCATTAAGAACTTCGACACCCTATTTAAGTCTCCTAAAACCTATTTTATCTATGTGTATTTTTTTCTTTAACATTAGTACTTATATTATTAAAAAAACACTTATTTTTATATTAAACCCCCAAATTTGATTGAATCATCTTTTTTATAGGAAATATTTGGAGCAGATGTACCGCCCCATAAACCACATGGCCTCCTGAATATTGAACACTCCGGGACTGGTCCCGATGGGCTATGTCTGACAGTACTGGTGTCCTTCAGAGTTCCATTGGAAGATGTATTCCCTATTGATAAGTACACTTGGTTCATGCTGAGCAAAGAGCTTGGAGATCAACTTTTAGAAAGGCTTCCTAAAAATATGACTATACCATTGAATGTTATTCGTTAAATCAAAGATGGATGTTTTATTATTATATTCATTCTTATAATGGAATAAGATGCTACAAAACCGCAAGTTAATTTTATTTAAATATTTTTTAAAATATCTAAAAATAAAATTTTGCTACAAAACCGCAAGTTAATTTTATTTAAATATTTTTTAAAATATCTAAAAATAAAATTTTATCCATATAGCTTTATCACTGATGTCTTCAAGTTAAATATAATACCATTGAATTTTATTGTTAGTAAACTGTAAATTTATTTTTCATCGACCTATAATCAAATGTTAATTTGCATAATAAACAGAGGCTTGTGGAATCTTTAAACAATATTTTATCATTATCTGAAATAGCCTAAATGAGGCAGTTAGTTTCAAAAGAATTCAATAAATTTGAAAAAAAAATGTAGGAGACACCAAACAAATATTACTTTGCCCTAAGTAATTCCATGAGTTTAAACTGAATTGAGGTGCTTTTGGTGAATAAGGCTTTGCTACTAGTTTACAGCTTTTGAAAATAAAATAAAAACTTTTAGTGAAAAAAATGGATCCAAATCGATAAGACGGTTTTGAAAATAATTGCCTTAAATATGCAATTATATTATGATATTATTAAGTATAGTGTATTATGATAAAAGTTATAATACAACAAAATAAAAAACAATTATTTTCAAAAATCATAATTGTATAGTAAAGATGATAGTAGAGACGGTGATAATTGTTAAGCTAAAGAAGAAAAAAGTAAAAAATTTCTTATGTCAGAAAAGTGTTAATTACATGATAAAAAATAAACTACAATTTTTTTAGCCAAATACATTTTCACATCAAGTAAGCAAGAATGATAAATAAATTGATTTGATAGTTGTATAAATACAGCATCGTATATGCTAAATTTAGTCCTAACAGATGTGCTTAAATATTTTTATTTTAAACAAAATAATATGTTGTCACTGTTGAATAACTTGACAATCCTCAATTTTATCAACTGTGTATCAGAGAAAGAAAGCACTATTTTTTCTATCAAACTGCTAGTTTCTATTTTTATCATTTAACTTGATTGAAATTTCAAATCTTGAAAGTCTAATAGACAATTTTAAATAAAACTATGAATGTCTCAATTTTTTAAATTTTGAGCTACATTATGTTTCTTCTGTAGTGAAAACTTGTTGAAACAAAAGTTACAGTTATACCAAAGATGAATTTATGGTAAAGTAGTGAATGGGAGATTAATTATATAAACATAAACTTTTTCTAAGAAAATCCTTGTTCTTCTATTTATATAACATAATAATTGACATATGAATGATTAAATCAAGACCGGGGCTTGCTTAAGCATACTATATATAGTTCCTTGCTTGACTTATGACAATTTAGCTTGTTTCTCATCAGGCATTAAATTAAAACTTTTCTTAATAAAAATTATTTTTCATGATTAAAATAAAAGTAGATTATTTTTATCTCATTGTTAAAATGTTAATACATTTTCATACATAATACATCTTATTAAAATATGCTAAATAAAAATGTGTTTATATGATTCTAAATGCACTAATTTTAAAATATTTCCAGACAACTGCTTTAACAAAATCATAGAAACTTAATTTACTGTTATATAAAAATATGACTTTTGATATTTACTTCCAAACATGAAGATCAATCTAATTTTTTATTGTTTTAAAATATCAAAAGATTGTTTTTATGGTTTGTGACATTCAATTATAAAGCTGATATATTTTTATAGAATTATATTAGTTTTATAGTATCATTACATTTTATGCCTTAAAATTTGTAACTTTTATATTTGATATATACAGGTAAATATGTATTAAAGACTGTAGAAGCAAAAAACACACTTGATCTACCTGATATTATATTTTGATATGTTATATTTATTTGTATCATGGTTTTATTATTTTTGTTGTTCTGACTAAGTTCTTAGCAATATCCATATATTAATTCAATTTCAAGATTACCTATCTTTTCTTTCTGTTAAATGATAAGTTAAATCTCATTTTTAATAATACTAATTTGTTCTAAACATAATAATTTATGTAATGAATAAGTTGGATTTTATTTTTTTCATAGCTGTTGGCATTTTAACATTCAGACAGTGGTAGCTAATATAAATTAAATGTTATCGCTATATATTTTGTGATAAATATACTGTATTCTATCATTTCATTAACTTTATACAATGGTTTTATTGATAAGGTGAGCCAGAAGAAATTTAACCTAACGCAATTGTTGAATATCTGTTTTATTTATTTAAAAAAGTATGTATGTACTTATATATTTTATATATATATATGATTTTATATTCAGATAAACTTAATTTGAACACTTTATTTTTATACATATTAAAATATTTTGTATTTTAAATTTAAAAATACTCGATACTTAACTTACTAACTTATTTTTGCTTGTTACATTCTTTTTTATTAATATATATTTTGCTAACTTTTATAGTACAATGTCTTGTTATGTTTTTAAATATTTATTTCTTACTTTTTATAATATTTTTATACATTCCATATTTAATAAGATTTGTTATTAAAGCTTTAATGCAAATTGTTGACTTTTATTCAACCCAATTTAATCACATGAGCTTTGAGTGCAAAAGTGGTGAGGCATTTTCATAATAAAGAAATCCCCCTCCATGTTAATAAAGGAGCCCCTGGACAATTGTCCCCTAAGGCCAGCACTGGTTCACAGCACCATGAACCTATCTGATCCTGTATTTAATAAATGCCTCATGACATGGACAAGTTGTTGGTTCTACAGACAAGATCTTCATTCGTTGTACCAACAAAAAAAAAAACATGATAGATTTCTTTAATGTATTATATTTTTAAGTCGAATCAGCTAAGTCACAAGTTACTTCTTATAAATTATGAATGACGGTTAACTTTTTTGGAATCAACTTAAGTCATAATCAAGGAATAATCAAGATGTCATCATAAAATCATCACTGTAACATAGCTGCTATAGTTATAGTTAATACTTGTGCTGTTTTGATACTAATTAATTGGGTGTATAAAAAAAAAAAATGACCATCTTTCAACCAAATAATTGTATAACTATTTCTTTGATATAAAATATAATTAATATTCAAAGTATAGTCCATTGTTATCTACCTTCATTAGCCATCTGCTAGCTAATTGCTTGATGCCATGCTGGTAACATTCTTTGAGATGGCTGTCAAAGAACACTTGGACTGAAATTTCAACTTCTGCAAAATTATCAAATATTTTCCCTTGAAGAAAAAGGGTCATGGATCTAAATAAGTAGTAATCCGAAGGTGCAAGGTCTAGATGAGGCAGGAGAACGAGCATTATCTTGTTGGAATAAACTTTCTTTTTGATTGATCGAATCAGAATAACGCTCTGACTACTTCAGTTACAATTTTTCCAGTTGTTTGCAGTAGAGTTCAGAATTCATAGAGCATCCATCAGGTACAAACTTGGTATAAAAAAGACCTTACAAATAAAAAAAAACTCAAAGCATCAATGTTTTTACAAATCCACCCCTTGTAGCAACCGGAAAAGCAGTTTGGCCGCGATCTACTAATTGCTCACGAGTATTAAACCCAGTAAACCCACTTTTTATCACAGGTGACAATCTTGCGGTAAAATCTCAAATCATTAGAGCTTTTCAATAACTTTTCTCAAATTTCTAACCTCTTAACTGATTGCTGAGGAGTAAGTTCGTGAGGGACCAGTCTAATGCTTTTTTTCACCTTCCCCATGGTGAGTAAATAGTAGACCACACTCCCTGACAAGTTCGGGAGTACTTGTGAACGGATTTGACACAACAGCTTCCTGCAGAACCTCATCAATATCCATTAGTGGACGCCCAAAGCCTTTCTTTCCAATGTTGTATCTCCACTGCTAAATTTTTCAAACCAACTCTGTGAAGTGTGTTGGTCAAGGACACCTTCCCCTTCATATTTAATAATTTCATTAGTTGCTTCAACGGCTGAGAAATTTTTTTTACAGTAATGCCTTAAAATTACGAGAATTTCGTAGGGCATTGTGATGTTTCTTCTTTAAAACAAATACCTAACCTGAGGCTTTTTTTGAAGAAGTCGAATGGGATTATCCAAGCTTAGAGAATGTTCTTAAGGGATTATTAAGTATTGATAAGTATTAAACAGGATTAAAATATTTACAGTCCTTTAAATCTTGAATTACATAAAACAGTAATTTTTTTTTTATATATACACCCTATCATTTATTATTTTCAATCATGAATCCAATGGAATTATTCCACTTTTTAACTCATTATTATAAACCAATTTTAATAAATTTATGATATAAGAAAATGTACATACAATTTTTTTTTTTTTTTAAATTGCTGATGTGTTAACTACAACAGTATGTAAAAAGAAAATCTGTATATTAGATTTTATTAATTTATTTACAAAAATAACTTTAAAATATAATTTCTTTAAATTTATTAAAACATAACAATATATCTTTTAGATATTTGCAACCAAGTTCACTTGATTTTTTGATGATGTTTTTTATTATTTTATTCTATTAACTCCATAATTTGATCTATTTGATCACACATTTTTTTATGGCGTTTAGATGCATTAATGAAATCTGCCATTATGTCTTCAGCCTCCCACTTTTTTATTTGGTAATCACGGATGACTCTTTGTTTAGCCGCATCATAAAGTTTTCTTCTATATTTATTTTTTTCTTCTCTAGTTGCAGTTCCCTGTTGAATACGCAACTCTATATCATCCATTAATATTTTTGTTATTCCTTGTTGAACGTTTTTGAAAAGATAACGGAAGTGATTTGAGTATGCTTCCACCCTCCCTACGGTGATAAAATAAAATTTTGATTTGGCATAAAAGACAATGAAAACAGCAGTTATGAACATTCCACCAATGAAATAAATCAAATTTAATGCAATTTTGAATAAAATATTCTTTCCACTAAATTCCTCCTCGTTAAAAAAATTAACTTTGGGTTCAATCAAAGTATAAAACATGCGATAGTTTTGCATTTCAGTAATATATGCTACCAAAGAAAGCAGAGAGGTAAAGAATAATATAAGTACTAAACTGCAGAATACATATAGCTTTGTCTGATTTATGGTACTGCGTAAAATGTAATAATATTTACCATAATGTGCCAGTTGTAATAATCTCACGGTAGTTATAACAATAAGAATAGACAACAGAATTGATCCAAGATCATCTTGATAAAAGGGATAAGTAAAGCTAATATATACTTCATTTACTGTTTGTTCATAAAAGTCAGAATACATTTTAAAGTATGAAACCCGAATCAAATATGCTATTACACAGGAAAATCCAAAAAAAATTATTAGTATATCAATAACATTTCCCCAAGAATTGAGAAAAGGGCCCATTCCTTGAACTGAAACATGTATGACAACTCTCATTAGGGAAAATATTAGAATCACTATGAAGATGATAAGTGCGATTAAAAAAGGAATATCAAGAGTTTCTAGATAAAACTGGTGATAAGCAGTGTCAATCTGAAAAAATAAATACAGAAAGGATTAAATAATGAGAACTAAAAGATTAATAAAAGTCATCAATAAATAAAGTATGGTGTTTACATAAACTCTTGTTCCAATGACGCCACTGGCTAGATTTTCAATAATAATTGTTACTTGAGAAAATAAATTGCTGAATGCATTATATATATTTAATTCAATAAATACTGCCCGTGTAAGTTCGTCGAAACCAATTTTCAATCTTCAATTTAAAGACTTTTTCAGTAGAGTCTTGCAAATTTGTTGTCAAGTTTTGTATGTATCCTCCTCCTGGGTAATAATATCCTGATACACCTTAAAAAAATAAACATCATAATTATATATCTTTTCTATTTACCATAATGCATTAAGGCTGAAAAAGAATTCCTAGTTTAAATGTAAACAAAGTGTCACATTTTTCGATCACACTGGAAACTATAGCTCAAAAGTACCCGCCTCAGGATTGGCTTCACATTTATACCGATGGATCAGCTGAATCAGCCGTCAAAAATGCTGGGGCAGGAGTTTACTCGAGAGAGTTTCAGTTCAGTGCTGCGGTGGGTGAGGATGGTACGCATTTTGACGGTGAGATAGCAGCGATCCTCATAGCCCTAAGAACACTATCAGGAAGGCAAGTTCAGAACGCTGTTCTCTTTGTCGACTCGCAAGCAGCAATCCTCGCCATTACTAACGTGAATAAATGTATGTCGAGTGCTATCTTGAAGTGCAAATCCCTTCTCTACGATCTAACACTCCGAGGCACCAATGTGGTCCTTCAGTGGATTCCGAGCCATTGCGGTATTCCAGGAAATGAGGAAGCGGATAGTCTTGCCAGGAGGGGAGCAGAATTGCCACAAACAGTCCATCTAAAATCCTACGATTCAATTCGGCGAATGGTGAGGATGATAATGAAGGAGGAAACAAAAAATATGCACAAAGATAAGGTGGAAGGGAAACGTTATGGATGTTTGATGGAAAACCCGATTCCAGCAGGCCTACCAAGAAGAGATGCAGTAGCCTGCTTCCGCCTGGCCACTGGTCACGACTATCTACAAAGTCATCTGCACAAGATAGGCGTGGCTGAGGATCCTAGATGTAAATTATGTAAACAAGCGGAAATGGATGCAGACCACCTAAACGAATGTCCTGCTTTGACGGATATAAAGAATCAAACATATGTAAATGATTACATACAAAAATCAAAATTATATTGGGCAGCAAGATGTCGAATGGTCAAATGACCAATGACTATGGCATAGGAAAAAAACAAAAAAAAAAAAAAAATTTTCGATCATAATTATTAATGTATTCGCTAGGAGACAATTATCTGATGAATATTATTATTATACCTATGATATAGTACACATAATGAATTTTGTGTTAATTTATAAGTGTATAAGGTTGACTTTTGGAAGTCAACGTTATACACAATAAATCAAGAAGGAGATTGTTGGAGACCTTTATGGGAATTGTTATATTGTGGTTTTTATTTAAAATTAGCCAAGACCTTATACAAAAGTTGGGTAATACTTTTCATTGGTTAATTTATGTTATTTATTTACCAAAAGTGGACTCAGTCTAATATTTTAAGCTAGGAGGTTAGGGTGGTATGTAAATTCAATAAATATTTGAATAAATGCAAATGATGATGACATTTTAATTTATAGATTTATATTAACAGTCTGTTTCTATTTAAGTTATTTTTTTTCTAGCTTTTTCACATTTATAAAAGTGATATTAACAATTAATTTGTAATTATTATGATTATTTTTAAAGAAAAAATTTATATATTTCTTAAAATTATTTTCAATACAGCAATATTTATTTCTGTTGTTTCAGCAATTAACTTTTTATTATTCTATCAGAGGAAATCAGGAGTGAATAAGAATTTCAATTATCTAATTTCGGCTAATTGGAATTCTTATCTTTCATAAAAGAGATTATAAGCAATTTATGACTGATAATACTGTTTCATATGACATTGCTGACCATTATATATTTCTGTTGCACTAAAGACACTTACATCAATTTGCTCAACTTGATAGATTTCAAATCTTGAAACTATTAGAGATATAAACTTGATTTTTTAAATTAACTTACCATACATTCCAAGTGTCTCCGAAGTTTCAGCAGAAGAATAAAACCAAAGTTCTTCATTTCCATCAAAAGAAGCAGGAGACCATTGTTTTGTATAAGTGTATTTGTCTTCAATTGAAGTTGAAAAAGGAGAGATGCAATGTTCGAAATGGGATTGAAATTCTTCAGGGACAAGACAGGTTCCTGGGGAGAGATAATCGATAAATCAATAACTAACTTTAATCATATAAATCACAATTATCTCCATGATTTATTCATTTCTGTTGCAGCGATGATAAACTCAATAGCTGATATCAGTCATTTCAAATGTTTAATTTGTATTATTATATAAAAACAGATGCATGTAATATTGTTGTAAAAAAAAATTAATTTGAGATAGAAAAGATTTGTTGCGTGATTGGAAATTACTTTTTAACTATATTAACAAATTATGAGACTTAGGCGCTGTTAACTGAGTTAATTGATAATAGAGGGTCTCAATTAAGTGGTTAAGATGGAAGAGAGGCGAGAAAAGATATTCCTTTGTGGTAAAGACAATTATAAAGTTTGGAAGTTCCAGTATGATGTATGTACTAATGGAATGGAGGACTTGGAAAAAAGAAAATACATAGTATGCTTAGTCAGTGAAGCAGAAGTTGTCAGCATGTTTAGCAGAAGTTGACAACTTGTGAATCTGCTACTAATACGTTAAAAAAGTTTGAGAATATGTATGCAGTAGACACAAAGGTCAGTAAATTATACTAACAGAACAAATTTTACTCCTTAAGATGTGGAGACAATGTCGTGGATTTTGTAGATGAAGTAGAGAATTTGACAAGCCAATTGGATGAGGTTGGGGAAACAATATTAGGTGACTTGCTAGGAGTTAAGGTATTAAATAGCTTGCCTGCTTCATTTGAACCCTTTATCACGGCATTTGAGTGCTTAATTGACACATCATTCGAGATTTTGTAGAGAGAATCACTTTATTATCATAAAAGGGTGCTGCCCAATTACATTGGGTTGCTTTAAACACAGCATACTTATTAATCGCTACAGACAATTTTCCAAAACTAATATACAATTATATAGTATTAACAACATGTATGAGCATAATATACAATTTTTTTTTTTTTTTTTATCTATATATATTTTTTTTTATCATAATTTTTTTTCCTATATTTTTATTTATTTATTTTTTTTTTATCTATATATATATTTTTTTATCATAATTTTTTTTCCTATATTTTTATTTATTTATTTTATTTTTACTATTTCTTTAATTCATTTATTAGCACTATACATCCCTTTCTGTTCCTTCTCTCACTCTATACATTTTTCTCGTTCCCTAGATTTTCTCCTATCTTTTCCTAACCTAATTCATAACATGCATACAAATACATGAAGTGCAGTGGACGTGGTCAATAAATAATGTAAAAAACTGAGACAATAATAAATTATTGTGCAAAACTGAGAGAAGAAATATGAAAAAGCGCTAGAAAATAATCCAAATATATTTATTAGTGATTCAGGCAATGAAAAAGCATTTGCCTCAAAAGTAATGACTGATGAAAGCATTTGTAATTACTGTAAAAAGAGTGAACATATCCTTAAGGATTGTAGAATTTTGAGAAAAAGAAATGAGACGTTTCAGTGTTTTAAATGCGGTCTGGTAGGTCACATAGCAAAATATTGCCAGCGCAGAAAAATAAATATAAAAATAAAGAAAATTTAGCAGCTTCAGCGCTGTTAGCTTGCGGGATCTTAGACAAGATTACGGAAAACCAGTGGATAGTAGACATAGGAGCTACAATGCCTATGGTTCGGAATAAATATTTTTTGAATAATTTTACTGAGTGTTTAAATGGCGAAAAGGTAATGCTGCCCAACAGAGATTTTCTGCAAATAGTAGGTTCAGGGAGTGCTCATTTGGACACCAGTAATAACCATGTTGTTTTAGACAATGTTTTGTTAGTAAAAGAACTCAAGTTCAACCTGTTAGCTACAAAACCGTTAGTAGAAATTGGAATGGAAATTATTTTCGACCACGGAAAAGCAACATTCTCATTAAATGGAGAAAAATAAATTACTACTTGGTTATCTAACGGACTATATATTCTTTATTCTTCCTTATATTATAAGAATGAAAATGGTCCAATCATTGCTAATCTTAGTCTATATAATTGGCACATCAGGTTAAGTCATCAAAAATTGTTTTACATCAAATATATTTTGAAAACTAATGAGATAAAATTCAAGGATGAGAATTTCATTTGTGAACAATGTAAATTTGGAAAGATGTGTCAAAAACCATTTTAACCAAGTACAACTAAACAGAACCGTATTGGAGATATTGTTCACATGGATCTCGGAGGCCCCATGGAATAGGAGTCTCACGGAAAGAATAAATATTATTTATTACTTCGGGATGATTACTCAAATTGGCTAACTGTTTACTTTGTACGCAAGCAGTCAGAGGTAAAAGATTGTTTGGAGCACAATGAGGATTGGTTCATGACTCAAAACGAGAAGAGTATTAAAAGATTCCAAAGTGATAATAGATTAGAGGAAGTTAATTTGGCAATTGAGAACTTATTGAAAAATGGAATCAATCATCAGAAAACTTGCCCTTACACCCCGGAGCAGAATGGAAAAATAGAGAGAGATAATCGGACTGTAGTTGAGTGCGCTCGCACAATACTTATTAGGAAACAAAATATGTAAGAAACTATGGGTAGAAGCTACGAATGCTGCTGTTTTTATTATCAACAGGACTGGACGGACCCATACTCCTGGTAAAACTCCTATTGAACTGTTTCACAACAGAAAACCTGACTTAAATTTGTTCAAGCAATATGGCTCACAGATTTTTGTTAACATCCTGAAGATAAAGCATAAGAAATGGGATGCTAAAGCTCGTAAAGATATTTTTGTAGGATATGACGACAAAATTAATGGATATAAAATATATTTAAAAAAAACATAGTGGCCTGTGGCATGGAAGAGAAGTTTCTTAAGTCATTCTCATTTGAGATAGATCTCAAAGACACAGTAAAGACAATAATAGGTATTCAGGAGAAATGAAAAGCTAAAAAGAAATTCACAGAAGCATGAGAAAAGGTAGTAGAAGAAAGAAGAAAGTTCTCTGCCTAGCCAAAACTGATAATTCTACTCTGGACAATTGTACAATATCCAAGAAAGAGAAGACGAATTCTACCCAGACATTAGGAAAGAAAGGATAGGTTATAAAACAAGAAATAAACATAGATAGATAGATAGAAAAAAAAAATTATTCTGGGACAAAGTCCCTTTAAGAAAGAATAAACTACGAATGGTATTTATATTAAAAAAAAAAAATGTTTAAATTGAGGAGTTTTAATCATTTGGGAGCTTCAATTGCATATTGTCTGATAAGAAAAAAGTACTATATATATATACTATACTATATAATACGTTCTATATAATATGCAGATATTATACGTTATTTGTATCAGATCGGGAGATGATAGAAAGGATATTGGCAATTGAGAAGCGGAGAGGAGGTTTTGTGCAGAGTCAATGATGTAGAAGTCTAGCTGAGTGTCAGATCTGCTGGTATGGTGAATGGGGGGAAAAGGAACGATGAATAGGTGAAGCGAGAAAAATAGATTTTCTAAATAGGATTTGTCATTGGAGTTTGAGAGGAAATTGGTATATGCAAGGAAAAGATGGCATAAAATAAAAATATATGGATCATTTGGAAAGAACCTTTCCAGCAGCTTCTCAATCAAGGGTAATCTATAAACAAAGATTATATAAACTGTATTAAGAATCTCGACTCACAAGAGGTTGAAAAAACTTTCTGTATTTAGTTTCACATTTTATTTATTTTTTATTTTATTTATTCTGTGTGAGCTAATTTTTAATATTTATTCTAATCAATCAGATAAGCTAAAACGTCAGTACTCATTAAATAGCTTTTAATGGTAAGTTTGACCATCAGCCTGATCATCTTTTTAGATTAATTATTACAAGAGTCATATACTCATGTAAATAAAACAATACACTTAAAATGGTATTGGTTGATTACATTTTTTGCCTCCTCATCACAAGAAAATGGCTTAACTGATTCAGTCAGAAACTGCTTACTTTCCCCATCTTAAAGGATGTCATTCCAGATCTAACCTATTCAGAACATTTTCTAGATCATCGAAAATAAAATTGTTCAATTGAATTACCTTTGATAGTTCTTAGCTGGCGCAGTCTTGGAACTCCTAGTATTTTACTTGAAAAATCGTTTGTCCAACCTCTCAATTTAGGTGGTGGTAAATCCACTTCTTCATCTGTAAATGGATTTAATTAAATAGAATTTAACCATTTTATTTACTGCCTATTATCTCCAAATTATCCATGTTATCACTTCATACATCAATTTGGAATATGTTTGGAAAAATAAAAGTTTTTAAAAAGGAATCTAACTTTGAAAATTGACTTTAAAGAGTGAAAAATTGTACTCAAGCTAAATTGATTCTAAATTTGCTTGTCTAACGAGACTTAACTATTAAAATTAACGATTATTTAAAAATCAAAATTATCAAATGTATTTTATTCATAAAAATTATTTAAAAAAAGTCAATTGAGATCAATAATATTTCATCAAATCAGGCATAAATCCTCTATAGACTTTTAATCTTTAATTTACTCTTAATTTTAAGAACAAATACGTATTTGTTATTGGATGTTGGTCATCATTATATTTAATTAAGATAATGCACAGATATTGTTAATATAATAGTCGGCAATGCAAATATTTATTGAATGTATCAATATAATTTTAGATAATGAGGACGATTTATAATCTATGGAAAATATATAAATATTATTATTAAGTGAGATTATATAAATAAATAGCTAGCCTTAGACTTGTTTCTTAAAAATAGTTCAGAAATTAAGTTATGGTTTGAGGTCATAAATGAAAATATAAAAAAATATCAAAGTGCTCAGTAAAAATCATTTAGCAAAAATATAAAAACAGCGAAGCTGTAATAGTTGGGTAGGTTGAGGTAGTGAAACTATATGCACTATTACAACAGAAGTAATATCAAATGCCCAACATAAAATTCTGGTTTTTACATGATATGATGTATACAATGTTATAATGACATTTTATTTTTACAACACAAAAACCAACAAAAATTATAAATTTTATCAAACCATGGGCAATAAGCAATACTGGAGTCTAAGGCCACTATTGTTCGTCTTGGTCATGAATCCAGCAGGAAAAATATAACAAGGTCCTATCTATGAATTATTAATCTGAGACCAGCAAGTTGGGACGGTAAGATACCACTAAATTATAAATACTCCTTTAGTGCCATACTTCAACTGAATTGTGTACTAGTAGGCCCGTGCAAAAAATTCGCACAGCATATAATTATCAAATGCCAAATTAATAAGAAAATAAAATGATGCAACATATCAAAATATTAAGAAATCAAATGTTACTTTATCAATAAATATAATCGACAAAGAAAACAAAAATTAATTTAAATCTTCATTTTTGTTTGGAACCAACATGTTTACAAATTTTAGTAAGCTGTATCTTTGCTAAAAATTTTCCAATGTCGATGATTTTTTTTTCATTTAGTAATCTTTTATATAATCATGAGCATAACCAAGGGAAAAGTGTGTAATTTTTCAGTAATTCGCAAATAAAGTTTGTTTTCTTTCATAACTTGTTTGGCTGAATTTTCGGGGTGATTGGACTATTTTGCCCTCCTGAAGGAGAAGAAAGCCTTCGAAATTGGTGTCTAAATCTTGAGATTTGGTGAAAAATGAATGATGATATGACTTACCAATTCTACCAAAAACACCATCGATAAATAATAAAAACTCCTCCTCTCTCGATCATAGAGACCTCAAGTCGAGGAAATGAGACATGTATTCAATGACAGTACTACAATTAATGTAAGGTTGTGTGGATGCGAACCCTAAGCCTTGCGTTATCTCGAAAATAGTACATTTCTGGGCTTTAAAATGCAGGATCCGATAGTTCGGGAGGAACTATCCGGATCTTGCTGTACGCCTCAAATTCTTCAAGATCCAATTTGTCCCATATCAATCTACAGACCTACCACCGTTCCAGTATTGAAGCCTAGCAAAATGTTTGTATCGACTTTATTTATTTTTGAAAGAAAAACAAAAGTGGAGAATTCGATTCGCTAACCCTCTGTGAAATTCTGAATCCAACAGTACCTCATTCAGGGTATTTGAGCATGACAGGAGTTTATATTTGGTACAAAACCGATTTGGAGCCTTATTGTAATAATATATGTGGGGATGATACATGGGGTGAAATATTCAACACTGTTAAACATCACATCTAAGCCATATACAAACCTTAAATATGCAATTTCAGTTTCTGTTTTTGAGTTGGATTGATAACTAAAGATGGTACTTGGTTATTTGGACTCAACGGACCTCAAAACGTGTATTTCCATTGAAAACTCAGATTAGAAAATTTTCACAATTGCAATACTTTCTATTACATATATAGGTAAATGAAAATAAAAATAAATATATCTATCAATGTACATATTACAAATATTAAATAGTTTTGGTATGTGTTTCTTTTCAGAAAAGCAGTTTTTAAAGTCCATTATGCTTAAATTGTATGCATTAACCTTGTTTGATTTCAATATTTTTTTTAATTATAAAGTATTACCATTATTGACAGTCAAAAGTGGATGAATATAGCGACCGAATATGAGTACCTGTGAAATTACTACAATATTTACTTAAGTTATCAGTTGACAATGCATTATTCTTTGACTGTGTACTTCTTCAATAGGAATTTCTTTTTTTATACTCAATGATTTTTCAGAAATCTAACATAATCATCTAATCTATTAAGGCATCCTTAAAGGCTCAACTGACATAACTTTCATTTAGTTTCATTTTATAATATATTCAGAAGATAGAAACTGTGTAAAATGTTAAAATTGGGAAGTTGAATTAATATTTTTAATAATATATCGCTTCTTCAGATATTAGGAAAATTAAAATAAAAAAAATAATGTAAAATTAAATAACATTAAACAATATACTAAAAAACAGATATTATTATCCATACAAAGCAGTTGTATATTAATTTATAAAGGTTAATATTTCTGTGATATAAAAACGTTTATACTCAGTAAGCATAAAACAACATTATTATAAACTCTACTATTTTCATTTTGCCTAATCCTTTAAAAATCTTTAAAACTGTAATAAATAAGATATTTCTTACTTTCAACAGGTAAATCCATTCCATTATACCACTTAGTAGTATGAAGAGAAGGAAGGAAAGTTTTAACAGTATATTCGAAGAATCTGAAAATTTAATACATTAATGAACTAGTAGAAAAAAGGCCTTTTTAGACTCAGCGATTAAAATACTTTATTTTAATTTTATCCAAATTTTCACCTATTTAGGGATAAATCTTATTTTACATATATTGTGAAATCAGATTTATCCCTGAAGAGGCAAAAATTTGAATAAATTTAAAATAAAGTATTTTAATTATTGAGACTAAAAAGGACTCTTTCTACTGATACTTCGTAAAGCCTCTTTCCAAAGATCATATTTTATTACATTAATGAATACATTTTAAAACAAACAAAATTACTGAAATCATGTTAATACCTTGATTTATTGTACACTTCATCTATATCAAAATCTGTAATAGAAGCAGGAGACCTAATCAGATAGGATAAATGTTCAGTGCTATAATAGGCTACGCTATTATCAGATCCTGAGGTCAAAATCCATAGTGAAAAGAATAAAACACAAATAAAAAGAAAATTAATTATTCCCCATTTTTGTTGTTCTGTTCTTTTCCTCTTCTTAGCTAGCATCTGAAAACAATAATTGAATGAAGTTGGTTATTCATTACTAACTGAATGCATATATGGGAAGTTAAACTATCAAATTAATTTTTTTGTCAAGGAAAAATTAATTCATATACAAGATATTTAACATTTATAAGTAGAGTGCTTAATTGCAATTGTAAGATTCTTTTTTTGTTACAATATTTTATTTATTTTTCTTAACTGTATTGTTGAAATCAGGTTTGACTACATTAACGAAACTTATACAGTCAAACACTGTATTAAAAAAAACATGTTATAAATGAGAAAACAGTTTTTATACTGAACAGTGGATATATACGAAAACATTGAGAAACCAAAAATTCACTTCATATAACTACATTTCCAATATGCATCCTTATTATAATAATATAAATGTATTATTGATTTGCTAAGCATTAAAATCTGTTTCACTTAGGGACAAATGATAAATACAGTGGAGTCTCATAATCCAAGCAACGGTAATCTGAGTTTCCTTATTTACTTCACTGCAAAATGATTTTAAATACATATGCAATATGACAAGTAAATGAAACATTTCTCTGCCCTTAAAAGCAAAATTAAACACATAGTCTTTAATGACATCCACAGATGAACAAGAAGTAAGTGTCACCCATTGTGGATGATACGGTGGAAAATGGTACAAAACTTGATTCATGTAAGTCCAGTAAGATATTTCTCAAGATTGCCTCAACTTCTATATTGCAAATAAAAACCAGAGAATAAGGAAAAATAAGTGAGACATTTAATTTTGTGGTTGATTTGATATCAAGCTTGATTTATTTAATTTCCTAACATTATTCTAATAATCTGTTTTTTGTAAAATCTGAGGGAGATTCGGTTCCCTCCAAATCCTAAAATCAAGACTCCACTGCATTCTTAGTTTAAAACATATTTTTCCAGAAATAATTAATTTAAAAAAAAAAAGTGCTAATAATCATTGGATCGAAACAATATATGAAATAATTTTTCCTGGTCTGATTGAATATAGAGAATAATAATAAATAATAACCATGACATCCAATTGGCTTAAAGGATTATACATTGGTTTGGAACGAAGTTCCATCAAGTTTGTCATATAAGTATTATCTTCTTTCAAGGCGCTGTCAATACCTTTGTATTCTATAGAAAATAACATTATATTTCTGTTGTGTTCCTGTAAAATTATAAGGTGAAAACACAATGAATCAAAAACTACAAAACAAACTCTAGCTATATGTATTCAAATCTATATATATAAAAATGAATGTATGTCTGTCTGTCCGTCTGTTTGTCCTTAGTGCATTACTAAACCATTCAACCGATTGCCATGAAACTTTGGGAAGTGGTTCCGTACACTCCTGGGAAGGTTTCTGGCACAGTACTTCTGTCTTACGATAATTTTATATATGTAAAACAAATAAAAATGTAAATGTTTTTCTGTTCAAAGCCGCAAAAAATGTGTCGCTATAAACTGTAGTGCCAAAACGGCTTTACCGATTTTAACGAAACTTAGCTAAAGTCATCCCCTTGAAACCCTTTTAATTTATGTGTACAACATACTTTCCCGAAAACAAACTGAAAAATGTTACGATGAATTCAATATTTTATGAGACGATAACTAAAAAAGTACACAATTTTTGACTGATAATACCCACATTTATTTGAAAGATTCCTGATTTGCCGTCAAAAAAAAAAAAAAAAATCATCGAAATCGAACGGTTCGATGCAGAGTTATTGAGTTTTAAACATTTACTGCTTTCTCTTCAGAAGTAATTGACCTACATAAGGAGAATCATATATAATCTTCAAATGATAATTACTACAGTAATTGAAATTATCATTTGAAGAATTTATATGATTCTCCTTATGTAGGTCAATACTATTATACATTTTTTTTAATTTAGTTTTATTAGTTCAACTCAGACTGTTTCTGATAATTATGAATGACGGCGTATTTCCTCAGTCAGATGATTGTGAATGTTCAATTTGAATCATGAGAAAAAAAAAACAATTAGAATTAGTTTCAATTAACAAATTGCCATTTTACAGACAAATTTGTTTCCCAACTTTTTAAAAATGACAGACGTCCTTTGCTACTAATCTACTCATATGTGCTTTCTATTTTCTTTCTTTTTCATTTTGCCAGGCTAAGCCACAGCAGCGCGTGGCCGGGTAAAGCTAGTATAACATAAATTTTGATAGAATATTATTCATCAATTTAGACAATTTATTAGATTCTATGAATAATATGACATCTAGTACCATATATAATATAATATAAATGACAAAATATCTGTGTTTATTATTACTGAACATACTGGAACTGCTTTGAAAGGTAATCATCTCTTCAAGAATGATATGGAACATTACTCCAAGACAAATGTAGACCAAACCCAAACTTGGCACGGCACTATAGTGAGCAGTTGAAAAAATGTTGGCAATGTGATTGTAAAAAAAGAAAAAGAAAGTTTTAGACAAATATGCTAAAATGAGTCAGAAATATCTATCATGGACCGTACTAAGGAAATTATGGCTATCCCATTACGCTGAAGAGGGGCAATCAAAATAATGTTAGTCTCTATTAGCTTTTATAAAATAAAAACAAGCATATGATATAGAGTTAGAAACATCAGTGAATGGAAAAAAAAAGTGGAACAGTTAAAATTCCTTTTGATATCCAAAAGGGATTAAAATAAGAAGACACCGTTTCACCAATTCTATTTAACCTAGTGTTGGAAGTGATTACGAGAATAGCCAGCACCGAAGGGTAGTAATATAAACTATACTAATAATACAAAATAATAATAATAAATGCATATATCGCCGGCATCATGTTAAAGTAATGAATGTTAACCTGTCCATTGTTTCACAAGTGTTGTTACTTTAACATAGTGCTGAGAATATTTGTAAATATATTCAAATACCTTGAAAAGGAATGTGAAAAGAAGTGCAATCACAACTATTCTGATTGGTTGAATAATGAAGATTGTCTGACCTAACCTCAGTAAAGTAACTGAGACCCAGGTTAAGCTTTTATTGGGCCCGAGTTTTAATCCATAAAGTATGAGAAAAATACTACACCCAAATATTATAATGAAACTGAAAGTCCTGTAACAAAAATAAACATTTCAATACAGAAAAAAAAATTAAGGATTCATTCAGAAGTAAATAATAATTAAGGATACAAAACCAATTATCTTATAATATTTAAACTGTTAATTGTCTTTTGAAACAACAAAACTTTTACTCAAATTTAAGAGAGTTACATTTTTTTTCTTTCCTCAGTCAATTACAAAGGTTCGTAACTGAACAGTATCAAACAAAACTAGCAAATGAAAGCTGTCTTTATAAGGTTTTAAAAACCTTAAAAATGAATAAACGTACAAGGAAAAACATTATTTAGGAATGTACTCAATTAATCATACCAGGCAATAACCAAAATTATCTTTCTTTTTTTAGAATCTTTATCAGCTTCTGGAAATTCATCTTCTGATAATTCAACTGGCATTAGAGGATCCAATGTTAGAACACCCTTTACAAAATCTGACATTATTTCACCTATTTTTCGTTTTCCTGGTCAGGAAAAATACATTAATTATACATTGAAATATAAATGGAATTATCATTGTATGAGAAGTTTCAGCTCAAAATGCATTTTGTCTATTAACATTCATTTAGATTCCAACAAAACCATTGATGAAATACAGTTAGCAGTGAACAACAAACTTCAAAGCTCTAATATAATAACTTGGTAATAAGAAGCAATATAATTCAAAACTATTTACACAGACTAAATATTTATTAGCTATTATTGTGTATACATTATGAATAAAATAGCATTTATATCGTTTATACATACTTTTATGACTGTTATTTTCATCATTTTTTTTTGCAGGTTTTGGCCTACTACATCTGAAAAAAATATTGGATATAAACTAGCAAATCAGTTGTTTCCTATGAAACAAATAAACCAGTAAAAATACTAGTCTAATTTGAAACATCTACATTCTTAAGTAATTTATGCTATGGTCAAATGTATGTTGGGAGTGGGATAACTCAGTAAGGCACTGGGCTCCTGGCTCTGGACAGTAATTATTTATTATGTTGTATCAGTCATGGAGACCCACTTGGAAAACACCCACCATAAAGACAATACTTTTAACGGAAGGGATCAGTCTAATCATATCCTTGCACAACCTTTGAACTAGAAGCAAAACTTTCTTGCAAAGACCCAATATTAAACTTCCACTTAAAACTAATTAACTCTTAGTTTCCTCCCATACAGACTATGGTTTTCTGGTGTATGATGGACTTCATGGCAAACTAAAAGCTGGACTCAAAATAACTTATGAACTACTCAGTAAGATTTTTTTTGGTATTGCCAGAGATACTCATATAACCCAGTATTAAGCAGAATTAAATTGGCTCCACCCATCCTACAGGTGTAAGTATTTCCTTATATCCTTCTGAAATCAGATAATCGCAGGAGACGGGGTAGTCAAACGGGATAAGCATGTGCACTGCACCACACGTTTTCCAGCAACCTGATAACCGAAGCTTAGAGAAAAATAATTATGAGTTCACGTCCCGGTGCCAGGGGATTTTTTAACTTTGGCATTAATTCACTGCATTCACCCTCTGGTCCAGGAAAAACATATAGTCTAAAAGAAAAAAAGGGAGGGAAAAATCAGGTAATCACAACTCAACACCCCTCCTAAATCGTACAGAAACTGCAATTTAAATCGACTACCCAATCCTGTTCTAACGTTCTAACTCCTACCCTCCTCCTCATCAAACTGCTGGTTTTGACAAATCCTTCCTATTCCTAGTTGTTTTTCTTTGTAACTCTATTCTGCCCACCATACTACTATACATAGACATTACTAACAATTAGAAAGTGAATCAAGCGGGATTTCATTGTCTTGTTCAAAATTCTGCTTATAATTAGTAATCTTGGAATTAGCTAAAATAAATGAACTGTTTATCAGGAATAAGGACTAGCTGATAAATTTTCCAGTTGAGGGTTCATGTGAATAAAGGTGATAAGTGACCTTATAGAAAAATTGAATTATTTCTATTGATAAAGGTGCAAGATGATAATTTTAAACACTCCTTCCATTGACATAAATTCAATAGTTGACTCTGAACTGAGTTGATGAAAGTGCCAATGGAAGATGCACATCTTCTTCAATGCGGATAAAGGGAATTTAAATTCTATCTTCTCAGATCTCAAAAATGCTACTTATCAGCTTTATCCATTAGATCTTCCAATTAACTGGGATCTCATTATATCTAAAGGTAACTAAAAGGATATTTTGGAATACTGTTGAACAGAAATATAAATGGGACAAAACATGTTAATAATATTTACAACAAATCACTATGGATAATACATTCTAACTGAATGATAGAACATTTGGAGTCATAGAATGTGAGTCTTTGAAGATTATTAAAGGAAGAGTAATAAATCATAAGCTGATCCAATTAGCCATAAAGGATAAAGAAAAACAAATCTATTAAAAACAAGAAAATTTAAAGAGTTGATAATATTGAAATATTAGAGTTATAAACAAGGCAGAATGCATTGTATGATTGATGCCAACAATCTAAATATTTCAAGAAATAACAAAGTTACTTTTAGTTAGGGATTTAAAAGAATTATGTATTGATTGACAGATTTTGAAAAATCTTCTCATAGGATTCTCCTAGCTAAAGTACAGCCCAGAAAACACTGAAAGCATAATTACACATAAACTACAGATATATCAAAAGATGGCTGAGAGGAAGAAAAGAACACTAGATATACATAGGTATTAATAAATAACAAATATAATTATAAAAATGAAAGGAGAACAAATAAGTTAGATTAAATTTGAAAAAAAAAATGCTATTACAACTAAGCCAAAATATTTGATATCTCAATAGCCAATAAGTCCATTCTTGGATACCCGAAAAACATTAAGATAGACATTGTAATATATACTGACTAATTAGTAAGTAACACTGAATAAAATAGTGCCTCAACTGAGCCTAACCTTGGCTGGTTTGGGGCAGCATTTTTAGCATAAAAAAGTAAATAAACATCAATATACCGAAACAGTGTGAATTTATAAAAATATCTTAGTTTTGATGCACTGAATCTACTAATAAATAAAAATGAAATTAGTCAATGTTTATAAAAATTAAGAGAAAAATTAAGTAAAGCAATAGAGATATTTTACTTGAACAAATTTGCAACAATTATTGACACTGGTAGTGATATTAATAAACATTCTATTGCTACAACCATCTCCCTTGTTGTAAGTGAATATGTAGGGTCATCTGCAGCTATGTCTGTAAAAATAATTTGTTAATTGCTATTACACATTAATTATGATAAAATAATTTTTAAAAGATGTAAAACGAGTTATAATGTACAATCAAGGGCAAGGTGAAATAAAGTTCTTGCAAAGCATTATTTCAGCACTTCAATTCTTACCAAGGTTAGCTGAATTGCATTTGCTAGAGGACTTACAAGGTATGTAAATATGAAACAAGAATTCTTCCATAGATGGCTCTAGTTGTTAAGATGTTTACGGTCAAACTGAATTATTGGTGCCATTTTGTTTCTTCGAAAGCTGACAAAGATTTTCAACTCACAATGATACAAATTTCTTATACCAGAATATTTTAATAGTGCTAAACAGTCTAGTTTGTGCCTACAAACTAAGATTTGTGGACAGCATTAGTTCTGTTTTAGCTTTTAAAGAAAAATGCTGCAGAATCAAATTAAAGATTTGTTGAATCACATTAAAACACAAGGTGAGCATGTTCTTGCTAAACTGCTTTGAATAATTAAAAAAATTCAATAGTGACAATTTATATGCGAGAAATGAAGAACATGGAGGACCACCACAAAAGATTGAAGATAGTGCATTGCAAGCATTGTTGGATGGGATGATTCTTGAGCTCAACAACAACTCATGGATGAATTGAATATAACATGAAAAACTGTCTCCATCCATATGAACTGAATTAAAGCCAGCAAGAAAACCAGAAAACCACCTCTGAAATGTTGCTCACTAAGCGCAAATGGTGATAGGTTTGAAAATCCTAAAATCATAGATAACTCTAAGCAAATCATCAATATTGCAAGGTCAACTCTATTGGAAGAAGATATTGCTCTGTGTTTGATGAGACCAGAAGGATAAGGTCTACTATGAGATAATAAAACTTGACAAAACCATTAATATTAAATATTATAGAAAAAAAATGATGAAATTGAATCGAGTATTGTGTGAAAAATTACCAGAATATCAAAAATACAACAAAAAGTGACTGCTACAAAAGAGCAACAGTTTTTCTGGCATGACATTTATAATTTACCAGAGAGATGGAAAATATATACAGCTTGGAATGGACAATATTTTTAATGAACTAATTTTTAACAATTTTATGCAATAAATCTAATTCTGGTTTCATATTTACATACCTGGAATAAAATATATCATGAAAAAAAGTTTTTCTCAATTATAAAGAGATTGTATAAGAAAAGAAACAAAAAAATAAATAGTCTTTATGTTAGAAGTTTTTCCTTAATCTAGATATAAGTTTGTTATATATACCAGAGATGGGCATATTTATATTCAAAAATATAAATACGAATATTAAATGTATCAATATAACAATATTTGTAAGTACACACACATATATATTCAAATCTGTTCTGATTATATCAATTCAAATAATATTAACATATTCATAATTATAATTTTATGTTTCATAAAATGAAACGTTTATGTATAAATCATTTCGAGTTAGCAAATACCAACTTTTAAACATACCAACATTTTTTAAGAGATTTATTTAATAAACCCCTTACTGTCCAGAACTTTATTATAAATTTGAATTTTTTTTTTTTTGTTTTATTTTGGAAAATACCTAAAGTAACAAATAAATTAATATTTATATATAAGAGTATTCATTATATAATAAATAAGAGTATTCATTCATAAGGTTGTATGAAAATATTTCCATTCACTTCTGTAAATTTAAGCGTATTCATTTTAATAAACGTGAATACAGCCATATTCACTTTTACAACTGTAAATACAGCCGTATTTACTTTTAAAGTGGTGAATACGGCCATATTTATATTTACGGTTGTGAATACGTATCTTCTGTATTCATATTTCCTTTTATGAATATAAATGTATTCATATTTATATTCAAAAGTGCCATAAATATAAATGGTATTCGTATTTATAATTTTGAATATAAACATGCCCATCTCTGGTATATACTTAAGATATAAAAAAAAGTGAGAAAGTATATAATTTTATATTAAAAAATTGAAACATACTCTCTGCAGCTCCATAGAACATTATGGCTAACAGCATGGTAACAATAATGACACACATAGCAACTGTCAACCTCTGAAGTCTTGTGTAAGCTGTTTTGGGATGCCTAAAAAGTGAATTTTGGTTTAGATATTAATTATTAGTAGTTGAAAATAAAGTAAAAAACTACTGTCTGTACAATGGCTTATTATTATCCATTATTAACTTATAATTATTTGGAGCTTATCACTATATTATACTGTTATTACTTGCTAAATCTAATTAAGTATCTTTTTTTGGAGGGGTAATATAAAAATAAAAAAACAAGAACAAACAAAACAATTCATTAAGTAATGTAATAATTAAGATTTAAGTGAGATCAAATAATAATTTTTAAAAACCTCTTCTTTTAGAACCAAGTGACTGTAATAGACTGACCATGATTAGATGGCAAACCAAAGATGAATTCATGTGGCAAAAAGTTGAAACTTACAAATTTTGTTGTTTCCCATACCTTTCCATAGAAAGTATTTACAATTATACAAAATATTGAAAGGTTATAATGTAATATTCTATTATATCTACATATATATTTTTAAATAATAATGGAGAGTTATGGAAAAAACAAAATGTGAGTTTTAATTATGCCTTCAGGCTCCTAATTAATCGTAGTCAAACTATAGCATTGAATAAAAATTAAGTTAAATCAATTATTGGAGTACTCAAAAGACTACTACAGACTTAAAAAGATATTTAAAGAATTTTGAAGTGATCACTGACAAAACCTACCACCTGTCACCCAATGCATTCCTTGTCCCATTTTTTCCCAACTGATGCAAATAAACAAATATTTAGTTTAATTTAATAGTTTTGTCATTATTCAGCTGTTTAATAAACAGTTAAGGAAACTGACCAATAAAAAACAAATCCTTTTAGGGTCTGCTGTTTGCTCAAGAAAGAATTTATTAAGAAATAAAAGAGCTTACTAATGGATCCAGGATTTAACTTTGGAGGGCGGGCTTCAGTATGAAATCTTTTTTATGCAGATTATCCCATAAGTAGTGGGAAATTATTAAATTGGGTGATATATCTTGAGAGCTACAAATAAGTTCATTTAAACAATGACCAATTTTCAGCAGAAAAGTTGGAAATCCAAGTGTTTTTTTTTAAGTCAGTCATGTTTTTTGTTGAATAGGAAACAGTAACTAAAGAAATATCTAATTTAAGTAATTCACAATTGCATCACTATAAACAAGACAAAATTTGGTTTAAATTAAAATAGAATATGTTACTGCCAAAACAATTTAAACAGGATTTTTGAGCGGCTAAACTAAGCTAAGTTCTGTTTTTGAAAAAAATCATAAATTATTAGTGGTTTTTTTTTTTTTTATTCATCCAACTATACTACAGATACCCCACTTTTAGAAAAACTTCTTTGTTTAATTAGCTTTAAGTCTTAATTAATTAGAGGCTTGTTAGGGAAAAACTTGAGATTCAACTTTAGTTATGTAAAAAAAATATGGGATTTTTTATCCTGTCAAGTAAAAGTACCCCTATATTCAGCAAAAATGACTACAATTAATTGTTGCAAAGCTTTTATTACTTGTTTTTTCATGATATAAGATAGTATTATAATAAACATAATTGTCGTAATACACTTTTTTATTTATAAAAAAGATAAATTTGAAAAATGTTAATTTTTCAAATGTCTGTTCCGTAAAGTGATTATAAAACTGTTTTTCATCCAGATATGTATTATAGGGATTATGCCTTATTTATAAGTGGCAAAACAAATTTCAATTCTTAATAATGAAATCGCCAGCATTATAAATTAAGTAAATTAAATTATTACAAAGTACAAATTTTAATTATCAAAATATTATAAATATGTACCTAACGAATATGCTAATCCAAAGGTGCAACTCTCGAAGATTAACAAAGAAGTTTTCTCTAGCTAAATTTTGCCATTCAGTTTCCTGCAGACTAACCGGTACAAGTATCCATTCCAGCCTCCAATCCTTTTCAACAGAATAAACACTCAACCATTTCTCAACAAGAAATGTGTATTTGTCCCTGGTGCTTAGATCATATACAATAATTTTTTTGCAATACCTAAAAAAATCAATAATATCAATGAACTCGAACACCTTCAGTACCGGTAACATGCCCTCATAAGCCATATGCTTGAGTTGAAAAGTCGGCAATAATAAATATCTTAAAATGACTGTGACCTGACTATTTATCACTCAGCATCTACTCGGTCATCATAACCATCATGTTTCCATGGAGCAAGATTAATATACATTATTATTATCTAACCAATCAATACTACCCACTGGTAGTGGCTTCTTCTAACTTTAAAAGGATATTAAAGTTAAAAACATGGGTGCATTATTTATGATCACAAGGTTTTTTTTTTTTTTTTTGTTTCCCTTCCTTGCCTTTTAGGCTACACGGGATTTTCCCAGGTCAAGAGGTTAGGACGGGAGATTATTGCCAGGGTTAAAAGCCTCCCTCAGCACCAGGACGCAAGCTCGTAACTATTTTATCATTTATAACTCAGATTCCTCGCGCGGGCTCATTACCGCGTATGGGGAGCGTCCCACGGGTGGCGGATGTGGGGATGGTCGGTGGAAATTCCTTGGAAGTTCCTCCCGGCTAAGTCCGATGGACTCGCTGACCAACAATGAGAGGGGCCCTCCAGACTTGCTGGAGGGAGGGGACCTCCAGACTTGCTGGAGGTAGGGGCCCACCAGACTTGCTGGAGGGTGTGACGTAGGATTGAACGCCCTACTCACATATCTTTAGTTCACCAAACACCACAAAAAGTCATGGATCTCCCTAAGGTAAAACGCTCATTATCCGGAGGTAAACTAGTTCCCCGTTCGGGTCTCCGGGTGAGGACTGCTTTAGGGGATTCATGCCGCAAGTTGAAATATAGGGATTTAAATATTGGTACGTGGAACGTAAGGAGTTTAAACACAGCAGGGGGGCTAAAATCGGTCGCGAATGAGGTAAATGTGTACAATTTGGATGTCGTGGCTCTGCAAGAGGTTCGCTGGCCAGGGGAGGGCTCGATGAGGGAAGGAAAGTACACTATTTGGTACGGAGGAAGCGGGAATCATTGTTTGGGTACCGGGTTTCTAATTAGGAGTAGATTACTATCCGCTTTGAGGGACGTACAATTCTTTAGTGATAGAATTTCAGTAGCTACATTTCAGGGACGTTGGTTTAAAATCGCATTAATAAACATACATTGCCCGACCGAAGACAGTGACGATGAAGTGAATTTTACGATAAACTCGAATGGGTTTATGATAAACTACCGCGAAACTACATGAAAATAATTGTAGGTGACGCAAACGCAAAGGTAGGAAGGGAAGAAGTTTATATTCCGACGATTGGTAAAGAAAGTTTGCACGAATATAGTAATGATAATGGGATCCGTCTGATAAACTTTGCCATCTCGAAAAACCTGATAATTAAAAGTACGACGTTTAAACACAAGGATATTCATAAATATACTTGGACATCACCGGATTCGCAAACACGAAATCAAATCGATCATGTCTTGATACAACACAGCTGGCAAAGCAGTATAATTAATGTACGGTCTTATCGCGGAGCAGAATGTGGGTCGGATCATGAATTAGTAATCGCGAAACTTCGACAAAAACTTAATATAAAAAAGAGAAAAGAAAACCGTTTCGATTTTGAGAATTTTAATTTGGAAAAATTAAAAAATCCATCAATTAGAAACCAATTCGAGCTAAATGTTAAGAATAGGTTTGAAGCTTTAGAGCTTCCTGACGAGGACCACGAGGATATTGACAAGTTATGGATAGAGATCAGGGATAATATTAAAGCGGTCGGTAACTCGTGTCTAGGAAAAAAGGAAAATAAGAATAACAAACCGTGGTTTGATGAAGATTGCTTAAACATGTGTGAAAAAAGAAAAGCCGCTAAATTAAAAGCTCTAAATAATCCTAGCGAAGACAATCTGGAATACTTCCGAATCTCAAAGAACGAAACGACAAAATTGTTCAAAAATAAAAAAAGGGAGTATCTTAAAAACAAAATAATTGAAATAGAAACTAATAGAATCGAAAATAACGTAAGAGACATTTACAAAGGTATAAACAGATCACGTAAATATGTAGGGCCCGTAACGTCTGGAATTAGGGATGATAATAACAATATTCTGACCGATCCGGTTGACATATTGAATAAGTTTAAGGACCACTTTGACAATATTTTAAATACGAGAAATTATGATCTGTGTCCTCCTTCTGAGTACCAGAGTGCTGAACCGTTAATAGAAGGACCAAGTAAAGAGGAAGTTGAAGTAGCTATCGGAAAATTAAAATCATATAAAGCAGCGGGAATCGATAATATTCCTACTGAACTAATTAAGGCATGCGGGGAAGCTGGAGTTTCTAAAATACATCAGTTGGTTAAAAAGATCTGGGTGAACGAGAAATTACCTGAAGAATGGAAAGAATCTATTCTTATTCCGATTCACAAAAAGGGTCCGAGGACGGATTGTAATAACTATCGAGGAATTTCACTCCTTCCGGTATGTTATAAAATATTCACTTTAATCTTAACCAGTCGAATCACGGAATACGCCGAGGAAATTATCGGAGACTACCAATGCGGATTTAGACGGAATCGTTCGACAATTGATCAAATATTTTCTATACGGCAAATATTAGAGAAAAAATTGGAGTATAACGGTATTGTTCACCAGCTGTATATAGATTTTAAAAAGGCTTACGATTCTATTGACCGCCAGAAACTGTATAATATTCTAATCGAGCAGGGGATTCCAAAAAAACTAGTAAATCTAGTCAGGATGTGCTTGACGGAGACACTCAATAAAGTTAGAATCGGTAATAATTTGTCCAAAAAATTTGAGGTTCGTTCGGGCTTAAAACAGGGGGATTCTCTTTCGCCTATCTTGTTCAATTTGGCATTAGAACATGCCATTAGGGAGGTAATGCGAACCGAGAAAGGGTTGGATCTGGGCGGGACAACATCCGTGCTGGGCTATGCTGATGATCTGGTACTGTTAAGCGAAGACGTTGAAACTATAAAACTAAATACGACAACGTTAATGAAAGCCGGTAAAGAACTAGGACTCGAAATAAACGTGGATAAAACAAAATATATGGTTAGCTGCAAAAATGGCGATACTACTGGTGATATCGATATAGATGGTAATATGTTTGAACAGGTAGATAAATTTAGGTATCTAGGTTCTACGATAACTAGAAAAAACGAAATTGAAGAAGAGATTAAGGTTAGACTGAAGGCGGGGAATGCTTGTTATTTTTCTGTGACAAAACTACTTAGTTCGCGCCTCTTGTCCCGAAACTTAAAAATTAGAATCTATAAAACAATTATCTTGCCTACAGTTCTCTATGGATGCGAAACTTGGCCGCTTACATTAAGGGATGAGCAGCGTCTTAAGGTTTTTGAAAATAAAGTATTGCGTAGAATATTCGGACCGAAGAAGGATGAGTTAACCGGAGAGTTCAGACGGTTACACAACGCCGAATTGCGTGAGCTGTATCCGGGTAATATAATTGATGTAATTTCATCGCGGCGAATCAAATGGGCCTGTAAAGTTGTTGAGCTTAGTAACGAGAGAATTCCTAAAAGGTTAATATTTGCTGTGCCGAATGGTAAGCGTCCGAGGGGTAGACCGAAGCGAAGGTGGGAAGATTGCATTAAAGCCGATCTGAAGGGACTGGGTTTGGACGGCGAACGGTGGAGGGAGGTGTGTAATAAGCGATTGGTGGTATCGGCATCGAACCTTCGGGTTCGCTAAGCCTTATTATTATTATTATTATTATTATTATAACTCAGATTATCCATAAGATCTACACATGTGTTAGCCCACTCGGCCATCCTGCCCCCCTGATCACAAGATTTATTAGCCATTCATAGTATGATGTTAAATAATAAATATTAATTTAATAAGGGTTTTATTTATTTCCATTATAAAATGGAATAGGTTCCTATAAATTTCCAGAATTAGGATATTTTAGAGTATTTTTTAAATTTATAGGATATTCAGAGATCCTGAAACCTGATATTTGATATCATCAAGGCTATTAGAAATTCCAATAATATTCAAAAAGTTTTTTTTTTTTTTTTATTTTGACTTTTTTTTCATTAATTTAATTACACTTTGAATTCTAAGATCTTATCAGGCGCTACAGTCAAAAATGAACTTTGGCTTCCCTCACTGTTTGTCTTCAGCCGTCCCGTTCCAGCACCCTCTTCCTCCATACAGTAACTCCAAGTACGCATGCAGTAGCTAAGTCCTGTTCCATATCCTTCAGCCAGCGTTTTCTGAGGCATCCCTTTCTTCTTTTATCTAGAAAGTTTTCCTTTATTATCTTTCTCATCATCTGTTCTGTTATCCTTTCAATAAGTTCGAGCCAACTTAACCTTTTTGATTTTACATACCTAAATATATCATCATCCCCTATCAGATATGCTCCCCATTCGTTCTGATTCATCAAGGTGTCTTGTGAACATATTGGATTGAAAATACGTCTTAATATTTGTCTTTCAAAGATTCTTATGACATTTCAGCATCCAGGTTTCTGCATTATATCACTTAACCGGTCTTACCAGAGACGTATATATTTTCAGTTTGGTTTGCTTAGTCAGAAGCTTTGCTTAGTTCATTAGTTTCTGAAAACCATAGTTTTTTTATTTTAGCTTTTTATTGAGTATTAATACAGTCTGCCACACTGAAGGGCATTGGTACTACGGCTATAGTATTCAGAGAACCATAGTAGGCTTCTGTTCTCATCAATCCCCTTGTTTATGCAGGTCAATTCAACTCCAAGTTGGTAAATCAATCAACAGTTTTAAAGTGATAAGTATAAACAAGTAAATCATGCAGCCTTCTTCTGGTTGTAGATGCAGATAATACAATATATTTGGTTTTTTCTTCATTAATTACTAGGCCAACTTTCCTGCTTCAAGTATCCTATTCAACTAGTAATTCCTTTAAAGCACTTTCACTTCTCCCAAATATTACAATAACATCTGCATAACTAACCTCTCCATAGTAGGGCACTATATTGAACACTTAGGCAAACCAATAAAAAAGCAGCCTCTTTAATTCTAGAAACAATAGAAATATCTATTTACCTAGTTAATTTTCTATTTATCTATCTATCATCAGCGATACTGAATTTCAAGATTATTTACACCCTATTTTGGCATACAAATATTAAAAAATGATATTTCAATAGTTTTAAAAATATAATTAGGGAAAAACCAATGACTGAAAAGAAGTATTGTTTATCATGAAAAACTGATGAACACATCTTGATAGGTTTGACATATCATAAGTATGATTGCTTAAATCACTACTATGTAGACTTATTATAATCAATAATGATTCTGAGTTACAATAGCAAAGTCACTCTTGCCTTTTCAAGTAAGTGAAATTACCTGACTTTAATTTTTTTATTTTTAATAAAATTCCCTGAGTATTCCTGGTTCGAAAAATTCTCTAACTTTTTCAATTGTTTCAGGTTTTCAAGGTCTTGTAGACATGGCTAATAATAACCAGTCCGCGGTAAACTATGAATAATATTCATCCCATGCCCTCTCCCGTGGCTCAGGAAAATCCCTGTATAATCTAAAAGGAGAGGAAGGGGTAAATAAAAAAAAATTTTCTTTTAGTAGCTATAGAACTTTAAAGAGCCTGTTCACATTCGCCATTGGCATAGTAAATTGTGAGAAATGATGAATTTAAAAAGGAAAATAAAATAGTAATATTTCAAAGTGTCATGTCAGAGCTGAGAAATGGGATCTTGAAACATAGGGTTAAGAATTCAAAGCTGGATAAAATTGTATACTTCAATAACATACTTGAAAAGAAAACTGTAATATTACTTCTAAATTATATCTACTGATAATATATGATAAATGTTAATACAAATTTTTAAACATTCATGAGGTAAAATTATGAGAATCTGTTATCATTTAAAAAAAATATAGTTACATAATAATCTTATAAAATATATATTAGAAAATCCTTAACAAACCAGTCGGGTGAGGCGCCATAATTATCATGCCAAACACGTAAGCATTCAATATTTCCTAAATATTGTTCTGTAAAAATTAAAAACCAATTATCCTGGGCTAACTGAAGAACATCTTTATCATGGTTCAAAATATGAGTCTGAAAGAAAATATTTAGTATAAAATTCAGAAATTTACAGATAAATTTGAAACAATTTATTTTTTATTTTACATGACTTGCACTGTTTGAACCACAGATTTTCACACCAACATGAGCAGTTGTACCAGACATAGTCATGTCACCAGTGAAAACTGCCAATAAATAGCCATAAGCTTCTCCAGGGAAATTGTCAACCAGTAAACGAACAACTCTCTAAATACAAGAAAATAACTGATTATCACAAGAAAGAAAAACTATAACATTTTTAAAATTGCATTTTAATCATGTATCATTTGTGGGAATGTTTAAAATAATATATATATATAAATACTTTCAAAACATTGTTTTCTTAAATTTTATTTTGGTTATAAAAACTTTATTTAGGCCTGTCAATCACCAAATGTGTTCAAAACACAAGATATAAATGAAATTTCAGGCATGGGAAATAATTATTCTTAAATTAAACCTTCATTTAGGTGTGGGATTTATTCGCATATCATCTAAGAGTGTGTACTGTAGGAGTATAATATATGAGGGGACCAACCAATTTCCAAATCACCTCCTTCTACTGTATAGAAAACCTACAATACTACACTACAATAAACAAACAAAAAAATGGTTGTGTTCATTTTGGAAATCTTCAATTAAAATATGGATATTTCTAACAATAAACTTATCAACTATATTAAAACGTATATAGACAATCATACTTATGCAAGAACTCTCACATTAGATATCTGTAATTCTTTTCTATAATATATTTGATATGAACGCTATCAAGAATATATTTTTATTTGTATAAAGAATATATCATCATATTATCAAGAAAATTTATTTAACAGACAATCGGTGAAACTCCATACTTGACAATAATTATGTAGAAAGTAACTGTTCACTTAATAAGTAATTAGATTATTCTACAAGAAAATATCTTTTCAGTCAAAAAATCAGACTGTTATCTGTAAATTAACACTGATTTAGTATAGTCGAGACCTACTGGGTAGGTGTAAAAGAGCAGCATTCTTCGGTTATAGTTCTCAAAGTTATAAAGAGTGGAATGTAATATAAGAATAGGATTATAACTTTATCACTGTTATGGCTACATTAACAACCAAGAAAATTTAACTATGTCAAACAAATGTGTTTATTTTTATGAACTACAATCCAATCAAGATACCCAACGGAGCTCAGAAATATACTGATTCGTTTACTTTTTCAATAGATTTTTAGTTTATTGTGGAAAATAAGTGCAAGAAATGGGATTTAAAAAGGGCTGATGGTCAGCAATATTAGTCAAGTACTATAAGTTATGTCCTCAGGTCACACTTCATGGTCATATTGAGACCAAAAAATCATTATACGGTGTAGCAATAAGCCCAAATGACTAAATTGGGCACCAAAACACTGCTTCTAGACAGCAAAAGCAAAATGTAATAAGGATTGACAACTCCAAATTTTCAGAAATAAATTAAGAATCTTCATATGTTGGTCTAAGTCTAAGGCTAAAGATGATCTCAGACAATTTTGTTGTCATTGTCAAGCACAAAGATGCATCTGTATTAGAGTAGGAGTACTTCTCATTGGCTACCATTCCTGAACCGGATACAATACAAATGTTCATTTAGAAAAAAAATTCTTTAAAATATTACAAATAACAAATTATATTAATTTAAAAAACGTAATTACTAACAATAATTTTAATTAAAATTAAATTTGTACCTCATTTTTGTCTTTTCTGTCCATTCGCCATGCCCAAATGAATAATGCAAAATAAATCAATAACAATAGGATAACAAATGAGAAAACATATGGATTATCTTTTATGGTTATAAGCAAGATTATATCATTGACTGGATGCAAATTATTGGGTGGTACTAACAACGAAGAGCCAAACATAGAAAGATGTTCGCAACGGCAATGAGTGAGTTCATTTGTAGATTCAGGTCCAATCTAAATATGACAAAGAAATTATAATTATTTTTTATTATGAAACTATAAATAAGATTTTATAGACTCTATTTACAATAACATCGATATTAAGTAATTAAATTTTTATTAGTTTAACATCTCTATGTATGAGTACTCCAACTATGACAGAATTGGGAAGTAATACTATAGGCTACTGAACCATTCTATCCACAGAGAAGAGGTTGAGAGTTAATAAAGGGTCTAAGAACAATTTTCGCTATCTAAGTAATTTATTTGTTAAAAAAATTATTGATCCTGAAAAAGTGGAATATTTAATTCAATTATTTCTGAGAAGATAGGGAATACAATTAAATACATCACAATTTTTTTTAAAACAAAAACTGGCTCAGTATAAGAAAAAAAATTTAATCACAATTTCATACTAATTTAATTAACCAAAATCTTTAATTTCAGTCAAGTTAATATTTCATTGTAAAACCATATTTTTCATACATCAATGTCCTTCAGGTCTTGAACCTATTAATTTTAGTATCAAAGGAGGATATGATTATAGTAGGGATGTGACAGCATTCATAAAATAAATTTTTTATTTCAATTAATTTTTATTTTTGGTTTTTCATGTTATAAATAATGATTATTTCTGTTCATTTCAAAATGAACGATTTTTATATGGCTTTGTAGGGAATTTCATTACCTTTCAAACGACATGTTTTACGGCTAAGCGGCGTGTTTTAGTCTATATACGAAAATTGAAAGAACAATGATTATAACATTATAGGAAAGTTTCATCAAAATCGTTAGAGCCGCTTTTGCGCTACAGTCTATAGAAAAATATGTTTTTCATTTATTGCGCGCAAGCTATTGCGCATGGAGCACCAAATTTCTGTCACAGACATCAGTAATCAAAACCCTACAAAATAAAAAAAGAAGCAACAAAATCGGTTCAGTAATTCCCGAGAAAATCTTGGCACAGACAGACAGACAGACATACCAATGGCTAAAAATGTGTTTTTCGGACTCAGTGGGCTCTAAAACCTATAGATCCATCGAAAACCGGATGTCGGAAATTTTACCCGATCGCAATTCCTTACCTAGTATAGGTAGGAAAGTAATAAGTTAAAAAAATGTGTAAAAAATAGAATAAGCTATATCATCACTAATACTGATTCGATTCCGATGATTTTTTTTTTTTGTTTTGTTGGTAATGTAATTACCTTTCAAAAGTTTTATTTAAATTTTACCGTATAATATATATTTAGAGAGTTAGGCCCCATAACATTTTACTTTTCTTTATAACTTTTTTTCCTGATTTTTTTTGGGGAATTTAGTCTATATACAAAAATTAAAAGAACAATGATTAGAACATTATAGGAAAGTTTCATTAAAATCGTTAGAGCCGTTTTTGAACTACAGTCTATAGAAAAACATGTTTTTCATTAATTGCGCGCAAGCTATTGCACATGGAGCACCGAATTTCTATCACAGGGATCAGTAGTAAAAAACCTACAAAATAAAAAAATAAGCAACAAAATCGGTTCAGTAGTTCCCGAAAAAATCCTGGCACAGACAAACAGACAGACCAATGGCTAAAAATGTGTTTTTTGGACTCAGTGGGCTCTGAAACGTCGTTTTAAATAAACAGGATTATGATCTCTTGCAAAAAACGTGGACAAAAATTGAAATAGAAACTTAGTATGATGTTTACATAGGAAAAGAAGGGGAAGTTGATTTCCGGGCATTGATGAACATCAATGAAGAGAATTATTGAAGGGTGTAGAGAAAAAATAGGTATTAAGTCAACAAATGTGGAAGATTTGGTTGTTTTGTTCATTGAAAATAAAACTAAAATTGTTGAATTACATCGTAAAAGTTACATTTTAATTTGTTTATATAAAGAAATAAATATTCATTTACATGTATATATTTTATTTATTTCATTAAATTAATCGTAATATGCAATTATATGCAAAATAAAATTTGACTAATTGCATCACAATGTAATAATTTATATAGATATCTAATCAACAGTTTAAAAAAAAAAAATCACACAAACTGCAATTACATAAAAATCCGGGCTCTGGTAATAGCAAATAATATAATATAGATTTAGACTAATAAATAATTATTAATCTAAATCTGTATCACAATCAAAAGTTTTTAAAAAATTACAAAGAAGCTTATACCAAAAAAGTTAAGTTTTTTCATATTTTCACAATAAAAACTGAAAGTTAATACATAAAAAAACAGTCAAGAAAAACACTAACTGTGTTTTTATTTATTAATATTAATCAGAGAGGAAAAAACTGAGACCAAGAAGAAAACTTACCATATAATGAATATTAAAAGCTTATAATATTAGCCACACATATCTTAATCTATTAATTAACAAATTTGCAGATACCTCACAAAATTTAACATCCCAGTTTTCTTTAGACCATGTACGACAGAACTGATCATGAATGTAACATGTAAATGGCACAAGCTCTCCAATCGAATGCTATAAAAACAGATAATTAATTTAATTAAAGTTACTCTAAAACTGCTATAAATATGACAAGATAAACAAAACATGAACATTGATTGTGATGTTGCTGTAAATTTTCAATTAGTATAAATTTTCTTAAACTGTCAAGTTGAAACTTTTAACAGATTTAAACTATTTATTAATATGAAATATACTATGAAACACAGCATGCACTTGGACTATCTCAGCTTCGGCTGGTCACTAAAAAGCCGTCCTGATGATTTATTTTAATTATATCTCTCTTTATATGTTTTCGCCATCAGAGATCTTGCAGCCCAGTACCATTCTGATTTGGACGACGCGGTATCTCTTATGTTCAAGAAGCACGAGCATACACCTAGATGCGCTGCGTCCATATGTGTTCCCGAATTCCATACATTGCTATGTGGAGAGTCTGCAATTCCTATTCCATGCAGGTGTTTCCTAAGGTAGTTGTGGCCTGTTATCATCCCGAACTCTGCCTCAGCTTCCTTTCTCGACAGTTCATGGGAACTCGATCTGCTTCATTAAACAATTTTCTCCATTGCTTTTTCACAATACTGCTCTTTACGGCTTCCAGTAGTGGAGCCTCACTTGCCTTATGTATTTATTTTTTGGATCTATGATATGATATTCCATTTTCTGGCAGGTTCAATGTGGAGTCTTCCTTGGCGAGTTTATCAGTCATTTCGTTGCCATGGAGACCACAGTGACTTGGTATCCACTGAAAGAATACCTCTGTTCCTCGAAGAAGTAGTTCCTATATGATCTTTTGGTACTTCAGAATATTCTAAGCAAAGGATTCATTAGCCTTTGAATCCACAAACAATACAATATTTTTGGCATAAGTGTGATAAGGCTTGCAGTGCCAATAAAATTGCTCTTATTTCGTTGTCAAAACTTGGAGTCCATTTCCCAACAGGTTTCGATATAGTAAACAGTTGGGAGTATGTACCTGCCCTTCCATTGTGTATTGCTAGTTCGGCAGATCCATCGGTGTACACATGAATCCACGGAGGGCTGGGGGAACGTTCAGCAATCGTTTCAAGAGCCAAGGAACTTAGTTCTTCTGGTATAACCTCTTCTTTTGTAATGGATTTAATAAGGTTGAGTTTATATGATACTGTTTTTACAAGAAAAGGATGTGGTATTAGGAAAAGTGGTTATCTTTGAGCGGGGAGCAAGTTTGTTTTATCTCTAAGCTGTTGAGGTTTCTCTAAAAAAGTAACTTGCATTATGTCTTTTTGATGCTGGCTTATTCTTCAACCAGTACTCTATAGGAAGTCTTTGTAGTTGTTCGTAGAGACTTATTGAACTTACTTCTCAACACATCGTTATAGGCTCCACATTTCCTTGTACCTGCATAACTACGATGGGTGTAGACTTCGGCGCACCTGTTATTATCCGGAGTGCTGAGTTTTAGATTTTCCCAATTTTTTGCCTAGCGCTTTTAGGTGATGTTATCTAGACTCTCCAGCATATTCCAAGCAATGTTGTACGCACGATTTTTATGCCAAAGAAACTCCATCTTGCGTCATTCACCACTTCATTCCTGTCATTCTAAGAAGTAGATTTATTCTTTGTTTCTCTTTGTTAGCTCCTCTGCATGTAGAATCCAGCTTATAATCTGTTATCAAGTTTTATCCCGAGGTAGGTGGCTGCTTCAGTCTTTTGGTATTACCTCTGATCCATATTTCAAAGTTTTGGGAGGAATATTTTTGGCCAGCAAAAACAGTTGAAATTCTGTCTTTGATTTATTTAGCACAATTTCATAGGCCTCACACCACATTCTTAGTTCCTCCAGAATGTTGCTCAGAAAATCTTCCAGAGCTCTTCTGCCACTGCTAGTTGCCCTTAGAACTAAGTCATCAGCATAAAATAGCATTTTTAGCCCAGGAAATTTATTCTACAGAAATTCAGTTAAATCGTTGATCACCAAATAGAAAATAAGAGGACTCAGCACTGACCACTGAGGAAGACCCTGCTTTGTTTGGTTAAATTCTGAAAATTCATTTTTATACCTGACTCTAATGAATCTTTGGGAAAGGAAGGAAGCCAGAAACCTGTATAGATATCCATGTATTCCCATTCCCATAAGCTTATGCAGGAGTTTTTATCCAGACCCCCTCAAAAGCTGTTTTGAAATCAACAAATACAGCTAAGGAGCTTCATCTTCGATGACAGCCGTTATTCACTTCTTGTCAAAAATGAACAATCTGTTCAACGGTGGTCCTGTTTTTCCTCAACTCTGCTTTTAATAGAAATAGTATGCCAATTTGCTCCACAACTGTCAGTAGTCTGTTTATTGCCATCCTTTCTAGTAACTTACAGATACAACTTGTCAGGGCTATTGGCCTGAAGTTTTCTGGTTTGTCAGAGGTAACAAGGTGATCTGAGTTAACAAGCTCATCACTTTTATTTGCATATGTTTTCCAATTTGCTTTTTTCATATTGCAGGCTGAAGAATTTCTCTTTGTTACACATTTTCGAGGATATGCAAGCTCAAGGATGAGGATCTTGTGTTTTCCAGGAGAGTTAAACAAGTTATGGTTAATCTTGTCGGTTAGGGCAGGGTACGCCATGACTACATTTAACAGAATGCGCAATGACACTTTAACATGTCTTGATTCTAAAAAATTTCCATCAGGGGAATTACCTAATGTTCAGACTTTATACCTACTCAATTATATATACATTTTAAAGTGGTCCAAGCAGGCACCGTGTATTATGGTTTCAACAAAGTTATCTCAAAAACAAATAACATAGACTAATGGATTTATCACCAAAGTGATTAGCATACAAATAAAGGAATCAGAGTTAAATTCCTAAATGAAATAAAAAATGGAGAAAAGTGAATAGAGATACATTCATTATCATGATGAATAGATGATGAATAGATAATAGAATAGGTAGCAGTAATGGTAGGTAATAAAGTTGGGCAACTTAGCTTTGGCAGGCTATTAGACTTCTCATAACTACAAAAATGGCAGAAAATAACCATTTGATAGGCCTCACTTTTATCCCTGGTGAGCCTTAAAATATTAATTATATACTAAACTTTTGTTGTAAATACAAAGTAATAATTCATCTTAAATACTATAATAATAAATACAAAATAATTCACCTTTGAACTAGGAAGAATCCCAAGATATATCATGGACTCAGGGCCTGTACCAGCCATTGATCCACTTTCATATTTATAATCTTGGCTACTTAGTGTTTTACCTTGACCTCTCACTTTATCATAGTCTGGGTATTCATCGACCAATATTAAAACCTAAAAAAAAAAGAAAGATTATAATACAGAAAATAAATATGATAATAAAATATCACGAATGAGCCATTGTTGATTCAATATAAAACTAAGATCTTCCATTACTAAAAAAATGAACTGGTGAGTGCATCACACAACTTTCACTTACCACTCTGCTTCGAGTAGAAATTACTTTCTGGCAAAATTGGGCCATTACAAAAAGTTTTTGAAAAGCATTTTAAATGAAGCTAAGCCCTAAAGAGCACAATTGTTTATTGTGATCAAATTTAACTTTGGAAAAATTCATCAAGACCATCAATATAACACAAACCGTATTAATTATCTAGCAACTCTATCAGTCTATTTGAACTGCAATCTCTAAGCTCTGTATATAAAGATTTATTTGAAAGTATGCATATATATATATATATATATATATATATATATATATATATATATATATATATATATATATAGTTACAACATATTGAAAATTATTAAATCAGATTTCTAGTTTAATATTTTTTTACTTTCACTTAGGGTGAACGCACCAGTTATGGACAGGGGGTCGAGTGTTGGACAGTTTGGACTTTAAATGTAAATAATAAGCTTCCTAGTTGATTTAAAGGTTACAGTTTTTTTCTAGATTGAAGAACGATGCCCTCTATTGACAACTGTACAAATAAAGTTCCCAAAAGAAGGTTTTAGAATGCCTATCATTGTTGTTTGTATAGTGTTCTTGAGATCGGTGTGTTTCATACCTTCATACTAACAGTTTTACTAAGAGTAAGTTGAACATTGACATTCATAGGTGTTTAAATTTTAGAGTTTTCACTATGGAAATATTCATTATACCATTTTAGAAGAACTTCAGCTATTCCAATTTAGCATTAAACTTAATTGATATTTAAATTTTTAAAGACTATTAGGGAGTGCCCATTATTTGATCAAAAATCGGCTGAAATCTAGTTATGGACGGACATCCATGTTCATTAATGGTGCTCGGCCCTTTTACGAAAAATTTTCATGTTTTTGTAATTTCTGAGTCTAGAATCAACAGAAAATCGCATGGTATTCTTAGTTTTTCTCTAAAACATCTCTAATCAATCTTAGACAGAGGTGTCCATCACTAGGCCTGACCATATCCATTACTGGCCCCCCTGTGTCCATTATTAGACATGTCCATCGGTTTTACTAGTTTCAATAGAATCTTTTGCTCAGGTTTGACTGTCAATACAAATTCAGATATTAATAAATCATATAGGTACGTGTGACGTGTCACACAACTTTATTCTGAACTATTAACCAAAAAATTATATAAAAAGTTGTCTCTTTAAAAGGTTTTTATTATTCATTTTTCATTTTAAAAAATTGAAAATCAAATTATTTATTAGATAACAATATAGGCTTTTTCCATAGACAAAAAAGTACTTCATATAAAATAAAAAGAACCAACTTTACAATAGGCACATATTCAAAAAGTTCAAAATATGATTTCTCTGCCGTCTGATCTCGATAATTTTTTTTTGTTGTTTAGATAATTTATTTATTTTTCAAATACACACGTATATATAACAGTTATACAACTAACTCTATTAACAGTTAATAAAATTAACTTTTTGTTTTCTTGATTAAATACAATAGTTCATTATTGAAAATAAGAAACCACAAATCTGAACAGTCTGTTTGCAGGGTCAAAAGTTGTTTATAGGGTCATTGAAAAATTGAGCAATACAGACATTAAGGTTCACCAAAGGAACTCTTGTAATTGACTGAAGAAGGTATTTGTTGAAAGTAGTCTAGAAGTCATTATTATAAACGTCAAAAATATATGTAATGCATAAACCACTAGTTTTCGGAAACGAATGTAACCGATGTTACTAATTTCCCAAAAGTATACATGTTTACTGTTGAACATATATTTATCCATTATAATATTAATAAAAGGGATTTGAAAAAAGGGCAGTGTAATAATTAAAAAAAAAAAAATAATATATTAGGTACCTATTATGTAAGCATCTCAAGAATTAATGATTAATTATATACATATTTTTTTATTCCATGAACCAATTATAAACAAACGAATTAAACAAAATAACTCTAATAATCGTTTTTTTTGTTTAGTAAAGATTTTAGAATTTTTCTGAGGTATGTCCATTACAGGGGTGTCCATCACTAGTGCACAAAGGTGTATTTTTTAAAATTGAGATCATACCTGCAAAACTGAATATTTTTTTGATTTTAAAGTGTTTATTTATTTATTAACGAAACAAAAATGTAGAACATTTGATTAAATTTGCAATCTGCAAATTTCTTCGCAATAAGCAAATTGTTTGGCAGCTTCACAGCTTCCCATGATGTCCGGGATATAAATCAGATCAGCAGGTCTCTTGGCCAACGCCTACGTAATCGTCGTAGTGGGCTGTACGGGTTTCTTGTACGATGAAGAATTTCTGTCAGGGGATTCATTGTGGGTTGATGGTTGACTGTAGTGAATAATAGAAGAGAAGCATGGTTGGGGTGATCAGTCAAAATAAAATAGTAAAAATAAATTATTGTATTTATTTTCACATTTGCCGACGTTTCGGCCCGAAGTTCAGGCCTTCATCAGGGCTGCTCTATTAAAAATCATAGATAGATATATCAGAACAGCCCTGATGAAGGCCTGAACTTCGCGCCGAAACGTGAGTGAATGTGAAAATAAATACAATTATTTATAATCTAACATATGTCTATTATAGGCCATAGGTCACCAAAAAAACACAGTTTTTTTTATATATTACATGTATATAATAGACATATGTTAGATTATGAGAAAATGGCACCAAACCCGAAGGATGGGACTAGACAATTATTTATTTTCTTTTGACTGATCACCCCAACAATTCTTCTCTTCTATTATAACTATAATAATTACGCCGACATAAACCAAAAAAGACAAAAATTTCCTTAGCTGTGTCCATCACTGGTGGGCTTACCCTACCTATATATATGATATATATAGTGTAAGGTATTGCAATCATGAAAATTTTTGAATCTGAGTTTTAAAAAAAAAATACATGTTTGAGGTCTTCTGAGTCCAAATAGCCAAGTCCCGCAAATGGTCTATGTGTGTGTAAAAAACAAATGTTACACCAAAGTTGTAAAATTTATGAACATTTGTTTTTAAGTTATATTGAAGAACGTTTCAAAAGTTTCTACTGGAATTTCATTTAGTTTCCATGGACACATTTATTATCCATTCAATAATATGAAAGTAGGCATTATAAACTAAAATAGTTAGCTTTTTGTTACTCCTTAATAACTTCTATGACTTTATATAGTAGGTATTATAAAATAATACCTAGTATTACATCAGGCAATGTGTCCTATAGTATAATTCATATTGGCTGAGTATATCAGTCAACATCTTTGAGCTGATATTTTTACCAGTTTATTAAACTTATTTTATTTCAGAATTAGAATAATTTTAGGACCAGTCCCATCAATACCACATGTCTAAAAAATATCCATAAATTTGAAATTCTAGCAAAATCCTTTTAATTCAATAATGAAAAGTTAATGTATACAAGATTAGATCATGGGGTAGGAAAAAAAGGTAGAAGAGAGAAATAAGAAAACAGGGGATTGACTGATGAAAATAATCTGATTATTTCTTTAAAAAACATTGGTATACAAAGTTCTCACTAATTAATTTAGCAAATGAAATTTGCCAAATAGGTTTTAAATTTTACATACTTATTTTCCACAAATTTAATTTACTTACATCCAATTCCACATTTAATAAATCAGGACACTCCAGGTACATTTTCCCACCTCCTTTTTGCTTTTTATCCATTGTGAATACTTTAACCAACAAATCTTTTATTTCTGAAGACAAAAATGGATCAGGCTGCATTACTTCTCCTATTATAGGTGTGTCATTTGAAGGCTTTGTCTGGAAAAGATTTGCTTTAATAAAAACGAACAAAAAGGTCGAAATGTTTCTAAAATGCACATAAAAACAAATGAAGCCATCAATGTTCAGACTGCTTATAAGATAAATCTTCCTTATAAAATTTATAAGATCATAATAATAATAATAAAATTAATAAAATAAAATAATAAAAGATTATAAAATTGTAATAATAATTATGATACCAACATAAAGGGAATACCTCAAAAGCAGATTGAAAATTATTGAGGGAAATTGGCTGGCTGGAGATATATGTGAATTATACACAGATATCAGGAAAGAAACGGTAGGATATAAGATGAAAAGATGCTGATGGCATCTAGTAAGAACATTTTCAGCAGCTACTCAATCAAGGGGATTCCAAGAACAAAGAAGACATGGACAACACTGAGGACCTTGACTCAAAAAAGATTGGAAATCAGATATATTGGATGTAGAAATAGCTATTGAAAGGCCCCAGGGATAGATGGACAATCTATCATCAGAACTCTTTTAAGATTTCTTAAGAGAAGACTTAAGAGCCAAGTTACTACAACTTATCCAGAAAATATGGGAGGAGGAAAGGATACCAGATAAATGGAACATGGGCCTAATCTGAACTATCCTAAAGAAAGACTCCATGTATGAGTGAATTTATTACAGAAGTATAACACTCCTTCCGGTTGTTTACAAGGAAATGACTAACATCCTATTAAACTGGTTGTATCCGTATTATGAAAACATAATAGATGACTACCAAGCTGAATTCAGAAGGGGAAGGTGGATAAAAAATGCAAACAGAGCTTTCTTCTCTGTTTCAAAAGTATTGAAATCTTGAAAAATTTCAAATTCAGAGTGTACAATGCTATGATAAAGCCAATTCTGATATATGGCTTAGAGACGTGGACATTAATACACTCCCTAGAAAGAAGTATAGAAAGATTAAAGAAAAAAATACAACATGACATCCAAACACATACTCTATTGAACAAAAAAAGTTATATGTATTTTTATTTTTTATAATTAATTTTTCTTATTTCTGTTGATGAGAAATTTGCTATATTTTGTCTGTACACGTGCAATTTAAGTTGTTTCTGTCCTGATGTCTAATTGGTGAAACATTGACAGGTTAGTTTGTGTTTCGTTGTATTTTTAATATTCAAGTCTGTGTGGTTAGATTTAACAGTATGTGTGAGTCAGCTGGTCACCATGGGCTGCTATCCACACTTCTTTATAACCTGCACACTGATAATTCTGATACTGATAATATCAACCTTCTTGTTTATATTTATGGGAATAGAAATAGACAAAAATAAATGTAATAATAACAAAACACTTTTATTTTATTTATTTTGGGAGAAAAAATAGCTTAATGCTATTTAAAATAGCGAGAAATCGGTCCTCTTCTCTGTGGACCCGCTGGCACAAAAATTCACATAAATATGAATCCAGGTGTTACCTTGCAGTTCCTCAATGTTTTTTTTTTTATTTCTCCACTTAGTTCAGCTCCATAATCGTTTTATGTGATGAGTATGGAATCCACTTGAAGAATCGGCAATGTTATACCGGTGAGTCACCTGGAAATCGTTGTAATTTGCTTCATTTAGTTGTTGGGTTTTGTATCTTTTCCAACAGTCAAAATATACAGTGGTTCTCTCTTCTATATTATTTTCATTACATTCTAATAGAGTTGTTGCTTTTCTGTCTTTTATTTTTACATTGAAACACTCGCCTGTTTCTCCACAAACTACGCCAAACATCCATTGTTCAGGGAGCACTTTCTCTACATGATTTTTTTCTTTTAGGAAAAAGACTTTCGTCTATTTTAACCACTTTTCCAGGCCCTCCAATTTTCCAGCTGACCTGTACAGAAAGCACAAGTGATGAGCAGAGACAAGTGATGAGAAGAGGTTACACGAGATAAGAAGATAGGTTCCCTGGTGAACCGGCTGAGTCACAAGTACCAATTATTCCAATTATAACCTAATATTCATTAGGTATGTTACCATTGAAATGTTACTAGGTTGATAATCATACCATGATATTAAAACATTGACATACATCAACTATTCATAGAAAAAAATAAAGTTAAAAAGCACTTTATATCTAGTTAATAATTAAATAAATGTAAGAGAATAATACTATTTACTTTCAAATAAATATGAACTGGATGTTTGAGGGATGATATTTTGTTACCATTATGAACATTTAATACAACATTAAGATGTTCAGAATCCATAGGCAATTCACATTTAACCCACCAGAACCAGTTTTCCCTTAAGTGAGTGACCTAAAACAAAACAATACATATTATCATGATTTAATATTTTGATGTTTATGCAAAGTGTTTAGGATTTTAATTTGAATGAACCACCAAATGTGAACCTGGTAAATACGCTAGCCAGAAGAGAAATCCCTAAATCTCCACTTGTCCATACGCCACCAACCAGCTCACTATTCAGTACACTGTCAAAGAGAAAATACCCACTCTTAAGCAGAACACTGGATATTAACGAAATCATGAAGAGTTTCCATGAAGGAAATGATGATTACCCAACACTTCACTACTCTCTCTTCAGCACAGCATCCAAAATCAGAACCACACTTCAACATGTTCAAACATAAGATGATAGAAACTATGTAAACAGGCCCAACATAAATCGATATCATAAAAACATCTGGCATGTCCACTCACATGACTTTCCGACATGTTTCAGAAAAGTTTTTATATCTTTACATAAGTTCATGATAAAACGAAAAAAAAATTGAACTAGATTTATTTTCCTGAAAATTGATCAAAGAAAAAATTTGAGTACAATTTATTTGATAAATTAAACCAATGTAAACCGGCTTAAGGTAGATCAGTGTAAAAATTTCAATACTCTCTAATATTGCTGATCAAAAACTTTTTGCCATAGCTTAGTATTGTCAAACAATAATTTCTGTTAAAAGTAGAGGAAATAGTGAAGCTTGTGTGATGGGGGCCACAGATTTCCTTACTTTCACTTAGTCATCTTTTTTTCTCTCATTCACCCCATTCTGACACCAGGATATGAACCCGTAATCTTACATTGGAAATTTAATAGCTGTAACTTCGTTATTAGTTGTCCAAAATAAACGATTTGTATATAGTTTTGTAAGGAATTTCATTACCTTTCAAAAAATCATGCTAAGCAGCATTACTGTATAATATATACTTAAGAAGTTAAATCCCATAACATTTTTCTTTTCTTTATAACTTTTCTTCCTATATTTTCTCAGGAATTTAGTCCATATACGAAAATTGAAAGGAAAATTATTAGAACATTATAGGAAAGTTTCATCAAAATCGTTACAGCCATTTTTGTGCTACAGTCTATAGAAAAACGTGTTTTTTTATTTATTACACACAAGCTATTGCGCATGGAGCACCGAATTTCTGTCAGAGGCATCAATAGTCAAAACCCTACAAAATAGAAAAAGAAGCAATATAGATCTGTCGAAAACCACATATCGGAAATTTGACCCGATTGCAATACTTTCCTTACCTAGTATAGGTAGGAAAGTAATAAAATGGGTATCATCTTTCAGTAATCCATATCTTTTCAAAATTTTATCTTTCGTTAAATTAAAAAAAAAAATCATTGTAATACAGATAATGATAAACACAGCATATGAATACTATTGTATATTTTATAACACAAACATGTTTTTTTCAAATTAGTTGTACTTAAAAATTAGAAAATAATACACATTACAATAATATATTTTTAATCAACCAAAATAATATATTTTATGGTGCATTTTTCAAGCAATTTTAATTAACAATAAATAAATTATCTGTTCGCTACAACCCATGAAGGGTTTTGGGCACAGTACTTGATAAGGAAGTACTGTTCCTGGACCAAAGGTTGTGCAACAAGGTGATTTGGCCAGGGCACACTACTGAAGTATACAATCTTAATTTTTTTGGTTTTCCTGAACAATAAATTTAATTCACCTAGGTTGTTGTTTTATTTCAATTTCGTAATGGTGAATCAATCCAACAATCCATACTAGCAATTTTTGAGAAAACAGTAATTAAGTGTAAAACGGATAACAAAATAGGAGTTTCTGTATTTTGACTTAAGTGAAAAAGTTTTTAGGATATATGTAATTTTATTTTATATAGCTTTTCATTTTTTTAACTAGACCATTGCACAGAAACGCATGTATGCTAGTAAACAAAGATCTTGTAAAATATGTATTTCTGTTGCAAACTCAGACTCAAAATTTTTCAAGATTGCAATAATTTTCCTTACTCTATATTTAAAAATAAAAATATTAAAAAAAAAGTATGCAATGAAATTTAATAGTAGGAAAGAGAAAATTTCAGTCAATAAGTAATAATTCTATACACAGATCAGGGACTTGAATTTTTCATAAAATTTCTAAACAGAAAATTAAAAAAAAAAAAAAAAGAATTGGCAGAATAGCAAAATTATTGATAATTTAATTCGTGAATTAAGCAATTTTTATTATAGTAAGTAATAAGAAAAGAAACATTTATTAATATTGAGTTTACCTGAACTTCAATATCCTTTCCCGCATAAGAATTGGAGAGTTCTGGATCAAATTTTATGTAAGCAGAGTTAGTTTTAGAAGGTTCAATTGATGGCAATAACACCAACCTGTTCATCCTTTCAATCTGCAATATTCAAATATTAGTATAATTCTTTATGTGTCTAATTTCAACAAGAAAACAGAAGCAGTCCCAACAATCATGGAAGGATTCAAGGGATTGTTCTGGGATATAAAGTATTAAGTAACACTATTGTTGGTTAGAGGACAATGTTAAATATTATTTTACTTATTTTAAAAAATCAATATAAGCTCTGCTTCATTGTTAAGCATATTTCCCCTATAGGCTCTGCATCCCAATATGCCACATTGGTTAAATTGGCTTTATTTATATCACTGATGTGTTAGTAAACTAAAAACAAAAATATTGCTGTAAATTATAATAGTCCCATTACATCCTTTCCTTAATCAATCCTAAAGGATAAAAAATTATTATACGAAATTATAAAAATTGTTTCTTTAAAAATCATTTTCTTGCCAAGATTTTAGAAAATGATTAAAGGAGAAAAAAGAGCATTTATGGAAATTCGGTTAAAGGAGACTTTTGCCATTTAGGTTAATTAAAAGCTTCCTATATAAAGGAATGTCTAAGGTAAAATTGCCAAGTGACCTACTTTTGGTAGACAATTCACATGCTACATTACATACACATACACATACACATCCTACAATTCACATGAACTCTCCTATTTCATTAGCAGAGTATTTTTAATTTCATATTATTTTCATCTAAATTGTCTATTACACAATTTCAATGGAGTAGTTCCTGATAAGAACTAAATACCCTTCTTAGAGCTCTAGGAAGAAACTTCTTGCAGAGCTCATCTAGTTGCAAAAATAATCCATGAGTTTTATCTGTGCTCGTAATCTATAAATGTCACCCTTTATAAATCTTCTTTCAAGAAATTGAGAGGTATCTCCCCTGCTAAGACCAGCACTGCCTCATGAGACACTGTCTTATATGCTCTGGTGACTCGCTGTAGAGATTTCCTTTGAATAGCTAACTTGTTCTTCATTTGGTTGGGAAGGTTCAGATACCATGAGGGAGATTCACTCTTTCACCCTACTTGCCAAGCAGTCCAAGATAGGCATGATAATTAATTGATAGCTAAAAGATAATTTTATATTAACAATGATTTTAAATATTTGTAGAACTTACCACCAAATGTGTTACCATTAATTCTTCCTCAATTATAATTGGTTTTTGGCATGGCACCATGTATTTAAACACCATATTACTATATCCATCAATGGCTTTAATAAGGTCAGTTGAAGCACGAAGGTACTGAAAAAAAAATTGCATTTTTTTTTAATTTTATGACATTGAAGATTTATACAGCTACAGTTATAAATACACAATTGAATTACTACAGAAACAAGAAATTATTTATACATTTATAAATTATAAAAATTTAAATTTTATAAATTTATACATTTATACATAAAAAAAAAAGATTTCTTAAATTTTGTATTGGATATATCCCAAAGAAAAGTAAAGTATTATCATAGGTAATGGCCAAACCATACTTTTGCTAGTTAGCCACCGGCGAGTGGTAACAACTTTTATCCAATATTTCATTAACAGTGGCATAATGTTATTTGCTTCATGGTGGTTAAAAAACTTTTTTTAAAGTTGGATTACAATCAAAACAAAACAGTGATATAAACTGGTCTTATAAACAGGATTAATTGAATAAAGTAGTAACATGCTGATGTACCTGTGCCTCAGAGCTGTACCCATGTATAGTATTCAGTAACCACGAGTTTACAAAGAATTGACATGCTCGGTTTGCAGATTGAAAAGAGTTTTTTGACTTCGAGGAATGATTGAATGAATGAAAATAACTTTATTATTCTGCGACTCTCTCATACTTTTGTTAGATTATAAATACAGAATAAATAAAATATGTTAGTATGGCCATAATTAGATTAAATACTTCCAAAATAATAGATAATTAAAAATAAAAATACAGAGAGAAAGAGAACAAATATATAAAACAAACTGAGAAAAATAAAATAAGTCAAGAAAATAGTTTCTGGAGGAACTTAGAGAATTCTCTTACGTGCATTTTATGATCAATGGGATTGGGAGTGGAATAAGTGCTTAAAGAGAAGAGATTTGACAGGAAACTGAAGGTGTATCAATTATTGAGAGAGATAGAATTTCAGAAGAGATGGTTTGCATTACAAAGGATTTGTCAAACACTTCGACTAGTGGTCAGATGAACTCTGAGAAATTATAAAAGAGAAGAAGAGTGTCTGGAAAAAGTTCTACATGTTTAGAAGCCATCAAGATTATCAGCTATACAAAATGTCTTGGATTAGAACAAGAACAGCAGTTAAAGAGGCTAATGACAGGTCCTGGGAAGACTTTAGCCGGGACCTAAACACAGATTGAAAAGATAAAGTGAAAATATTTGGGAGAAAGATCAAAACTCTAAGAGACCTGAAACTGAAAAGTGTGAGGAACATTAAGGATGAAAGAGGAGAGATTGTTCCAGACAATAAGGAGATATTGGAAAAATGGTGTGGATACTTAATGAAACCATGGAGCAGCAAGAATTTCTTCCAAATCATATGGCGTGAGAAAAGGATTCTCAGAGAGGTATGGAAAAGGAAAAACAAAAAGACTAGGTGATATTTCCTTGATCTAGGGTTGGCTTATATGGTGAAAAAAAATGATCTTAACAAATAATATCATAATTCAAATAACCCAAAACACTTACCCGATGATAGCTATATTCATACTGTTCTATACTTTTACTTTTATCAAGAAAATATTTATTTTTAGTAGAAATTAAAGAATTTATACAACCTATGAGAGACCTGAAAAAAACAAAAGACAAATAAAATGTTCTTAAACTTATTAGTAGAAATGATGAAAGAAGAATTATTTTTTTCAGTTTTAAGAGCAAAAAAGAGTAAGGTATGTAACAAAATTTAATCTTCCTCTTGGTGTAAATATTTTATTACTTATATGTACTGCTTACATATTCAACATTTAGGAACTCTGACCCATCTTCAGGATTATTCTTTTTACTATTATTCCTAAATATTATCTTATATATGTCAACCAAATTTTTTAATATCTTTTTACATTTGTTCCATTTAGGAACATCCTAATCTTACTTGAGTTGTTACCCTGATTGTATCCTCTTTATTTCTTTAATAGCTAATCATAGAATTCTTCTATAGTTAATATTTATGCACTTTTTTATTACTCCTAACAATGAGTGTTTCAATGATTTATTCATCTATCAGGTAAAGTCAGTTTTTGATCAATTATATCTAATTTTCTCTCTAAATACCTATCAAGATGATTCTGTGTATTTTAAGTATTTATTTTGTACCAATAACTTAATACATTTCATCTTGAGTTATGTCTATAATATAGAAAATATTGTACTCATGGAATGTCAGAAACATTTAGGATTCCCCACAACTTTTCGACCACACTTGCAGCTTTCGTTCCTATCTTAGCAACCCTCATTTTTTCTTTATTAAATTATTAAGTTCTTACATTGTTTGTATTTATCTATTTTTTAATATTAGTTATTTTAACAAGGTTAATACTTACCTGATATTAAAGACCTTCTAATTTTACATTGATGTAATGAGTTTAATAGAAATCGTTTGAATCATTTTGGAGAAAATTGCAAAAAAGTTTATAAAATGATGAGATAAAGTGTCACTTTCAGTTAGAATATTGTAACATTCCCAGGTATATACCTATCTTAAATGAGTAATTTAAGTTTTATACAACTTTTGGTTTTTGAGCTAAGCTGTTCGGTTATACACACACACACACACACACACACACAAACATGTACATAAACCCATACCCATACACATGAAAACATAGACCTTTATGCAAGACTTCATTATTTGAATGCAGGAGCTCTAAAAATGATTATTTTGTTCAAAACACAAATTCAAAATTATTCTTAATCACAATATTTTCCCTTAACATATATCTCATACTTACGTACATGAAATGGAACAAAGCAGGTACCACTAAAGCCTGAGAGGATTTGGGATTCAGTACTTTGTAGAGAAGTACTGTTTATTAGTGTGTAGTTGAGCATGGAGGTGTTTTAACCAAGATCAATCTCAACCACCAGGTTTTTCTTCTTTAAATTGAAGAGAACCTACTCACTTTATAGAGGCTGGGTGTGCCACGGGAGGGTCTTTTAGCACTAAATATTAACCTCTTAACATTTGCAAGTTTGACATCTTGGATTTTTGTATATGTATTATAGACTAATACAAAAATATGAAAAAATTTCACATTTGAAAATTACATATAAAGAACAAAAAACACGAGTTAAAAAAATTACAAGAATGAAAATTCAGTTTGTTTAATTATAAAAAATTATCCTTAAATCAGTCTCAAGTTTATTATATTTATCTATATGGACCTAGGCGTGATTTTTCATGAATAATCCTACTTCTTAAGAACATTCCTTCAGAAGTAATTACTGTAGAAAGGCTTAAGCCAATATTTTTGCAATCTATACTGGTGGGATGAATTCTAATAAAAAGCCTTAAATAGTTTAATTTTTAAACAGAAAAATAATCAGATTTCAATAATTATTATTATAAATACACAAAAAAAAAACCTAGATAATTGTTTCATAAATTTAACTTGAAGATAAGTGTTGGATAGAATCTGCTTCATAATGCAATCTATCATTCAGCCATATCTCATCAATGAGACATAGAAAAATATCATAGTCTAGATCAGGTGTTCCTAATCCAATGTCCATGGCCACTATACTACTTTGCCGATGTTTTGTCACATGGGCCCATGAGCAATAATGTGCCCATCTCTTCAAAACCTCTAATAGCTATCACCATGGCACCAGGTAACTGCATTCCGCATTGTTGCTGTTCAATAAGTTCTAGTTTTATAAAATATCTAATAATTAATTAATTGATATTTTTTTTAAACAGTCCTTATTGAGATTATAGCTTTTTAGCATTTTCTAGTTAATCTTTATTATAGTTTTTCTATCTTTTTTTTTTCAAGAATGAAAAGTAAATTATAAAGCTGGTAATTTTGCATTCAACGTATCTAATTACTATTTATGTGTTCATATGCACATCTCTTATTTTAGATTATCATATTCTCCAAATTTTCGATGTACTGACCAATAAAATGTAGAGCAAATATTGCCCTATATTAACGTTTATATTTCTTATAAAACATTTTGTGTCTTCTATACATTTTTAATGTATTATTGAACATTTATTTATTTTATGTAACAATATAGGCAATACATTTTATATGTTAAAATATGTTTGTTTCTGTGGTTATCAACTATATTTATTATTATTATTATTATGTGGCGGCCACATCACCTGGTCTAAGTACTGCAGATTGCCACTGGACCTTCAGGTTGGGGGGAGAGTACACTGACACCCACACAGTACACAAATTACAGCACCCTACACTCACCCCCACATTATAATGGAACATGGGGAAGAAAGAGGAACTATGAAATCTACAGTGATATGGATATAGTCATCAAAGTGGGCAGGCTCAGCTAGGCAGGACAAGTGGCACACAGGCTGAGGAGAGGATACCTACGAAAGTTATAGCTGGACCGAACAAGGAGAAGAGGAAGACCCAGGTTGAGATGGGTCAACGGTATGGTTGCAGACTCAGGGACGATAATTCACCAACAGAATTAAAAGCCAGCGGTGAGAGATCAAGCTTGATGGTGAAAGTAGAGGCCAATACCCACCCCGGGATGTAGAAGTCATCAAAGTAAGTAAGTATCAACAGCAAGCAATGAAAAATACAAACGAATTGGAGCCTACTAGTTGCCTATTAACCTAAAAATGTGACAACAAGTAGAAAAAGGTTGGGAACGCCTGGTCTAGATAATTGTATGAGATTCAAATTCATTATTAAGTGTTCAAACACAAGTAGCCAGATTGCTGTTTTATTTTATATAGAACACTGGTTTAGAACTTTAAAGACATTTCTAGAAACGTACTAAGAGCTTGTTAAATAAAACAATTTCAGAATATTGAATTTAGTTTAGAGAGGGATGTATGGTTGCCTGTTGAAACTGTATGGATGAAAAATAGTCCGAATGTGCAATCAAAAACTTGTTGACTGCCAATCTTGACCATTTTTTATCCATAAAATTTAGTAAGTCAATTTTTTAAGATTTTGCATTTTCAAAAGGGAGCCAGCCAGCAACCTTCCATTTTTTGTTTGTATAAATTATATGCTGGTTATTATACCATCAGAGGACAAACTGCCTCTTTTTATGATAAGATATTCAGTATTACCACAGGCGGATCTACGGAGGAGGGAAGAAGGAGCTTTTGGGCTGAAGCCCCACCCAAAATTGTAAAATATAACCATGTTTTCCAGAAAAAAAAATTAAATACTATCTCTTAAAGTATTCTTGTTCATGTAATTATATTCATTAAGACTTCAAGAACCACTTAAACACTATTTCTTATAGGTTGTTAATTTCTTTCTTTTTTTTTCAAATTAATTATTATATGTATATGAAAAAAAAATCTTTCAGGCTGAAGTCCCTCCAAAATTAAATCCTGAATCCGCTAGTGAGTATTACTATGAATCATGGGCACTTGTATGGATTTTGGTTGAACAAGCTCAGTTTGAAATGAGGTTAACTAACTTTATTAAGAATTAATGAGTAACTGCTCAAATGAAAAAGTATCCAGTAGAATGCTACCTAAAATATCATTAACATCTGGTTTTGTGGAAATATTTATAAAGATTTTTTTCCTAGCCTGTTCTTACAAGTATTTTACAACCTGTTGGCCACTCCTAATTAAGAGGGTAATGGGTAATCTAGAATAATGGAGAGGGTAATCTAACCAGCCATAGTGGAAAGTAGGGCCGGGGAAAGAATTAATTTTGTTTAAATTATAATCTATACAACACTATACAAGTAAGGCTTTGTTTACATTATGGTAAAATTTTACCTTGACAATCCTTTCACATCTTCCATGTCCACAAAATTATTTTTTGCGAACAAGTCTTTGATGTAAGTGGTCACCTTTCTCAATATTGAAGCACTTGTTTTGACACCTGTGGCACTCAGTAATTTTGAATCATAGTGAACGATTTGATATAAGAGATAGTGGAGCCCCTCAGAAATTTGTTCTGCATCCAATACTTTAAGGAGTGGAATCTAAAAGATAATATATTAAAATAATTATTTTTATTTTAATGATCCTGTTTTTGCTTTCACTTCTCTATACATAAAATATATAGTCAGGAAAAGTATAGAAATATTTTGAATCTAAGTTTCAATGAAAATACATGGTTTGAAGTGTCATCAGTCCAAATATCCATATCTCGTAAAATGGTCTATGTGACTTACCGGAAGTGTCACTTTATATAACTGATTTAACACACTTTTACAATTTTTTTGAAAACAGCTCTAATGATTTTAACATCAGGCAGGTCTTTTCCAAATTGAAACAGTTTGACAGGGCTTAAATGCCAAATTTTCGAAATGACTTTCTCTATGTTATCTTTAATGATTTATCCACACATATATTATTACAGTAAGGCTCGAAATCGGTTTTGTACCAAATATAAGCTCCTGTCATGCTCAAATACCATGAATGTGGTACCGTTGGATTCAGAATTTCACGGGAGGTTAGCGAATCGTATTCTTCACATTTGTTTTTCTTTCTAAAATAAATTAAGTCGATACAAACATTCTGCTAGGCTTCGATACTGGAACGGTGGTAGGTCTGTAGATCGATACAGGACAAATTGGATCTTGAAGATTTTGATGCGTACAGCAAGACCCGATAGTTAAGGACTATGTTTTCTGCAAAAATTACAACGATAAATTATTGCAAAGCTCTAGTTTCTTTTTTTCGATTATCCAGGATGTATAATATTAAATATAAATGCAAAACCACACTATTTATTTCTATAAAAAGGAAATAATGATTTTTTGATTAAAATTGTTAATAATTTTTTTTCTAATATAGCATGTATTAGTTACAAAATAAATATTTATAGGCCTAAAATTTATGTTTAAAATAAAGAAACCTGCTGAAGGCTTTAATTATTTTCATGAAAACGTAAATATTATAATAAAATCCCCACATATATTATTACAGTAAGGCTCGAAATCGGTTTTGTACCAAATATAAGCTACTGTCATGCATGCTCAAAAACCATGAATGGGGTACCGTTGGATTCAGAATTTCAGGGAAGGATAGCGAATCGTACTTTCCGCTTTTGTTCTTCTTTCTAAAATAAATAAACTTGATACAAACATTTTGCTAGGCTTCAATACTGGAACGGTGGTAGGTGTGTAGATCGATACGGGACAAATTGGATCTTGAAGATTTTGATGCGTACAGCAAGACCCGGATAGTTCCACCTAAAAACGTACTATTTTCGAGATTACGCAAGGCATAGGGTTCGCATACATACAACCTTACGTTAATTGTAGTTCTGTCATTGAATACATGTCTCATTTCATCGACTTGAGGTCTTTATGATCGAGAGAGGAGGATTTTATATTATTTATCGATGGTATTTTTGATCAGCAAGCCATATCATCATTAATTTTTCACCAAATCTCACGATTGAGCTACAAATTTCGAAGGCTTCCTTCTCCTTCAGGCGGGCAAAATAGTCCAATCGCCCTGAAAATTCAGGCAAACAAGTTATGAAACAAAACACACTTTTTCCTTGATTATACCCATGATTATATTAAAGATTACTAAATTCCCTACAAAAAGGAAAAAAAAATCATCGAAATCGGACAATTTTTAGCAAAGATACAGCTTACTGAAATTTGTAAACATGTTGGTTCCAAACAAAAATGAAGATTTAAATTAATTTTTGTTTCCTTTGTCGATTATATTTATCGATAAAGTAACAATTGATTCCTTTATCTTTTGATATGTTGCATTATTTTTTTCTTATTAATTTGGCAGATTGATAACAATATGTTGTGCGAATTTTTTGCACGGCCTACTAGTTTGAAATAATTAACAGTATTTCATGATTAATAGTAATGGCTAAATATAAAGCATAAAAAAATTTGACAATTAAAAAATGAGAAACATTTTTCGAGGAAAGATATAGCTCGGGGTCATGGACAGCAAAAAATTAAAATAGTGGAAGCTATTTATACTAAGCCAATGTTTTGATCCAACTATGCAGTGATCATGAAGAAGACCTGAATGTTCATGTAAAATGTCCCTGCCTAGTTGGGGAAACCGGCGACTTAATGAAAATGGTTTCCACTATTTTACATTTTTTTTATGACCACCACCCCAGACCATCCCTTTTCTCAATATTGTAATATCTGTCTTATATTTTTTAACACATAATAATATAACCTCGGAAGACCACTTTATACCATTGGGATACTTTCAAAATAAATAAGAGGTTATTAAATATTGGACAAAATTATAAGAATATCAATATATTTATTTATCTGAGGTGTGGATTACTGACAATCAAATCAAAACACCAAGACAAACTAATATTAACTACACTAAACACTGTTTATTTTTAAATTAAAGTCAATTATGGATTGGCAAGCTAACCTTTTTCTCTGTACACTGTTTCTTCCTTTGTGTCTCTGAATTTATTTGTCTTATAACATTTTCCTATGTTCTGCCAAACACATATTCCAAAATGGTGAAACTTTCTTCTACTCAACTCAAACTCCCTGGGAGATACTCTCTCATGTAATTCGAAACAACCGGTCTCTCTGCCAAACAACAACTTCCAAGATGGTAATACTATCACTGGGTTTTAGCCACTGGAGCCAGGATCCCTTCTCCTATCCTCTCTTCATTGCAGCCAAACAATAACTACTTGCCAAAACAAAATCCTTTGTCCATCCCCTTTCCTCTTTTGGGATTTTCCTTTTGGACATAAAGGACATCAAAACCTAACATTTCCACTTAAAATTCAGATTAAAAAATTGACATGTTCACAAAACTTTCCCTTATTATATATTTCATGAGAAAAAAAAAAATTGTTTAGTTGACTTCAGGAATCTAGTTTTGATTTTACACTTAATTAATAATAAAAAAATAATAATAAAAATACCTTACAACTCAAAAATTCTCCTTCATTTCTGAATAGTTTAGTCTAATATTTATAAATATAATATCAGAGTGGTATTTGTACAATTACTATAAGCATAATGAAAAGATAGCTCTTACAGACCCAAAATCTAATATAATAATGACATATTGTTGGTTTATTGCAAAAAGTCATTAAGTGACATTTCATAACCTCAAGCAATTAAGAACTTTGAGGATTTTCCCTTTGTGAAATCAGAAAATTGTGAACTTAGTACAACTGTATATGATCAATAAAATGGTGTGAGCCATTTTCAAGCACTTGCGGTATTTTTGTATAAATAAATAAGGTCAAAATTCACAAACACATATTTGAAAGTTAACTCTTATCAAAAATGCACTTGATGACTTTTTGCAATAAACCAACAATATACTCACATAAAAATAAAAGCAAAAAATTATTTTAAAAAACAATAGTGAAAAATGTAACAATCTAATTAATGAACTGAACTTATTAGGAGATAGGTTCAAAGAGCCACCAGGTCTACCCAAAAACCTATAAAATAGATATTTCATTTCATTACTCAGTTATTTAAAAACTTGACAGTTTTACAAACCTTTGCAATGTTTTCTATCAAGGTGTTGATGATTTTTGATTTTGGCGACATCTTGCTAATATAATCAGCAACCACATAAATGCTTGAGATCGCTTTTTCTATTTCAGAATTTCTAACATTTTCTTGAACTTTGAATACAAAATTATCTATTTCCGTTTTATTAATTTCTGGTTCTGTCAACTTAAAAAAAAGCAAATTATAACAGTTCATTATATTACTTTTTCCCCTCCAATATGGGAAAACATCAATAGCTCTTGCTTAATTAAACAAATCATATTGGAGTATAATATCGTTTTAACTTATTTTTATTTAATTTTTAAATCAATGATTTAATTTAATATATATTTATGTAATTGAACATACAATAATAATGAAAATAAACTAATAATTATTATAATAAGTTTTGCGCCATACTTGAACATTCAGAGTTTTAGTGACACTGTCTCCAAAGGAGTTACTAACTTTGATTACTATTTCTTCACTTATTAACTGAAGACCTGTAGTTTTTGGCATATTGGAAGATGACATAAGAAAGTTTTCTGAAACAAAAATAAACAATTAAGAAAATATAATAAATAATACACTACTAAGTAGTATTAAATTTCAAGTTATTTTATAATAAATTATCTTACCCAATATAAAATTCCTGTTTTTTATGAAATGATTCAATAATTATCTAAATGAGAAGTAACCTAATATAATAATATAGAACCGAAGAAACTTGAGCTCACAGCCCAACTTAGCTGAAAGTTAGAACAGGCTTCTATACATAAGCATGAGTGATTTTCATAAATGCTAGTGTTGATATTATTTAATATTTAATTGTATAGATTACTGCAATATAAAAGTAAAAAATTTATCTATAGATATAAATACATGATATGATACATTATCATCATCCCAAGCTCGACAATCCATTACAGGATCTTGGATGCCTCGAGAGTTGCCCTCCAGATTTCTCTGTCCTGACCAGCCATCCACTAGTTTCTGATTCCAAAGATTCTGGTATCGGAACTTACTTCATCAATCCATCTCAATTTTGGTCCACTTACTTTTCTTTTTCCATCCGGCTCAATGCTGAGCAGCTTTCTGTCTCGTTCATCAGTACAACCTAGCCTGCCCATCTCAGCCTTGCTATCCAGATATATTTCATCATATCCGACTTATTGCATAAGTTGGCTAGTTCTTGGTAGGATGTAGCTTGTTATTGAAGATGTAGAAAATATCTGATATATTGTAATGTACACCTTTATTGGAAGTGAGTAAAAAGGGTTTAATAAATATATGTTTAACAATTAAAAGGCAAGCTGATCTAGTTCTACTAGTGCAGTGAAAAGAAAATGGCTACTCTGTAGTTTCCCAAAAAGGAAAATCCCAAAGAGGAGAGGGACAAAGGTTATTGTTTTGCTACAGTGGGTAAAACCCAGTAATAGTTTTACCATCTTAGAAGATCTTTTTTGGCAGGGAGAATAGTTGCTTGGAATTGCAAGAGAGAGGATTTCTCAGAGAGCTTGAGTTGTGTGGAAGAATAGTGTTACCATTTTGGTATATGTGTTTGGCAGAACATAAGAAAATATGTAAAGAAAAATGAGCTCAGTGCCACAAAGGAAGAAACATTGTATGTAGAAAAAAGGTTAGCTTGTCAATTTATACTTGACTTTATTTTTAAACCAGTGTTTAATTTTAATATAAATAGTGTATATAATAATAGTTTGTCTGAGTTGATCCGATTGTCAGTAACCCACACCTGAGATAAATAAATATATTAATACTCTTATAATTTTGTTTTTTATTTAACAACCTCTTATTTCTTTTGGAAGTATCCTAATGATATAAAGTGATCTGAGGTTATATTATTATTATTATTTTAAAATGTAAGAGGGATGTTACAATATTATAGTGTAGGGAGCTATGTGATGGCCCTATAGTTGTTACAGACTAGGGCAGTGGTCGGCAAACTTATTAGCCAAAGAGCCAAATATGAACATTACAACAATTTTTAAAAAAATTTAGAGCCAAATCTGCTTGTTTAGTAAACTATTATTACACTAAATTTTATTGTACTAAGTAAGTAGTACACTAAATAAAACTAAATTTCATACTTAATAAATATTTATTTATGCGAACAATGTGCTTGCATCTCATTGGAAAGTTTGAGCAAGTCACGTTTGTATGTTGTTGTTTTTAATTTTAGGTATGATTCCAAATTCTCATCAATAAGACGACTTTCCAGTTTACTCTTGAAAAAGATTCTTCGCATATAGATGTAGAACCGAAAAGGGAAAGAACAACAAACGCGAGCTTTTTTAGCTGACCGTAAGAGTCAGTAATACTATTCCAAGCGTTGAAAATGATCATGTGTTCCTTCTCAAGGTCATTCAAAGCAGAACACTTGTGTTATGAACTAAGATCACATTTTTTCTTCTCCAATATTTCCAATTCAACACAAGGACGTTCGAATTTAGAGCGCCATATCTCCTTGTTTTTTAAATCCAGCAATTGTATTTCAAAGCTAATAATGTCAATTTGCAAAAGGAGAAAATTTCAACTCGGTTATCGTAGCATTAAGAGGATTTTTGACAAATGCTAAAGTTGCTCTGCTGTTTTTAAATTCCTAATTTATCAAAATAAGATGTAATTATTTTCTTACCAATTATTTTTTTAAATGAAAATATTATTGTGCCTTCCATGGATATTTGTGCCAGATCAGCACTTAAGGAGCCAAAGAGCCACATTCGGCTCTGGAGGCGCACTTTGCCGACCACTGAACTAGGGGATCCCCCTTTTTCAGTATGAGGCATATAATGCTAGTTCTCCGTTGTTCTAGTATGATTTCCTCTATCCATGCCTACATTATAAGATTATACAATCCTTTTATGGTTTCAGGCCCATCATGCCTGAGAAGTTCAGCCTGCAGGCTATCAATCCTGGCAGGTTTATAGTTCTTTAGCTGCATGATAGCATAAAGTATAAATAACAGTCTATATATTCCTATGCAGCTCATTCCCTACACATATCTGTAAATGAATTAATCACTTTTCAATAGGTATCATCTTCTAAGAACTCTTAACTGAATTCATAGACTATTGACCAATGAATGACTAACTGATTTCAACCTGGTGAATTTAAATAGCATGCCCAAAATTCTTTAGGACTAAGAGACGGTGGGATTTTCTAATCTTAAAAGTTGCAAATGACAGAGCAGGAGGCATACATACATATCAACCTACTGACCTCTTACTGATAAGCAAATCATTTCACATTTACTTCCTGATAATTATAATTGACATCATGAATAAGACACTGCAGAACACTTTAGTATCAACCAAACATTTTATGTGGTGTTTTAAATGTTCTAGCTGCTTACCATCTGACAGTCTCTTTTTAATATATTTTCTTCGCATTTTAAAATTTAATGGGGTTTTGGATTTAATGTTTTAGAAAAAAACATTGCATATTCCAAACCTTTACACAGAACAGGTATCTTTTAAGAAAAGAATCAAGAGTATAAATCAAGATTAACCAATTTTCAAATTTTGGTGCAAATAAGTTGCTTTTTTTCAACAACAGTTGTTATGTGGTAATCAAAAACTTACCAAATAGATAAGTATGATTTATCTAAACGTTGCGACCATGGGATGGGCAAAATCACCTTTAAAACACACTAAAGAAAGTAGTGTTTTTGACTTCACCTTGTCCTTTTCATTGAATTATTCTCTTAGCACTTTAGTTCTAGTATATACTTAATCAATACTCACCAAATTTTCCTGAAAATTTTTTGCTAAGTACTTTTTGATAAAGATCATATTGCAGTGGTTCTCCATAATCGACAGATGATTTAAAGTCAAAACAAGATATATCAAACGATGTATATCCTCTTTCGCCATCTTTCGGATTTATTTCACAATTTCCATTTGATGGTGGTGATACTGTTATTAACTCTATTTCACTATATGTATTATCTGTGTATAAAAAAAATAATATTGAATTTTTAAATATATTTAAAATTACAATGAATAAATACATAGTATTTTTTTAGAATTTTTAAAGAGAATATTGAGAAGAAAAACAAATTTTAAAACCTTTTTAAACCCCACTAGGCCTGGTTGGTGTGAGAATTCACTCCAATTTCAATGTCAATGCTATTTAATTTTAGAATTTGTATATGTACTGCAGAAGCAAATACATTAATTTTAGAGCTATTCTAACATCCAAAATTACATAATGATTTATATCCTAAAACTATGCCAATTACAAAAAAATAGATATAATTTTGATGAGGGAAATTAAGTACTACTTAAGGTTTCCACATGTCATATGATAGCTCACAATTTATTATATTTTCAATTTATTTACCATAATTTCATATCATATAGAGGAAAATAAGGAGTGAATTATGTCTGTCAGATGTTTGTGGATAAATGAATGAATGAATGAATGAATGAATGAAGTAAGCCTATATTACAAAGAATAAAAATAAAACTGGTTTATAAAATTAATATATACATATTTCCGAAGTACAGCAACATATTGGAAATGATAACAATAATAAATCATAAAGCCCTTCTTGTTAAAATAAATATTAATTAATGTAATAGTGAAGTATTCACTCTTTGTAGGCCTTATATGGTAGGAGTATGGTCTAACTTCCCGGAGTGACCAACTCTATTGGGAAGTGGGGTTCTTTATTGATTTGTGGCACTTTACTCTTATCTTGAGCAATTCTTGTCCAATTTGGGCCCACAGAGTTTTTTGAAAGGTAATGAAATTTCCTACAAAACTAAACTAGACAGCAAAAAAACCGGAGCACCTTGTGTTTGTGTAGAAATCCAGGTCCAATGTTTGTTTTAAATGAATTGTTGTTTTGAGATGGTAAGTATAGTCTTTCATAACAATAACACAGTATGATTACCTCAAAGTCCATTCGAATATGTGTACTTTTGACCCTGTTTATCTCTTAGTGTTGCATTTGCTGTTCTTCCCTCAGTTCATCACTTGTCGTTTATTCAGTTGTCGTTGGCGCTAAGATCACATTTGCGTTTTTTTTTCTTTCAACTCATTTGTTCGATTGTTTTGTGCTTGTTCGGTTCTGAGGAATAGTTCTAACCACTGAAACAGTCGCCCAGATAGTCGGGTTGGTAGAAGATAGGAGAAGTCAACGATATGTGGCTAGAACATTAGGGCTACCAGAAACTACTGTTCTTAGGGCAGTCCAAAGGTACAGGGAGACTGGTTCCAGCTTCCAGCTTCCAGAGGTGACCAGGATCAGGCAGACCGAGAGCGACAGTGCGAAACCATTTTCAGACGGCTGTAGAAACCACTCAGCGCTTTCGAATTGCCCGAAATGTGAATATTAGTGTTGATACAGTGCGTAGGCGGCTTGCTGAAGTTAACCTTCAATCGAAGGCCCCAGCTACTGCGATTCAACTCACCACAGCACATCGTACAGCTTGTGTTACATTTGCTCGGGAACACGCAGCTTGGTCAGAAGACGATTGACGATTCTCATTATTTTCTTCAGATCGCTGTGTTAGAGTGTGGAGAAGGGCGGGACAGCATTTTGCACAGTGCAATATTTCTGAAAGGGTGCCTTACGGTGGTGGGTCTGTAATGGTTTGGGGCGGAATCACTTCAGGACCAAAAATTGACCTCCATGTTTTTCCAAGAAGGAACCTAAATGCACTCAGGTATATTTCTGACATTCTGGAAGATTATGTAGTCCTATTCGCCCCATTCATCGGTGAAAATTTCATTTTTATGCACGATAACGCGCGGCCCTTGTTGCACCCCCATGTTGCACATGTGGTTACTGACTACCTTGAAGAGGTTGGTATACGCACCCTACAGTGGCCAGCCCGCAGCCCCGACCTCAATCCTATTGAACATCTATGAGACGAGCTAGGGAGGTGCATCCGAGGCGTCCAAACCCTCCTTTGGACCTCCAAGGCCTCAGGACCGCAGTGGTAGCAGAATGGGACCAAATCGGGCAGGAAAAGGCTTCCAATTTAATCAGCAGCATGCCAAGAAGAATGCAGGCGGTGATAAAGGGGAAGCAACACAGGATACTAAAAAAGTTTATCGTTAACTTTGCACAAATTTTTTTAAGAAGAATCAAATTAATTTTTCACAATATTCAGGATTTGTAAGTAAAGTTTTTTTTGTTATGGGTATTTTCTCTTTTTTTTTAATCTGCGCCCTGCTATTCACTCATGGGATATGAGCTCAACTTAGCACACCCAAAAAAAGCATCAACTAATTCGAGCTAAATAGGAAAAACAACAAAATATAGGGTGCGCCAATTTTTTTGCTGTCTAGTTTATATAAAAATCTTTCATTATGGACAACTATTAACGAAGTTACAGCTATTCAATTTCCAATGTAAGATTACAGGTTCATATCCTAGTGTTAGAAAGGGGTGAATGAGAAAAAAAAAGATAACTAAGTGAAAGTAAGAAAATCTGTTGCCCCCATCACACAAGCTTCACTATTTCCTCTCCTTTTAACAGAAATTATTGTTTGACAAAATTAGGCTATGGCAAGAAGTTTTTGATCAGCAATATTAGAGGATATTGAAATTTGTATCCTGATCTATCTTAAGCCGGTTTGCACTGCTTTAGTTTATCAAATAAATCATATTAAAATGGTTTCTTTGATCAATTTTCAGGAAAATAAATGTAATTCATTTTTTTTTTGTTTCTTGATGTAAATATGTAAAGATATAAATACTTTTCTGAAATAGGTAGGAAAGTAGTGTGAGTGGACACACCAGATTGTTTTTCTTCCATTACAATAAGTATTTTTTAGTAGATTTTATTTTTTTTTATTTTTTTTTTTGTATTGGTTTACATACAATTCTGTTATACAAAATATGTTAATTATCCATGTCAATGAGTTAATGAAACTTTTATTTTAATAAATTTATGCTTACCAACTTGTGCTTTTATTCTATAACTGCTCTTACGATCCAAAGTATTCTCCTTTATGATAAATATTTCCTCAGGTGTATCTTCCTGCCTTATTGTATCAGCACTTGATTCTGAACCACCATCCTTTATTAAAGTCCAACGAACTGTTTTTCCTGGTGGAACACCTTTTATTTCAAGCTGAGTGAGCTCATAGACCCGGGTGTTATCACAATTCATGTGGCACCTGGTAAAGATCAGATTAAAAATCAATACAACTAGATAAATACCTACCTTTACATGATTAAAAAAAAACACACAGATTATTGTGAATTATGAAGTTAAGGACGATCCAAAACATATATTGCTGTTATGCATTAAATAAGCTAGGACTTGAAATAACCGTGGATAAAACAAAATATATGGTTAGCTGCAAAAATGGCGATACTACTGGTGATATCGATATAGATGGTAATATGTTTGAACAGGTAGATAAGTTTAGGTATCTAGGTTCTACGATAACTAGAAAAAACGAAATTGAAGATGAAATTATGGTTAGACTGAAGGCGGGAAATGCTTGTTATTTTTCTGTGACAAAACTACTTAGTTCGCGCCTCTTATCCCGAAACTTAAAAATTAGAATCTATAAAACAATTATCTTGCCTACAGTTCTTTATGGGTGCAAAACTTGGCCGCTTACATTAAGGGATGAGCAGCGTCTTAAGGTTTTTGAAAATAAAGTATTGCGTAGAATATTCGGACCGAAGAAGGATGAGTTAACCGGAGAGTTCAGACGGTTACACAACGCCGAATTGCGTGAACTGTATCCGAGTAATATAATTGAGGTAATTTCATCGCGGCGAATCAAATGGGCTTGTAAAGTTGTTGGACTTAGTAACGAGATTTGCTGTGCCGAATGGTAAGCGTCCGAGGGGTAGACCGAAGCGAAGGTGGGAAGATTGCATTAAAGCCGATCTGAAGGGACTGGGTTTGGACGGCGATCGATGGAGGGAGATGTGCAATAAGCGATTGGTGGTGTCGGCATCGAACCTTCGGGTTCGCTAAGCCTTTTTATTATTATTATTATTATTATTATGCATTAAATAAGCTGCAGAGAGATACCATTTCATCAATAAAATTAAAACTCTAATAAATGAAGAAAATTCATCTTATATTGATATAATAACAAACCCTAATTCTGTTCTGGAAGTGTTATGTCACTTTGTAAACTCCAAAGGTATTAAATTATAAAAAATAAAGCCTGTTAGTTAATGATCCAGCTAAATAACCATTTGGGATAGTTACTATTTAAAATTTTAGCTAATGGCGACTAGCTAAAGCCGATATATAAATTGGAAGAGGAATAACTCACAAGAGTTCAAAATCTTCGATCACGGGCTCACGTACAACTTCAATGATTTGGGACGTAGAGGCTGATGGAACTTCACTCATTTTATGAGAAACAGTTAATTTAATCTCATAGATTCCTACTGGCATCTTAGGAATTACCCTTATTGGATCTAAAATAAAAATAGGACATGAAACTATTAATTTTTAAGAGTAATTTTTTTCTATGTTAATAGAAACTTAAAAAATATGACTATTCACCCTTTCGAGTAACTGGTTTGCAAAATGTTTGATTACCCTCGCAAGACCAATTGAATCTTAATCTCTTATTGTCATCAAAGTTGGGATCATATGAAGGAGAAGCATCTAATTTCACCTTGGTCTTTGCCTGGACAATTCTTCTTTTTCCATACCTGAGTTTGGCAACAACCCGAAGAAACCTTAATTCAAACCAGCACTGAAAAAAAAATCTTTTATCAAAAAATAAGTACTAACTACTTAGTCTTTCAGTACTAAGTAATAATACATTAAGACTCTTAATAGGAAATACATTTTCTCTTTATAAAATCTAAGTTTATTGAAATTAATAACTATGAATTGGACGATTTGAAAACATAACAGTTTCATGTGATCGAATAAAAAATCTCATTTTTTTAACAATATGTTTTAATGGACAACCTTCATTCATTAAGCATTGTATTAATACTTGACTTCTTTCCTAGAATGTCCCTACTACCAATACATATACAGCAGTCCATAGGCATTAGTAGAAATGATTTATTTTTATCTTATATTATTTATCTGTTGAGTGGTTTATTATTTTTGATTAGCTCTTTCTAGTCAAAAATGTAATCTAACTTCATTATCCTACAATTATGTTTGTCTTCTACATTTTACACAATAAAACCCACAGACAAATGTTCAAAATAGGCATCCTTTCTTTGGGATATTCTTTGCTATAAATTTCAATATAGATTGATTTTGATTTGTCCATCTGATAAAACAATAACAAGCAATGGAGAACAGAAATAAAGACATTTAAAAGTTAGACGATTACGGAGAGATATTACATATTTGACATCTCTTGTAAAAGAATGATTAAAATTACCAACTTTTGGAATAGAAATGGAGAAATTAAAATATAAAGTGCAGAGAAAAGTACTGCAGTTACAATGCACCTCCATCTGAGAGCTAGGAAGGAGAATTGCGGAGCTAAAAGTGTTAACGAGGAAGATGGACAAGCGGAGAAACACCTTACAAAAACAAAGTTATAAATTCAAATGATGTTCTTTAAACTGTCAAAGCAGTTATCATGTGGATTAAAAAAACAGTCAGAAAAATGAGAAGAAAGGCTGAAAAATAAATTCAAATTATGACTCATATAGAGTTGGTAGCTGAAAAACTAGAAAGAAAGATACAGTTTAACTTAACCAATCTGGATAAGCAGAATGAAGAAAAGCTAAATAATCTGGAACTCGACTCTGAGACAAAACTGACCACATCAGTTGAGCAGTATATAATAGAAAATACAGATAAATTCAGGGTGTGAGTCAGAAATCTTTATTATTTATATAGCTCTTATAGGGACACAAACTATTATTTTAAGATTTTATGAGTCACCACCAAAGAAATGAGATATTAACAAGGTGGCTGATGCATTCAACTGTAATCAATTCAACATGGCCGACTTCAGAACAAATTTTTAAATAAATTCTGAAGAGGAAAACATGACCCTAATTTCTGGAAAGATTAAATCATGGTATTTATTTCTATCAGACCAACATAAGTCCGCACTAGTACTTAGGCTTCTGAACACAAGTCGGATGAGGAATTTATCTATAAATCTAAGAGAGAGACTTTGGAGAGATCAATGTTATTACACCAAGGTATCAAAGATAGTGCTAGATTTTCGGAATTATAAAACTTTTGGGATGAAAAGAATTCTCAAAGAAAATAATTCCTGCCATAGACCAGCTCAATACCCTGAAGTAAATAATCACCTCAGATAAATATTATTGCAATATAATAAAGGAAAAAAATAATCAAGCACATGTCAATGATTTTCAAGATAAAACACAGTGGTGAACAGGCAGGACACCAATTTCTGAACAGTCAATAAGCATGATGAGTAAGATGAAGTAATTATTTCTTCTATCAATATACTAGAGGAGAGTCAAGAATAACAATAACCGAATAATGCCATATTCAAATGTTTTTTTCAAGGAATTTACTCAACCTACTACAAACAATGAAGAAAACTCTAATATTGAGCATAAAAATTCAGAATCAAAACAAGCCTAAATAATAGGAATATAAAGAGTTGCCTTAGTAAATTCATACAAATTTTCATTTAGAAACAGGAAGAATACCATAAGATGGCCTCAGAATACATTGAACAAGAGAAAGTACTAGCATACAATGCTGGTTAAACTCTGCAACAGGGACTACTAGAAGGTCCTTTGAAGGAGAAGCAGCTTAATGATTCCTGACCATGGCATCCCTGATGGAGATGGAATAATAAAAGAAGAAACACAACGCTTTAAGAGTTATCTTCATGGCAAAGTAAAAATAAAAGGAATATAATAACAAGCCTATAGTCCCAATGGGACATGGACTAAAAACGACTTCGTTAAAGGAAGTTTTATTTGTCAAGAGATTGTTGTGATAAACTATACCCGTTCACTTGTCGAGCAAAATACAAGTTTTTCTAATTTCAAAAGACTCAATTTTTATAATTGAAAACTATTAAATTCATTTTATACTTGCCTAAAAAAATGGTAGATGATGAGATAACATTGTTCTGCATAAAAAAAAAGTGTTTTTATTCCCTCGAGAAAATATTACAAGCGTGCCGAGTTCAAATCAGAAATCTAAACAAGTCTATGGGGCACCATTTTTGAGAAAATTACGGTTGTTTTTGAAAAAAAAATTAAATAGCATGATTCTGTTGCTTCATTTATTTATTTTCTTGTGCATAGTAATAATAATAAATAATAATATTTAATCCTAAATATAATATTATGCTTATTCAATGTATATATTTTTCCTTGTTGTGTTCATCAGCTGTCTTCCATTGCAGTAGGAGGTCCATCCTCCCCCCCATTGTCGATGGCGCATAAACCTTCCCCTACCACTCCCAAGATATTTTGTTTACTGTTCTCTTCTTAAAAAGCAGGGCAAGCGAAAGTATAGTTAAAAAATTCATAGATTATATTCAATTATATATGCTTCAATCTATTCCATACTTCCTGCTGTACTCTGGTTTGAAACTTTTCATTTCGAAAATTCGTAACACAGTCGAAACGCGCCCCCTCAAAGCTTCAAAAGCCCATCAAAATGGGCCACTCTTAAAATTTTTGAAGCGCAACTGGCACCACGAAACCTCCTTCTAGGCACCCCTGCTTTGTAGGGTCCAACAAAAGTTAGCACAAGCATCTTGGAGCATTTACCGCTATACCTCTTCTCCATTTGGGCTACTTCTTGATGAAACCGTTTTCCATGTTTATCTGAAACTGCTTGAAAGGAATGAAATCCTAATGAGAGTGCAAAAAGTGAATTTTTAATGACATGTATGTAATCTATGGCTTTATATGATAAAAGCAATCAATACATTTGTAATGTTTGCACCTCTTTTGTTGTCCAAAAATATTTGGTACACAATTTCAAACGCAGACCAAGCTCTTTTTTCAGTTTCATTTAATTTTTATTTGAATTCCAGGTCCTTGAATAGAGCGCGGATATGTAGCCAAAAAATTCTTGAAGCCTAATACTTGAGCTCTCGAAATGTTTTCATTTTGAAATACATTGCTATAGCTACACAATTAACTTTTTTTTTTTTCAATTTTCTTTGATTTTTCCAATAGTAAAACATGTCATAAAACACCTTTTTTTTTTTTTATCCACACCACGAATTCCACTTGAAATGGTGCCTGATAAAGATTTTCTGCCTTCGGATTCGTATTCAGCATACCTCAAACATAAAAAAACAATATTTCTGTTAAAGGGAGGATGATA